TGGGTGTAACTGTTGGTTAGATGTGAGAGTGAAGAAAGCGAAAAGGGAAGAGAAAAATGGAAAGTCGAAGGAAGAAAAAGAACGAGGCTGGAAGATGGACAGGTTTTGTATAGCGTCAATGATGGTGAATGAAGGGAATAGAAGAGAAAAGATGGGATGACGAGCTACTTGGAGGGGCTTGCTTCGGTTGGGCTGATTTGGGTATCGGGAATTGGCTCGTGAAGAGGTGGTAAGGTGGTAAAAGGTGGTAAAAGGTGGTAAAAAGGTGGTAAGGGTGGTAAAATGTGGTAAGGGTGGTAAGGGTGGTAAGAGTAGTAAGGTTCGTGAATCAATCCCAGTGGATGCCCAGGTGGATGCCCAGCTTGGATGAATGGATGGTGAGGTCTTTTATTCCGGTGAGTAAGAGTCAAGGTGGGGAGCGGCTATGAGATCTTATTTATTAGGTGGGCTGTAATAAATTTTCCTTGAGTTTCTTCAATTTTGGTGATCTAGAAGTGTAAAACGATAAGAAGCGATACAAAGCTGAAAATTTGTTGGTGGGGGATCCTGCATATGAGAATTTCAATGTATTGGAGTCGTGGTCGTGATATATTTTGGTTGTCAATACTTTGCTGTCATAGGCTGAAAAAGAGAGAAGATCATGGAATTAGGTATCCTTTTTCTTTTCTCTTTTCTCTTTTCTCCTCTCTTCTTTTCCCTTTTTCTTCTTCTCTGCTTCTCTCTTTTCCCGTTATATGAAATATGAAAACTGGTAGATTTCCTATTTCATTTAATTGGTTGGCGATGAAGAAAAAGAGCGAAAAAAGTTGATTTAAAGTATTTGAATTCTTGGACTGGATAATAATCAAACAATCGGGATATCAAGGTCTTTCGTGAGTCGTGAATTATTTTGGTGATAGCGTTACTCGGTCGAATTCAAGTCTGATGTAATGGTGCAGACAGATATCCACTCACGACTGGCTGATACTTTTTGGAGTGGGATGGGATGTAAAATCGAAAATAAGGTTAGGGTAAATGATCCGATGAAGAAAATTATAAAGGAAATTCGTATAAACTCGTGATATCGTGATATCGTGAATAATAATCCCAAGAATAAAATAATAAGAGGTCGGTTGGTAAGAAAGTTTAATATAGGTGGAGTGTAAGGTTATTCCTGGACTTTAGATGTTGGGTTGAATATGATCGTTTGAGCCCAAGTTTCTAATATAGGTAATAAATATGGTTCGCTGGGGAAAGAGGAAGAGGAAGAGGAAGAGGAAGAGCATGAGCATGAGAATTTCAAAAGAAAAGAAAGGGTCATGAAGTTAAAGCGATTAAATAAGAGCTTGAAGTCACATAGAAAGAGTTTTTAAGTTTTGTTCGCTGTAGTAATAGGGTCAAGTAAAGACTCGGAATGGGGTCTGTTGGTCACTAACAGCGGCGGCTCTGGTTCCTGGCTAAAAGGGTCGATGTAAAGGTCTACTGAACCGCCCTCCAAAGCGTCCTTCATCAGTGTTGTCCAAATCCAAAAATATCTAAAATAGAAGAATAATTCATGTTCCAGTTCCAACCAAGGTGTGGAATCGTTGATTTGAGGGGCTCGAATGGGGCTGCGCTTGAAAACCGAATTAGGTGAACATAATTGCCGCCAGCATCATATGCATTGAAGATATTGCCCTATTCGGATTGTGGGTAAATCCTACAAGAACACTTGTTAAGTTTCTTCTTGCATGATCATTCCTTCATTAGTGAGCAAAGCGTTTCAGTCGATAGCTTGTTGGTAGTAAAGACAGAAAACAGAGGCTGAGCTTCTCTGTAGACTCATGAAGCTTTTGTTGATCTTGCGACCTGGGCACTCCCGCAGCGGACCATCCGTTACACTGACTTGAGACTTGAAACTTGTACGAAGGAGTGGAGTACAAAAGGTCTGATGGTTGGTTACTCAAGCCGCCGGGGTATTGTGAAATGTTCCCTCTTTACAAACATAAGCCACAAACCATAGCCTACTTGTAATTTCAATTCGTCGACAGCATTGCATCAGAGTCATAGATGCGGATTGTTGCCTTCCTAGGTGAGAATTTGGTCTGTACTGTATCCAACAGTAAGAGTTTACCATCTAGGTACAACTAATGTGACATATTTGAGTGACTCGTCCATTGACTCTTGAGTCGTATGCCTCTTCCTCTCTCGTGTCATGTTCTTGTGATACCGAAATGTGATGATGTATTCAGGTGGGGCCTAGAAGTCGAACATTCGGTTCATCCGATTGCTGACCACGAGGAAGGACGAACCAGATGAGAGTCAACAATACTTGCTTTAAGAGTCATTGTTTGAATTGAAATATTTATCCTCCCAAGTTTGAAAATGCCCATTCATTAGAAAAGGGCAGGGACTTGAGAGCCATTCACGCTTCATAGACATACGATTCCTCCGTACGCCTGTCGCCTAGGCTTACTTTTCTTCCAATGTGACTTTCTAGCTTCAGAATCCGCCAGTCGGAATTTGATGATGACTAAGTATACCGAATCAGTAAGTGCTACATAACATCGAATGAAATCGGCAGGTGTAAGGCGAGATGATGGTTATTGGAGGACGTGAGGCTCCGTCAATATATCTGGAGCCCATGCCAGCGGTAACCTGGGCTGCAGTAAAGCATAGAAAGCTGATATCTTGGAACTGTGGGAAGAAAAGGATACTTGCTGTAGAGACTGCATACAGTTCTTCGGGGTAATTTGGAGAAGGAAAAGATATGCAGAGGTGTATATGTGAAGTACGAGATTAGACACAACTCCCCGAGAAATAGAAGGTTGACCAGTATGGAGGCAGCGTACCACACTTATCGAGACTAGAGCTGGATAACCTTACGTGAGTAGTAGCTTAGTTCAATTGTAGGGCCACCGGGATTGGTTGTTGTATTGCAAACCCCGGGATGGAAGCTATAAGGCTGTCCCTCTTTTGTAAGTCCTACAAACGCGGAAGATCAATTGCATAATAAAGCTGGGCGAGATTCAATCCATGAACTGTAACGTAGGATAGACTCGGGGATTTTGAATGGACGAAACACGTATTGAGGAATTCGTTAAAGTCTTGGATTGTGATATATGGACCAATTTGGATGTATTGTGCTACCCATTTGTAGATATTGTAAGATCTTAAAATGCCTAGGTGGGCCGTGTTTCTAGGTCTCATACGAGTAATGACAACCAAGTGTTCAAGGTTAAGCAACCGTAAATACTGATCTGGGATTTTATTTTGGTGTGTAATTTATCTAACACGTTGAGTCCATCGTCATGGCAGTTGTGATGTGATATGATAGAGAAAAACAAACCTAATCCCAAATGATCCCAAATCTCCCTCCTCATCTTCCTCTTCTTCTCCACAATAACCTTAGAACCTTTTCTTATCAGGACTGATTAGACTGATCCGGCAATTGGGGTGGGCTCTTGTTTATCGATAAGAAATGTTCCTGCGTTTTACGCGGGGGAATTAAATGAACTAAACCCAAAGAAGTAACGGGAACGAGCTACTGCGGCTGGAGGCAAGTTATTAAATTCCCCAAGGGCAATACCTACCTACCTCCTTGGTACAGAGTAGTACGCGCTCACTCATATTCACGCGCATTCGCCTTATGTCATCGAGCTTTCTTTTCATCTTGAACTCATCAATCCTTTCCAACCATTTTCCTTCTACTTCACTTTGACCTCCCTATCTGTTCTTCTTAACTAATGTTCTTTCATTTTGTAACCTTGTATTACATGTTATAAAAACATACGTGGGAACACGTATGGTCTCGCGGGTAAACGCATAGGGAGGATACTTACCAACAATTTTCAGAGCCTTGTGGTGCAGTGCTGCACTTTCAATAATTCCCCGGCACATTAGGCCATCTCTCTACTCACCATGTCACAGCAATCTCCATCGGCTGCCGACCACTCCAATGCAATTGCAAATCTCAATGAAGAAATCAATTTCCAAACAGTTTTGTTAATTTCCTTGGACGATTCTGCAGAAGATCAATCATCGCGCAAAGCGGAAATTGAGGCTGAGATTGTCAGTCTTCAAGAACAACTCAAAAACCTCTCGAGCATTCAAGCCGCCTTACCCACACACACCCGAGCACCTTCTATTTCGCATAATACCTCGAATGGACGTCCGTCTGGTATAAGTCATTCAAGGATGGACAACACATATGGGCGGGGAAGTAATGGAGGCTATCAACGTTAGTTTCGTCCGATTCTTTTACTTTTGGCACAAGGCTATGGCGGCCAATTCACTCACACTTTTCATTCACCTCCAAATTTTCCTCTACTAGCGTGGAGAATGTCTTGTTTTATTATATTACGCTTTCCCATGCCCCATTTTCAAGTCAATCTGACAATCAGTGTTAACCTTCGCTACAGTCAAAGAAGAAGGCGAGTCAATGGGGTCGTTATCCTCCACAGCTTCGACACCTGGTTCTGGAGTATCGATGGGTGAATGTTCCGGTTCAACTCGAGTTGACCTACCTACTCGAAAGCGCAGTCATAGCAAGCATCTAGATGCATTTGCACCATTTGAAGAAACCAAATCTCGTCGAACAACACCGAGTCCTTTTGCAACAGGTGTAACAACTCCTTCGGGAAGCTCAGGGTATGGATATACTGCATCTGGTGATGGCTACTTTGACTTCACTATGTCTGTCTCTCACTCATTAGTCAATAATGAAACTCTGAATTTTCTGTTGTATCTAAAATAACAAGCAGAATGTATATACTAACACGTTAAATTTTTAGGGATGATGAAATAATCTTTGACCCTTCCTACGCCATACTCCAGAGACAGGAAGAACAAAGATTACAGCAGGAGAGAAAAGATGCAGAGCTTGCTAGTACCCTTGCAAACTCAAATAAATTTGTCTCAGGCTCTCCAATCACTAGCTCGAAGCCTTCGGCCTTCAGTAAAATGCTGGGAGTTCATTCACAAGCTTCTACCTGTCGTGAGAATCAGACAACTAAGCCCTCCCCTATGTCAAATGTCTATGGTTCCCACGCGAGAAGCCTTCCTTGGAAAATGGCCCTCAATCCCGGTTTTAAAGCCGAGCCACAAACATCAACTTCCTCTCAACCTTTAGCATTCTCTAGCACAGGCTTTAGCGGAGCTAGAGGTAAACACCAGGAAGGGGTTAATAATACCACGAACCCTAATTCTACATCAATGCAAACATCAAAGATGCCTGGTGCCTATATTGAAGAATCCGCTAGTGATTCGGACGTTGAGATTATTGACCCTTCGGCATTTAAAGATAATGGTCGACAGAGAGCACAGAGAGCCACAGCTTTGAAGACAGCGAACGCTTATAGTCATCAAGGTTCAATTTATTCACCGAGCACCCACGCTTTAGGAGAGAGAGCTCTCAGTCACCCAGAAACTAGCCGGCAGAATTATCTACACGAAAACAGTCGTGGATTATCTGGCTGGGCAGTAAGCTCTGCTAATGGAATGAATAATTCTTTGCCCACGTGGGTGAGGCTTGGAATTCAAAATGCTCCCAACAATATGAATACTACACAGCCAGCATTCTCTATGAATACTAAACCCTCAACCGCCACGCTCAACAGTTCAGGTAGCTCTGGCGTGCAAGGCTTTGGTCGCCCTAGTACCACGATGGCTCGTCATGATCAATTGCACTCTCTTCCAGGAAATGATTTTGCAGGACCATTCCCTGGAAATATGCATTCTGTGCATTCGCGTGCCAATATGCATAGGGTAAGTTCGGGACTCACTGTCGACTCTTTACCAGAATATGGCATGGGTAAAACTAATCTCAACTCCGTGCAACACGGCATGGCGGGTAACATGGGCGAATTTTCAGACTTTAGGCCGGATTTTGGTCTTTCCAATCGGTCCTCATCCACCGATGGTATGACGGATCAAATGGATCACGTCATCAACGATCCGAGAAAAACAGAAAAGGAGATCAAAGACTTGTTGGAGAACATCAAAGCTGAGATTGAAATTCCGCTGGAGAGTCGAGAGGGAACCCCTGAAGGATTAAGATATCCCTTGGTAGTTTAGCCATCATTGGAGTCTGTTAGGAATTCTTGCTAACTTGAGATTAGTATGAGCACCAAAAAATTGCTTTGACATGGTTGAAACAAATGGAAGAGGGTACTAACAAGGGAGGGATTTTAGCAGACGATATGGGTCTAGGCAAAACAATCAGTACTTTGTCACTCATATTGTCACGACCATCAGCCGACCGTGCTTGCAAGGTATGTCGTTTGGCAAAACATCATGGCCATTTGCTGATAACATTTAGACTACACTAATAGCTGCGCCTGTTGCGCTTCTCCGTCAATGGGGTAGCGAGATAGATTCGAAAACATTGCCGGCCCACAAACCCAGCGTCTACATGGCCCATGGAAACAGCAAGAAAGTGACCTGGGATGACCTTCGACAGTATGATGTAGTCCTAACAACTTATGGAACTCTGGGTGCGGAATATACTCGCCTTTTAAAGTTCGAAGAGGAATGCAAGCAGGAGGGAATTGTCGACCCGGACGCGAAACAAATGGCTAAAGACTTTCCTTTTTTGGGTCCGAAGAGCAGATTCTATCGTGTGATCCTCGACGAAGCACAATGCATCAAAAATAAAAGCACCAAAGCAGCGTCTTCGGCTTGTAGATTAAGAGCCCTGACTAGGTTTTGCCTCACCGGCACACCGATGATGAACAACATTACGGAACTTTATTCGTTAATCAAATTTTTGCGTATACGACCTTACAACATTTGGCACTCCTTTGTCAAAGTACGTATAAGGCCTGGTCCGCAAACCGGAGTATTTTGTTAACAGTGATAGGATTTCGGCTGTCTTTCGAAGGGAAGTTACTCAGATGAACATATTCAAATAACCATGCAACGCCTACAAGGTGTTTTGAAGGCAATTCTCCTCCGAAGGACGAAGAAATCCGAGATTGATGGGAAACCTATTATTGTCTTACCACCAAAAGTCGAAGAAATTGATCATGTTGTTTTTAGCAAAGATGAGTGGGAGTTCTACGAATCTCTCAGGGACAAGACCCAGCTTCAATTCAATAAGTACAGAAAGGCTGGAACGGTTGGGAAGAATTACTCAAATATCCTGGTCTTGCTACTTCGCCTTAGACAATGCTGCTGCCACCCTCATTTGATTATTGATCTCGAAGCAGCAGCCGGCTCGGCAGAGCTCACAGAGGATCAGATGATTGAACGTGCCTTAGCCCTCGAATCAGATGTGGTGTCGAGACTCCTTGCTGCAGATGGGTTCGAAGTAAGTTGATTGGTGTTCATCTTGAAATGTCTTAGCTAACATCTCAAGTGCAATATATGCTACGATGCAACCCCAAATCCCAGCATCATCATCCCTTGTGGGCATGACAACTGCCACGATTGCTTGATGTTGATATCCGAGCAGGCGAAGCAAGAAGCGCAAGGCAATGACGAAGGTCGCGCCACAGTCAAATGTCCAAGTTGCCGTGGAAAGCTTGACATGGCAAATCTTATTGACTACAGAACTTTCAAGAAGGCACATATGCCACCGGTTGAGCTCGAGAGAGAAGAGAATGTCGATAACGTCAGCGAACTTAGTGATGTAAGCACCGATAGTGACAGCGACACGGACTCTGACTCTGATGTCGATACTAAACTTGATGATGTTGACGAAAATGGCAACCTGGACGGTTTCGTTGTGCCTGATGATGTCGAAGATGATGAGGCTGAGCAAGGTGATGATGAAACTGATGATCTTGACGATCTTGAATTGGACGTTCTCAAATCCAAGCCAAAGTCGGAGTCCAAAACCAAATCTAAGAACAAAGAGAAGAGAAATAAAGGTAAAAAGGTCGGAAAGCAGAAGCAGCATCTTTCGATAGCAATGATGAAGAAAGAGGCTTCCAGATCGATTGCAGGTCACAAGAAGTACATGAGATATCTTCGAAAGAACTGGCAATCGTCAGCCAAAGTCGATAAATGCGTGGAACTTCTCGAGAGATTTCAAACAGAAGGCGAGAAGACGATCATCTTCAGCCAATTTGTCACCTTTCTCGATCTTCTTCAGGTGCCAATTGGAGAAAAGGGTTGGAAATGCGAGCGTTATGATGGTAGCATCAATGCAAAACGCAGAGACGATGCAATCAAGCAATTCACGAACAAACCTGATTGTAATATCATGCTCATTTCTCTCAAAGCCGGTAACGCGGGGCTCAATCTTGTCGCCGCATCTCGAGTTATTATCCTGGACCCTTTCTGGAATCCATTCATTGAAATGCAAGCAGTAGACCGTGCTCATCGCATTGGGCAAATGAAACCCGTTCAGGTCCATCGAATTTTGATACAGGATACAGTCGAAGATCGTATTATGGCGTTGCAAAAGCAGAAGAAGGAGTTGGTGGAGTCTGCGCTCGATGAGGGTGCTATGAAGACCGTTGGGAGACTGGATGAGAGGCAATTGGCTTTTCTTTTCGGTGTCTGAGCCAACTGAGGATTCTCCTTTGACTCCGATACGTGCTTGATTGCTTTTTCGAAATGGATGTATAATAGTTATGAGGCGTCTTGTGAAGCTCATGATCACGATTGGCTGGTCCTCTCTCTTTTCACGAATTGGCATAGCGAGCAGAACCAAAGCAAGGCAAAATTTTGGGATTAAATGGAATGTTCAAATACACCGGGTGGGGGAAATATGGTCCGCTTTCATTTTTTTGCTTCTCTCTCGCCAATTTCGATACCCTATCACCATGGCGTTCGCAAATGGGTCTGGATGGATGGATAGATGGATAGATGAATTTACGATGAAACACGAGCAATGGCATGTTAAGATGGCATGTTGGTATTATTTTCCGTTTTTTTACACCACTTTAATTTCTTTAATCTTGTTGCAGAAGTTGTTCACAAACAATTGTAGGAGAATGGATAGTGATGGAGCTGCGGAGCTGTAGAGTTAGGAAACTGGGCATACAAGATAATATAGATATAGATGCAGATTTGAGAAATTGCATAGATATCTAGATTTTCCGGGTATCGAGGAAAGTATCCTGAGATGGGGAGAAAAAGGGAGATATGTACCTATCTACATGTATGTGCATAATGCTGTGGCATAATAAATGATAAATGATGGTAAGAATAGATTGATCAGCTAGGATTTCTATTATTGACTTTCTTGGTTTTCTTGATGTGATGTGTTGTGACGGGATGTAAAACCAAACTATCCAGCCAAGTAGTCCCCATGACCAAGACAAATTGACAAGCCGAGGAAATTAACGCCTGCCTTCTGGAATGTCCTGGTGATTTATTTATATGATATGATATGTTTGTATGTATTTATGTATTTACATATATATACATATATACATACATATATACATACATATATACATACATATATACATACATATATAGGTATGGTAGGGTAGGGTAGGGTAGGGTATATTGTATGCCTCCATTCATCTATCCATCTATTCGTTCATTCATGCATACAGCTCGTGAGCGCCTCATCTAGTCAGCTACTACAAGATGCGCCAAGGACACAGCTCAGAAGTATAGTATTTCTCAAGGTAATGGATCAAAAACACCCTCACACACCCCCCGGGTCCCCATCCCTCCCAACAAGCGATGAGAGTCTGGTCTGATTTTGCTTCTCACGACCTCATCCGCTGTGTTGTTCTGCGCATAGGCTTCAAGTCGCATAGGTGCAACTAATTGTTTATGAAGCGGGAGCGCAGAAGTGGAAATTTCGCCGAATACCATAACGATATTTAAGGTAGTTAGTTGGATGAGCTATTTTCCTGAGTGGCCGATGCGATGATATGGAAATGCAACGTGACTGTTGTTGCGCCGCGTGGCGACGCGAATTTGGTGCCCTCTTCCCAATGTCCATGCCCCCCTGCCGATGCTGATGCTAACACCGATTATGGTTACCATGTAGTTCAGGTTCGATTTTGCTTGTAAATCTTCCAGAAGTTTAGTATACTGTAATTGTCTCACAAAGACGAGGGGAAAGTTAAATATTTAGTCATCTAAATGCCACTCCCCCACGTACATATATATATGATGCTCAGATGAAGGAATACGAAAGTCCCAATGCGCCAAATATAGATGTTACCAAAACCGTAAAATCTACTTTTGCCATTGGAACCGCAAAAGATCTTCTAGGACTTGGTGTTGCAGTGGCGGTAAAAAGGCCCGTGAGAATTTCTGTAGTTGTTGTGACTGATGCCGTTCTAGCACTTCCAGAGCTTGCTACTGTTATTGTACTCGTAGGAGCACTGTAATCCGAGGAATCACTATAAAGTACCCCATCGATAATCGCACCCTTTCCGGCAATGATCATATCCCTCTCCTCTTCCGTGCATGTTTCAGGGATGCTACGGAGGTAGCATGTATTTGTCGGGGATGCTGGGAGACTTGTGGTGTGGGTGGCATTGAGAGGACCAGTGGTATTGTACACTGATGAGTCGATCGTTTCTCCCGTTGAAACAGAGGTGCCCATTATGATTCGAGCAAAGACCTGGAAGGCGGTCTCGGGTTGGTAGGCTGGGATGCTGTGACCTGCATCGTAAATGCGACTGAAGGAGAGATTTCCAAACTGTCGGACAACACCGCCAATATAAGAAGTGTTGGTTATGATGGGAGCGTAGCCAGCAGATGGGAACTTCGAAGCATATTCTGAAGAAGCCTGTTTTGCAACAGCCAAGGATATGGCTTCACCACCAAACCAATTGCAAATGTAATCACGGTCCCCATACATCAATCCAACATGAATTCCAGATTTCACAAGCGCAGCTATTTCTGGTACGTAAGATTTGCGCTCATAGTCTCCGGTGGATGTAAAAGCAGAAACGACTTGAAAATTTGTCTCGGTGTAATTGACTGGTGAGCCAATAGCAGATTGAAATTCGGCTGAATTGAGGTATTCGAGGTATGTGCTGGGTGGAAATGAATCGGGTAAATTATGAGAAATATCATAAACACTCCTTCCAGCGTCATAATATGGTTCCATCACATTCGTTACACAACTGTTATACGCATTGGAACAAGCACTGTTAACACTTGAAACATTACCCTTATTTGTAGGATCCTGACTTTCCACAGCGGTTCGACATTGAGTGATCAAATCCTTGCAGCCACCAGAAGCATAGAAGTTTGCAGTCGCCAGTTTCGCCCTTGTTGGATTGATGGCACTGAGACCAAAGGTATTATTGACTGCAAAGTCGGGATAGTAAGGGGCTTGAATTAGGTCATCCACACAACCATTAATTATTCCAAGTGATTTGAGTTTAATATCAATAGTTTTGCTTTGGGATATGGTGCCGTTCGCGCGCTTCGCATTCTGCTCTTCCCAGAGCGTCGCAAAAGCTGGTCCATACTTTCCGCCATAACTCTCCGCGAACAAATGAATATTCATAGCAGATTTATTATTCGGAGCATACTGTGGAAATGCTCCAAGAAATCCTTGAAGCATGTGCCATATAGCCATTCCCGCTATGTGGGTAGTATTGGCTGTATTGTTCACATTCAAAGAGCTGAATGTTCCATTTAAAAAGGTATCTGCGGGCTGCGAGTTCGGACGGGTTTGCTGTGGAGTATAAAGATCTGTTGTAAGAAGGTCGAGGGAGCAATTAGTAGGCGTATCGTATGAAAATCCGACTTGATTCGGCTGCAGGTGTATACGTCAGCTTAGAGAACTGGATGTAGCGCATGCATGAAATGATAGAACAGCAGTGTTTAATCGATGCTCTCATAGACAGTTCAGAGCGTACCATAGCTATCAGAATGTAACTAATGGCTCTGTGCTCCAATCAACACCAAATATCTCGACTGGCACAGGAAATCCTCGAGATATGTGCGTTGAATTAATCAAAAGATATAGAGATGAAGTCAAAATGTTGCATACCTGATCAATATATAACATGTTAGACCCTCTGTCCCAACCCCAATCCCTAGCCTCCGTCGCAAACTTTCCCTGGGCGACATTGATAACCTCACAAGGACCATTCTCGTTGAAAAGTCCAATCATCGAGCTGGAGCCTGGCCCGCCATTTAACCATATAGTAAGTTGATCTGTGGGATCTCTCGCGGAGATAAACCAAAAGAATGTATTTGTCGCATAGCTTCCCGGTATATTAACCCAACCTGTATATTGTTCTTGAGAATCGAAGACTGTTTGGCAGGTGCCCGCTGGTGGTGTTTTGTAAGAAATGGTGATGTTCCCATCGACTGGGGAAGTTATTCTAGTAAGGTTTGAAATAGGTGGATATTGAGCGAATGTGATGGGCAGAAGCACCGAAAGAAAGAAAGAGTAAAGCATTATGGCACACTCATATTTCGACCAAAGATCAGAGGAAAGAGAATGGAAGTGCGATTAAATGAAATTCTCAAATTGAAGTTGTTGATCCTATGAGAATCCTGTGAGAATCCTACGAGGAAAAGCATTGGCTTGGCCCCAAGCGACGTCTTCATGCAAGGGTCGTAAAGCTGCTGTGTCTCATATCGTTTTTGTTTCCTTGTACTTTTCGAGGGGATTTTATGGTTCATCGACGATCCCTTATTAAGTTTTCGAAAGGTGTACGTGATGTACCGCGCGTACGACAATTCAGAGATGCGAGAAAGAAGCAGAAAAGATAGAGAGTATAAAAAGTGGTAAGATAGATAAATTCTCAATGTCAAACCTGCGCGCATTCTTCCTTAAAATTCCTTCAACCAACAACTTGTCGCGCCAGTTACAACTTTGATTCTTTATTTAGCTTCACTTCCCGCCCCCTCCTCCTTAACGGCTGTACGAAATACTTGGTAATAACACTAAGAACTTTGTATGCAAACTAGTTATCGCTATTACTATTACGGACTCCGGAGGGAGATCAAGTGTTCTCCGTTTGTGGTCGTGCAGCGACTTTCGTGTTAATCTTCTGTCGCTTTCAATTGGATGTTATGAATATAAATACATCAGCTCTACGCCGTTTGGTAGAATGGAGTCTAGAACCTTAGCAAGTGTGATGTTTATGTGACGCCTGGTAAGTGCACGCCCGAGTCTTGACATGACTGGTTGCTTGCTGCTTTCTTGGGAATGTTAGTAATAAATCGAAGGAGAATGTGATGTTGCCAAGTCCATTACGTTTCCGGTCATTTCACGTCATATTCTCACGATAATCACAACCAAATTCCTGCCTGCCCCGTACATTTTTATCCACAATGCTTATTTCGCATCTCTAGGAGATTCATCTCTTCGGTCACAGGCTCGAAAGGAAGTCTAAATGAAGGCTGACTATGTCTATATATAATTGCACGGTTTGCATCCGCTCCAAGATTTACTTTGATAATGTAGAATGCCGTCGATTCGGATCCCCATTTTACTTATCATGCTTGTATTTGCTACCGTAGCACTGGTTATCTCCCTGTTAGGTTTTACTTCTTGGTGTTGACGGACATGCTTTTTCACCTCGGATGTTACACTGATAGCCTTATATGCCATTCTTTTTATACTCACATATGAGTTTCAGCTGCCCATGGCACTAGCTTATTTTGATGCCCTTTTCATGAAGGGAAGTAGATATACCTGATTGAGTATCTGAGTCTCATTGCCCTTATCAAAACCCTTTTGGGCGGGCTAGGGGAAGACGGGGCTTAGAGAAAGCCGCTTGCTGGACAGCTCAAGGAAAACCTCATTCTAAAGGCTCCATCTACTAGCATTGCCTTGATCAAATATTATTTAATACACATTTATATCAGCAATCTCAACAAAATCTCTATGGTTTTCATCCTTTTGTATCACACACTTGATAAAACGTTCGAGCAAGGCTGGAAAGCATCCCACCACCAGTTCCATTATCACCACCAATTACTTGAAATCTTCACGGTAATCTATTACCATCCTAAATACAATTCACATTCATGACGGAGTGCTAGATCTCCTGGGCGAATGACAATCTTGTATATTATGTTTAATGATCTATGCTTCAAGTGGCCTAGATTATTTTATTAAAACCCCAGATTGGGTGGAACTCACCCTGAACAAACATCCCAAGACTCTGTCAAATAAAGCCCTCATGGACATTCATTTGAATATATTACTGTCCCTTTGATGGGTTTCTTCCATTAATCACCGACATTTCGCATCTCTCAAATTTTTCTTTTTAAAGAATTCTCCCTGCTTATCGAACACCTGGTGTCGAAAATGAAGCATTCGCATCGCCATGATGCTTTCTCACGTCAAGTTGCATTTTACAAACACTTATCCCTATGTAAGACATTGAGCGCTTGGAGATTATGTATAAGTTATTTGTTGCGATGGCGACACCATTTGTTGCTTCCAGAAACTTTTTTGAGAAATGCAGAAGCTGAAAACTCTTTTTAAGAGCTGATGCGACCGAGTCTTTTGCGCTGTGCCGAAGTGCAGAGGAAGTATGAAAAGACATGTGCTATGGCAAATGCTATCAAACAATCAAAGCATCTACATAGTCTCATGAAATTCTACTCTAAGCTTGCACCTGATGAGTGCAAGTGGGAATTGGTTGATAGCAAAGATTGAGAATAACTGAAGGATCTCTCTCAATTAGGTCACAGTAGTGGAAAAACGAAATAATGAAATGACTTGGATGGGTGTCCCAATTCTAGGCGAAGAAATGTCATCATTGAAATAAATGGAAGATATCAATCTTTTTGACCCATCATATTCAGTCATCGTTCTCACTCCCCAAGACCGGAGCTATTTACAGACATAGAGAATGAGTAGCTAGGACAATTGCTTTTGAACGAGAACACTGGATATCTATTTTGACTGCCCATACCGCATGGGGCGAGAAGTGAGGAAGTTGAATTTCCATTGAATGTCTAGGTCCATCATAGACAACATAAATTGTCGTATTTTTAGCCTTTGGCTTTCGAGAGTCATCTCAGAATGAATATCATTATGACTCCAAGTCCAAATATATATGCCATATCATCTATGTTACTCATTAAGCTGTTGAAGACTCACATAATGATTTTAATGACCCTCTCTCTGGATACATTTAAGTCATCCCGCGTTCCAATCCTTTTGCATTTTCCTTCTCTACCAATGTCTGTTGATGGAGTACCTTCCCGGTAAGTAATTTTCTTACCCTGTGTTTTAGATGCAGAGGAAACTGACTCTTTTTAGAACGAGCACAGTGAAGAAGTTCTATACAAGAAGAATACCTCGGCGCCGTACTGGTCCGATACAGTATCTTCGACCACATTCCTCCATATCAATCATACACCAACTCCATATTTCATCATCCACCTCTACTAAACACTTCGAGCCTGACTACCAGCACAACGTAATCAAAGCTGCTTTACTCTCTTCCTACATGCTCTATCTCTTCATACATCCTCACTACAACATCTTAGTCTCAACCTCCCGTAATTCCCACTCAGCCACGAGATCAAACACCATGGGCTGTCTAAGTGACTGGAAGAAGGGGAAAAGTTCACAGACATCGAAAACCCGAAAGAGCAAAAGAAAATCCAAGAAGGCAACGAAATCGTTAAATCAAGACAGCAAAGTAGACAAATCGAAGAAGGACGTCAAGTCTGCAACTGCCAATACGGGCGGTCATGAACATGTTATTTATCAAGTCAACTACGATAGCGATGATGAAAACGAGGCACTCTGTCTCGAAAACATAGCCAAAGCCGGCGGTGGTAAGAATGTTAGTCATCATGTTAACTATGACAGCGATGATTGAAACAAGGCGCTCTAGATCTATCTCAAAAATACGGCCGATAATAATAGGGTAGCTGCTGAGCCTCTAATCAAATGATGGAATGATTGAGCAGTATAGAGAATGCGCATGTAAAGTATAGAGTTCATGCACTAGATGGGCTTGAATGTGTTAGATAATATATGCATGGTTTCTTTCCGATCGAGAGTAATAACTTCGTGTATATGAATTACCTTGATCAGAGGGTGACACTGTGGTACTATGGATCACTGATTTTCCGTCTCCTAGGAGTGAGTACTGACGTATTTACTTGTGTGAATTTTGAAACTGGATCACAGATTAGCGGTTTTCATGATGGTGATTGGTATGATTCCGCCTGCTAACACTTGGAGATCGTACTCAGGGTATAGGTATGATAGGAATCCAGTGGGAAATGTGAGATAGAACAAGGTGGTTTTCTTAGCCGTGGACTAAGGTATATAATAGATTCTGGGGTGTGTTATATGCCACCATGTACGGAGAATTATGTTGAATATCTTATTATATGACACGATATACACAGAACGTAATTTGAGAGTAGGACTATCTCATATTAAAATCATATAGAGCAAAGTATAGGTACTACTAGTACTCCTATGTACAAAGAAGATAGAACAGCTGCGTCGTCGATGTAGGAGCTTCTCGAAATACCATCTCGAGGAGGCTGATGTCCCCTGGTAAGATTATCAAGTATTATATTCAGAGATATAGCAATTGCAAAACAAACCCTAAATTCATCATTCCCATTCCCACCCATATATAAATGACAACTCTCCATCTCAGCCCATCCTATCTCCTTTTCAAGATTCACTCACTAGAAATCTCACCATATACTTGAAAATAGGATATTGCAAATTCAAAACATAAAGAAAAAGCCAAAGACAAACACAAACACAAACATATCTAACAAACACTCATCACCACCACCACCACCCCAAGTAAAATACGCACAGCTCAGAAAACGATCTTCCACTCAATCCTATCGCATTCCCATCCCCATCCTTTCATCCACTTCCCTCCACCTACGCGTCTATCCCGCTTTAAAACCCCATCGTTACATCACGCAATACAAACCCCTTCCCTGGATTCGAAGTATGTTCCATGCACCGCAGTGCACTGCACAGTACATGAGCACTTGCCATTGTACTGTCCGCGCAGAGACTCGGACTCCACGACGATGGGAGCATGGCGAATTGTAAGACTAAGTGAGATCTTTTGTCGATCGTTCGTGGGGTTACTGTATGCTTGTGAGTATATGTGCATGTGCACGGTGCAGCTTATGGCGAGGAGAGAGGTGAGGGGATGTGAGATGGGATGGGGTGAGATGGAGTGAGGCGAGGAGGGATTCGTAAGATGCGCGTTATTGGGGTGGTTTTTTTTCTAGGAATGGGAGGCGTGCTTGTCTAGATTTGGATGTGGTTATGTGGAACTACGAACCACGAGTTACGAACTATTGGATTATTCGTTTGTTTAGTTACAACTATTATTGTTGAACCTGGGTATGTGTGGTTACCTACTGTTGTGTTGATTGATATTTTATGGGTAGTGAATTGTTACTATAGTATTGTAACTATGAGCTAGGAATTGAATCTCCTTCGTATCAATTCATGAAGATATCGATTACCTACCTACTCAACAATACCAACACCAACATCAAAAGCAAATTCCAAATTCCACATCTCCAAATACAATCCACATTCCCAAACTCAACCCATTCATTCATTCATACATACTCATCCCCAAAGCTAAAATCATAACATCATAATTCCACCGCTACTCCCAACCTCCAACTCACTATCCTCCGTACAGAGGTATAGTCAATCAGTATAAACCTTCATTCACAAGCCAAGTCATGTCATATCTATCATATCATGTCATACCAGTGCACAACAAGCAGCGAGCGACACACCGACCGATCGATTCATCGCACGCCAATACAGACAGAGGCTCTTAGTGTAAACACCAAGTGGGTTTCCGACGACACAAACCCATGTTTAACACCTTACTACGAAGAAGACGAAGAAACGAAAGCTCTTACGGGAAGGGAAGTCATTCTTCTACTCGACACATTCATATTATTTGAGCTTTACTTTTCATTATTCTTATTCTTCTTCTTCTTCTTCTTAACCTTAATAGTATATACTTTTAGTGCGCGCGCACCGGAAGCCACTATTGAAATTCCGGGATGAGTTGTTAGTTTTGGTGACAGCATGCTTGCTTGGTTTACGGAGTAACTCATTTAGGGTCTTTGCGTTTGTTTGTTGGAGATCTATCTATCTATACTCCTATCAGCTGAACTGAGTCGGCTAGTCTGTGGCTGGTGATTGAGAGGACGCCACTCTGTTCGATTGTGTTATCCTCCAGTCCAGATTGTACATGTAGAGCACTTCGTACAGAATGTAGAATGGCCTTTTAGTATTCTACTTTTCAGCTACATATCTTCAAAGTTCTAATAGTACCAAAAAAAGAACATGGGGTTTCTTTCTTTCTCCCTCTCACTGATGAAATCCATGAGCAAACAAACAAGCAAGCAAGCATATGAAAATTTGCTTAATGTGAAGCAACTAATGGAATTGGCGGTATGGATTGAACCCCGTGAACCACAGTGGAGCGACATCAACTCATGCTGATCATTCTCTGGAAACCAAAGCCTATGATTTGTAGATCGTTAGTCGGTCAATCGTATGCTCTAGGCGGTGTATAAATTTTGTACGGTGTATAAAGCTCAACATGCAGAGAACATCACGAGTCGAATCTTTCGCTTCGGCGGGGGATGCTGATGCTGATACTGTATGTGTGCGTATATGACCTGATGCGAGACGCCTCACGCGACGAAAAACGCCCTAGAAGACACCAAGTTTCTTCAATCCTCGGGATCCACGTGGGGATCTCAAAACCATACGCGACTAAGTGCTAGTCAGGGCGGCATCCAAACGAAACTTCATAGCTGAAGCCGCATTGTGGTAATGCTTCTATGAAGCATACAAAAAAGTCTAGCATGTTACAAGTATCGAAGCATATTGCCTGTGAGGCACGAACTCAAATGGAGATTCCCAGGGACCAACCTAATCGTGCAAAGGAAGCGAGTATTTGAAGCATTAATGAGTACATAAGTGGGATAGACGAGCTTTTGTGGAGCGAAAACAAGCACATAGCAGCATCAACCTAGTCATGATCTATGTACCCCAAAAGAAATTATTCGAAGTTACGAACTCGTTGAGCAAGAAGACGGGAAGGAAGACGTGGTATGCGCCACTAACTGGCAAAAGCTCTTCGGCAGCGGGAGGACGAGCCCAAAAATCTAGCGACATGACATCTTCCCGCTCATTAGTCCTCATGCTAAAATGCACTGATGTAACCGTAGGTAAGGATGAGTCGTCAACTTTTACCTACTAGGTACTCTTTGCCAGTGCTCCTCCCTTCAGCCTCTTCTTAATCGGGTATTTCTGTACGTACCTAGTGAGCATCTAATCTCGGCGATCTATCAGAGGAATCCAAAATCAGGAATAATGCCACGAGGAATCGTGACGCTATCGTGAACGCTAGAAGGGAAATCCTACCTCGGGATTAATGCGGATGATCAAAATAGCATGGCGCGCTTGATATACATTAGTCGCTGTTTGTGACGAAGCAATTTCAACCTATTAATTTCTTTTTTCTATGCTTTTCTATAGTACGACTCTTACGAAACGAAGTTCTCGCAAATGCATTGTTCATGTCGTGTGCATTTTTTATGCCCTGCAGAATTGAATTGGAACGACTCGGTAACTGGATAGAATCGCATGAAAAGGGATACAGCATACGTATTTGATGATCATAATAGAGTAGATTAATGTGTGCAAAGCAAAAATAACAATGTAATTAGCATTGAAGTATTGGAATTCAAAGAATAGACTTTACTAAGGATACAACGAATGCATAAGATGCGGAACAGTTTTCCAATGGTTCAACATCGTAGCTGAATGACCCATTGGGATCAGATAATAGTTGATCTAACGATTGTTCAAACCCCAAAAGGTAATTAATTCATTTACTCGAGTAGACATAAGAAAGAAATTCAACGTCATCTTATCAAAACTTCCCATGGAATAATCATGGAAGGAATGAGGCTTCTGCTCGACATCCCTGTGTAGCTGGGTAGTAGCTAGGTTTAGTTCGCTTGTGAACCTTTGCGGTGCGGATTATTTCTCAAGTTCCGGTCGGTCTGGCCGGTTTTCTTGGTCGTTTGTTTCTCTACCTTCTCTCGTTGAGGTTACATGGTGATAAATTTGAGTCCTTGGGTCCGATATATGAGGGTGAAACATTGAAGTCCTTGTTCTAGAAGGTTTGATGAAGCTTCTAGCGCCTTGGTATCATGGTTAATACAGTTCCGGTAATATATTCAGGTAATAATGGCTGTCATTATAGCACATCCTTGAAGTTTGACGAATCATTGTGTTCCCAATCTTCCACTCCCTGTCAAAGTTGGACTTTGTTGTGCTAGGAAAGGGTAATATCCCGTTTCTGGGACGTTAGCGCTTAACAGCGAGGAAGCTAGGGACTTTCCCACTCTTTACATGACATCGTGAGCGCTTGAACATGTAGTTCGCCGGGTTACAATTTAACTAAACCTACGAAACAGGATACCTAGGATCATATAGAACATAAATTACGGAAAGAGGCTGAGTCGAAGCATTAAATTGTAGACGGCTTGACACTGGTGACCAGGTAATTTGATAGTATAAGCGTCTTTCTATGAATGAGAAACTGGGAAGAACTTCGACTTTCTCCGTGAATTAGTTCTTATTTCGGATACCCCTTGCTGTAAATTTGTAAAAGGGCAACAGCCTAAGTGGAAAAGTTGTAGTAGGCTCAAAGTAGTGTCTCCGTCTCCGGTAGTAGAGAAAAGAACTGCACTGGCAAAGACAACGCATGGATTAGAAAGTGACCCGGTCTTTCATTCAGCAAATCCAAAGCCATGGCCTCTGGTAAAATGGAAATTAGATCTGACGATTCGACAGGGTTCACACGTTTTAATAAGAACAAAGAAGCATGGCTCCCGTACAGCGAAGCGCCCTTGGGAAACTTAGGATAGTGGGGGTGGTCTTGCAGCGAAGGATCAAAAAAAGCTGTGATACTCAGACGTCCTAAGCATAAATTTAACCAAAATGCGAGACACAATTCCCGGGGAGGAGATGAACTTAGCTTTTGTCCGAGCTTCCGGTGTCAATTGCCCCCCCAATAGAATTGAATGTGACAAATCGACAAGGAAGAGAAGGACGGAACGGAGCAAACAGGGGAGAAGGACTCAAACTTCAGAGGAGCTATTATCAAGAGATTGTCCATTCTGACTGGGGGAACAACATTATCCTTATACCCTTGGGCATATTCCGGTACTTGCGTTGATAGATATCATTAATAATTTGGTACGGATGGAAACTATATGATAATATGAACTTTCGAAAAGAGACATTTCTTCATTACTTCGGTTCTCGAGATTAAAAAGAATGTCTTAAAGCCTTCTAGAAGTTTTCGATAAGCTAGGTAGCTAATTGACTAACCTAGTCTACCATGGCAAAAAAAAGGTTCAATTTCCAGAAATACTGTAAGCGAAATGGCAGTCGCTATGCTGTACTGGGCATGTACTTTCATTGATTACCGTACCCATTGCAATCAATCGACGAAGGCCATTTTACCAACAGTATGGAAGGAAAGAGGTTCAGATTTCATATGACGCCACCAGTTACAAAGAAATTTCCTGCTGGCTATGTTTTACTATCGTATCTCATCGCATCGCTGTAAATACTTACAACACCCCTTTACCCTTTATTATTGCCGCTCCACCCAGCCGGTGTCTTTTCACATTACATAGCAATCTTTGATCCGATGATCTATACGTCAACTTCTCAAGGGTTGTGCCGTTTCTCTCCTGTGTATTACTCATCCAGCCGCTATCATATTGTCGAATAGAAGAGATTTGATCCTCAGATCCTTTAAAAGATGAAAAGCAATTTCGGTCCTGTACACAAAATCAGTACACGCCGCTTAGTTTTCTATGTGAACTCTGGATTTTCTTAGGCTGATTCATGGTTTCTTAGCGAGTACCAAAAGGCATTCATTTTATGAAGACTACCGTGCAAGGTATAGTGCATCATCTCCGAACAAGCTCTACTCCGTACAGTGCATTTAAGCAAAAGAACAGTCACGCGATTGGTATTTCATCGTTATGCAATGTGTACAAGATTTTTCCGGATCCTCTCCCGCTCAGGGGCAAGAGCAGAGTGAGGTCCCCTAGTCGTTTCTGGGATGTTTTGGACATTTCAGAACTAGGAGGCGGTATAGAATAATAGTAACCACCCATCTCCTTACTCGCCAATGCTGCCCCACGTGTCTCGCGTTGGACCGAGGGTTGTGCATGATTTTCAAAAGCTATCGAAGAATCTTCAGCACATTCCGCAAGTTTTATGATTCGAGATGCTGAGATTGGGTAAGTGCACCTCTATTTATGTCGTCTGGTAACAAGTGAGTGATCGCGCCGTACCGATTCCGTTCTTAGTTGAATACGCAGTGGGACTCGATGATATGTAAGGCCACTCACTTACTGTTCACAAAATGGTTATTATACAAATTATTCAGGAATGACCTACCTAAGGTACCCGGGAGCAAGTAATGCAGTCAGGCACAGGCACAAGCACAGACGTCGGCACATTGTGGCTTAGCTTTTTAGGAGTTTTATCAAAAGTTAGTTTCACCCATCAATCATTGCCCTGTTGGGACTGGTAAACGTTCTGACGGTGTAGCGTACGTATCTACTATCGAGTATCGAGGTATCGAGTATCAAGACGCTGCTCAAGGTTTGCCAGGGTGGAATTCCTCAGGAGATGGCTGATGTTTCTTATAGGCTCAATACGGGGTAAATGATTTAGTGCGACAGCGTCCTTTGCCACCTGTAACTCAGGCTCCTTGACTTGAAAGCTTGGTACAGCGGAGCGCTTGTGAGGTCACAAATCGTGCACCAGGCAAGCACATATGATAAAGGCGGTGGTCGGAGGGTTCAGAGACATTCTAGAAAACTAGGATACGAGATACTTGATATTCTACAGGTGGGAAATAGCATTTATCGTGGGGCGCCGTTGATTGAGGGTGTGTTTGAATGGAAACGGACCCCCCGGTGGCTTTTGGTCACTCGATCATCATTCATCGTGATGATACATGGTGAATGGTGGATATGGACATGGACAGACATTCTCAATAGAGCTAATTTACCACAATTGAAAAGGATGGATGCCATGGGAGTGACGAGAGCTCGGAATGCTTTTGACACTGAACCGGTGTTAGCATTATCCTGTCAAGCTTACCCTTGGGTCCACCGTAAATGGTTTCGAATGACAGGATGAAAGTGACATGAAGTTGTGGCAATCGGCGTCTGCAATCAATAGGTTTACAGCACTTGTATGTATGTATGTGTGTATGGAATGCGAGGCAGAGTCGATATACGCCCCAGATACGGGCCGCTTACAATGAACCTATAATGATTATGTGTTGTACAGTATCATCGGTTTGCTGGAGCCTGCGTCAAGAAGAGAAGCCATTCATCATCGAGAGATCGCGGTGACAGGATGTATAGGATTGAGTCGCATTTGACCAGGGGGAGGTTAAACTAGAGGATCTTGGAAAAGTTTAAAAGTACTGCTGTACTTTGTACAAGGTGTATTCGTAAATCTTCATCTAGCCAAGTGGAAGTAAAAATTAGGTAGGTATTTTACATATATTAAAAAAGGAAGTGGGTGGAAAGTGGATTCAGAAGTGGAGGTTTTGATCGGCAGACTTCAAGCCATCTCTCTTTTTGTTCATTCGTTGCACTTTTGCCCTCGCCCATCTCGTATGCCCATGCAATATCGTTATGATGGAGTAAATAGAGAGATGGTAGACAGTAGATTATATCTGTAATGTATTCATTGAAGTTGCTTTTTCTTGGGTTTGTGATGGCCAACCACCGACAAACAGTCTATCCAAACTTGACTTCTTTGGATCCTGTGTTTATCATAGTATAGACGGCAAAAACAGCAAAGTAGGAGATGTCATATATCCATACAAATCAAATGGAAAAGAATGAGTGGTCAAGCAAATATAAAGCTTACCAGTCTTTCTATACTTGTACTCCTAAATCGATCCTGTCCTAGTCTTAAATCTTTTTCCCTCGTTTTGAATTCTCTTCTCCAATTCTCAATTCTCGTAGTAAGGTTCTGACCACCCATGATCCATCTGCTGTGTTTTAAAGTTTTAGCAATTCTTTTTTATTTTTTTATTTTATTATTTTATTATTTTATTTTTATTTTGTCCTACTGGGTATTTATTACTCAAGTAAAGTTAGTAAACTTAATAAAGTAAAGCACTTGTACCAACAGAACCAGGAACCTCAAGGCCCCACTCATTAAAGCCTGCCAAAACCTAACAAGCCCTGTAAAATTGAAAAAAAAGCACTGATAACCCATCGACAACCCATCGACAAGCCTTCAAAGTTCAGACACCCTCGACCCGGTGGACACCCACTATTGCCGAATAGAAGGCCAAAAGAAGGTTTCGAAACCCTTTTTTCTGCTTCTAGTTCAATAATCCCCCCCCTCTCTCTCAAGACCCCTCGACCCGAATATCTTTGCATCCCTCTATTCAGTCCATCATCCACTTCATCCGCTCCATCTCTCTAACCATTTCTCGCTCCATCCATCCATCCATCCCTCCATCTCTTTACTCTTTTCTTAGTCTTAGTCTTAGTCTTTTCTCACTTATTCCTATTCCGCATTCCTTGTCAACCAAATCCTCCTAGATGCCCAAAATCCCGCTCTTTTGGAAATCCATCTACTATTTCTGCGCCTTACACACGCATCAGAACACTAAAACATTAAAATTCTAATAAAAAATATCAAATAATCATTCATCTGTGAGTTGATCATCTTTTTTCATGATACATGGAACCTACCTACCCTTTCTTTCTCAAACTCTCTTCTCTTTTCCCCCCAAACAGCAAATTCTGCGCTTTGATATCTTAGCTTATCATTCGTTGTTTCTAATTGAAGAACAACATCTACAGAGCATTTTATCTTGATTGTACAACGTATTTCTTATTTGTTATCTTTAAAATAGATATCAGCGCATTATCAACTATCAAAAAAGAGTACCTGCCGCATTGTATCCCGAGCTTCTAGTTCAGCCCAGAAGCAGCCTCCATCTCGAGATCTCTTCTCCGCCCTGCAGCAATCGCATGGTTTCTTCCGAGGCATCTCATTAGCCTTCGTGTCACCTCGAAAACTACAACTTCAACTCAACGTCACTTCAATCCCGTAAGATCAGATTACAATCTTAATGTAAGTGTGCACATCCTTACTCATCACATTGAATGACGGGAAACACAATCACTAACATTGGGCGGAATACTAGTACATCTATCTAAACATTTGCTCGCCTGTTCGAACCTTTCAAAGAATCAATCTTTCTTCTACGACGCGCTCTTCGAACGATATCTACATAAGAGATATATCTTTGCGACGCGAATATTTGCTGTGGATACCTTGAACATTCGCAGAAGGACTCGAGTCCCAAGTGCCGATACACAAACAAGAAGGATTACACTTTGGGCAAAGCTCACTTCCTGTCGAGAGAACCAGCTTGCGGATTTAAAAAAGTTCATTCAAGGAACCTCAATTGCCAAGTTTGGAAACGCGCCACTCAAACGCACTTCCCTCATCACATCTCGCATTCGCCGCTGATTCGACATATCATCTCATCAGACGAACCTTTGGCTCGTGCCTCAGACACTGCAGTGTCCCGAACCAGCATCTCTCAAAAGAGATTCAGACATATTCACAAGTTCTGGGAATCGCCGCTCATACGGTCGGTGATCCCTACAGTACTTTACTGGCCACAGAACGCGTATGCGCAGTCGCCTCTGAACGATTAATCAATTACCGACGAGGTAAAAGTTAAAAGACTTTGACAGCTTTCCTGAATTGGAATTCTACATCTACGTTCTTCTGATTTGGGAGCAATAAAAAAAGAGGCATTCATTTTAACCGGCTGTACGGTCGCCCGTGCGTTGTGAATTTTCCCGCATCCCCGCCAACCCAGCGTCCAGATTGGCGGATTACAAAGTAACTGAACGTGGAAATTTATCGCGGCCATTTTTTAATACTTTTCGATTTTGAAGCCGTACAGTGGCCCAGTCATCAACAAGGTAAGCAAGCTCGGATATTTACATATTTACATACATACATGATCCACTCACTCACCCACTCATCCACTCATCCACCCATCCACTTTCTCTTTCCTGACTCTCCTGTCTGTTCCTAACTCCTGCAAAATTTGGAGAATTAGCGGTGTGCACCGTGCTGTTGTAGATGCCAACACCACACACAGCATTGCATTTTCTTACCCCATAACGCTTTAGCTAATATTCACTCACTATAGACTTTTTTGAAAATACAGAAAAGCCGCAAAATCCCCAGGATAAAACTACATCGACCATTGTTTTATCTTACTGCTTGTACGAAAATCACTTAATCACGTTACCGTACCAATTCACTACGCCCCAATCTTTAATCTTAAACCTTACAACTAGGTTGTATTTATATTTTATATTCTTGCATACAATTCGCAGCCTCTCGAACACTGCTTCCCGAGACACAAAGCAACCTTCGAGACACGGTACCATATTTTAAAACTTGGTACGAACGCTTGATCCAAGCGTCCATCACATCCTATAATCCTCTTTCTTCCTCTTTACCTCATTTTCCTAGCCAGGAAATACATTTCATCACACCATGGATATCAAAGAGATAGTTAATTCAAAAGGTGTGAAAGGAGCAGCGGCGGCGGCGGCGGCATCGGCAAGTGGTCAGGCTCAAGACTTACACCTACTCCAATCTATATCGCAAGCCAACGGTTTACGCATGTCTGATGCTGGTTCTGAGAGAGGTAATTCTCCTCATGGCTCTGAGCATTCTCAATATTCTACACCACGGATGGGTATGAACGGAATGAACGGAGCACCAAACGGCATGCGCTATCCTTCACCCCCTGGTATGCAAAACTCAATGCCAATGATGCAACAACCTTATCGTCCTGATGTTGCTTTCGACAATGGAATGATGTCTACACAACAGCAAGATAATACACGTCAACGCCAACCTGGCGATATCACTGTTACAAAGGCTTTCCCTTGTAGCACCTGTGGTAAAGGATTCGCCCGAAGAAGTGATCTTGCAAGACATGGTGAGTTTCTTTATTCACAACATTACCGAGAACCGAGCATTAACAGTTTCTTCAGAGCGTATTCACAGTGGAGTTCGACCCCATGTCTGTGATTATCCCGGTTGTGGTAAACAATTCATTCAAAGATCCGCATTAACAGTCCATTTACGTGTCCACACTGGTGAAAAGCCTCACACTTGCGAACGTTGTGCAAAGGTAAGCATTCCTGTATAACGTATGATCTAGACAAGTTTTACTAACTGTATGTAGCCCTTCAGTGACTCTAGCTCTCTTGCCAGGCACAGAAGAATTCATTCAGGGAAGCGTCCATATAAATGCCCGTATGCTGATTGTCAAAAGACTTTCACCCGAAGAACCACTTTGACCCGTCACCAAAATCATCATACAGGAACCGTCGAAGAGGCTGCTGCTGCAACTGCTGCTGCTCTAGCCGGTCGTCCTGGGAACAACCGACCCAGCAGACAGCGTTCAGATGGCGAGTCGTATTCAAACAATGGATCTCCGATGTCAACACCTTCCCCAGGCCGACATCTCTCTGCTTCTCCAAGTTCTGACATGGCACCAATGAATAATATGCAACGCCACCCTGGTGACTACGGATACATGAACAACAGCTCCTTACCAGGACATCTTCGAGGTGATTATGGTGTACCAAATCAACCACCACCAGTTTCTACCGCTTTTACCAATGGCATGCAGCGACCTACCTCCCATCCAACAGGTTATGGCCCGCCGAGCATTCTAGAGCCTCCTGCCAACATGGAACAGCGTCAACCAGGTAGCGCAAATGGTAGCCCGCACATGACAAACATGGGTTGGCAATCACCATCCCAAATGGCATCTCCATCGCACAACAACAACTACGTCTATCCGGATCCCGATCCTTATGGATCTGGCGCTGCTATGGGCCAGATGTATTACCCAAACTCAAATATGAGACGACCACAGAGCACGGAGCCAGAACAATATGATATGAAACCAAGAATCAATGAGATGTGGGCTACAGCTCAATGATGAAATCACATTTTTCGGAACTTTCTTTCTATTGCCTCAGCTTATTCTCCGGTTTTCGTAGCGCAATGAAATCTTTCATGTATTGTGCTTGATACCCTGTACACATCACGACTCCTTCTTTCGTTTCTTTCTGATCGTTCACACCTGATGTTCGACAGTATTGCATACTATCAAAAGGCTTGTTATCTCGATATTGGCGTTTTTGAGATTCTATTGCGGTCTTATACTTTCCAGGCGTTATTTTTTTTGGCGCGAAATAAGGGTTTCTAGACATCATGAACCAAATGACCTTACTTTTCTGATGGGGCAACTAAGGGATTGTGGATCATGGTGATAATTATGATTTTGCTCGGTTCCTCACCTTTCACATATTCTGTATCTGGTATCTGGCTAGCTAGCTTCACGTCGCTCCTTTCTCTCTTTTGACTTGCTCGTTCGACAAGTTACTCCTTTTGGTATGAGATGTATGCATTAGCTCATGTGGTAAATTGGTCGGCGGGGCTCAACTCCTTACTTCTTTATTGTAAAGAGGTATTCTAGGGATGGGTTTAGTCTGGTTTGGGACACGGGGGGCGGGGGGCGGGTGAATAAATTGATGGGTAGGTGGCTGATTGGTGGCTCTTTTTTTTTTTTGCTGCATTTGCTAGCGCCCGACATTATGTATGTAGAATTGCCAGCAATGAAAAAATTTAAAAATGAATTTTGTGACTTATGTCGTGAGAGTGTGGTGTGGTGTGACGTGCCTGTGTATTTGCGATTTTTGAAGTAAAGTTTATTGAGCCCTTTAACTTGAATCTTGTTGACATTGGGTTTGAGCTCACTGCTCAGTGCAGTGCACGCCGCACATGTCAAGCAACTTGGTCAAAATAGAGAGGCTCGGGGTAATGGAACACTCATTTGAAAACCAAGTAGAATATCCATTTCCATTGTTGAGATTTCTTTTTCTTTTCCCCCTTTGGTGTCTATCTAATATAAGATTACCAAGTTCATAGAAAGTAGATGTAGATGTTTGATGTTAGATGTTAGATGTACATATAAGAAAATAAGATAAGATAAAATAAAATAAAATAGTGAGGACGACCGGGTGAACTCCTTTTCACATATCTATCTAAACCCCCCAACTAACACCCTCCCCCCACCCACCCCAGCCGCCCAGCCCCAATCTTCTGTCTCTGGATAGTTCTACTACCTGAGTTTGAATTTGGGTTTCTCCTCGTGTTTGATCACAGAGTCAAGAGTTATGTCTCCGTCTCTGTCTCTCTCTCGCCCCCAGAAGACGTAGAAAAAAAAAGGTTTTAGGTCTTAAACCCCATTTCCATTACACTGCTCTCCCCCATTCTTCACCCATTTCCCTTCTTTCTTTTCCATATACTCTACCAAGTCTTCAATCGTACAGACCCTCAAACCCCACTTCTTTCCAAAAGCTAAACATCCATCTCGTCTCAACATCCCGGGTTCCTTTCTAATCGCCTCGCCGCTGACTTCCTCCCCGTCGTCTACTATCTCGCATATTACTCCCACGAGTGGTTTGCCAGCTAATTTGCAAAACTCCACCGCGGCTTCCGTGTGGCCCGGTCGCTCGCGGACGCCGCCCTCTCGCGCCCTCAGCGGGAATACATGGCCCGGTCGTCGGAGACTCTGGGGACCGGCTTTTGGATCCGCGAGCGTGCGACAGGTTAGCGAGCGATCGTGGGCACTGATGCCCGTGCTGGTGGACGGGTGATTGGCGTCGATGCTGATGGTGTAGGCGGTGCGGTTGGGATCTTCGTTCGAGTCTACCATTTGGGGAAGATCGAATTGCGTCGTTAGGCTGCTGGGTATCGGCGTGCAGATTATACCGGAGGTGTAGCGCACCATGAAGGCCATTTTTTCGGGCGTCATGTCGCTGGCGGATATTATTAGGTCGCCTTCGTTTTCGCGGGAGGCGGAGTCGAGAACGACTATGAATTCACCATTTTCTAGGGAGGGGTTTAGTTGAGATTGCGGTGGGAGTGAGGGTTTGGAGTGGACGGATAGGGAGGAGACTTACTGAAGGCGGTGATTGTGTCTTCGATTGTGTCGAATTCGTGGGATATATCCGAGGAGGGCATTTTGAATTTCTGTGAAGAATGTTGTGTATGCGTGAAAAGAAGGGAGAGTAAGAGAGTCTGGTAGAGGAGATAGGATGAATATGTATAAAGTATAAAAGTTCGCCGCTTCCCTCCCGAATGATAGTGGGGAGATGTCGTGAGATAGATAGTTAGGTGTAATTAGTAGATATCTAACAATAATTCAAAATCAATTTTCTCTTTCTAAAAAACAACTATCAAATTGGAATGTATAAGAACAATATTTCTAGAAAAAGTATTATACAAAAAAAGTCAAGCCTGATTATATATTCAATTGAAAGGACACGGATCTACAGGTAAAAAAAAAGGGTGAACATCAAGGTGCCCTGAGTACATTTTTTGTTTCTCGGAAGATTACGAAGATTATTTTACTGAGGGCGGGATGTTTGGATGTATGAGTAAGGTCCAAGATCTTTAGACTTTGCGTTTTTGCTAAGATGCAGGGGGGATATGCACAAGGGCTGACCGAGGCTGACAAAACTAGATGGGTTTTCTTTGTCAGCAGAAATGTTTGTAACAAATCATGGTTGAGAGTTTCATGGACTACCTGGGGATTTTCTGAGGATTCGAGCCGAGACGATTCGATTTCCTGGAGCTGATCTCATGTTCACTTGGCTACTACTGTATTGTACTATACTTGAGTACATAATCATCTAATCTCAATTGGTAAAGAAGTTGGCTTGCGAAGAAGGATTAGGACATCACTCATCGATCATGCCCCTCACAATCTCCACGCCACTACTACATCCCACATCCTTCCGAAATATCAATCTACTTTTCCGAACCGCACCTCGATACATCCAAAACCAATTCCGATGTCAATCTACCACCTCTACTAGCAATTCATCCGTCAATCCAGATGAAGTCTCACATTTCAATGCCCTGGCTTCTACATGGTGGGATCCCCATGGTTCTTCCCGATTATTACATTTGATGAATCCGCTCCGTCATGATTTCATCCGTACATGTCATGCCTCACAACCGGTAGCACCCGCAACTTCAGGACTGAGATATCTAGATGTAGGATGCGGCGGAGGAATTTTCGCTGAGAGTGCTGCCCGATTGCGAAGTTCCGGGAGTGTTACCGCGATTGATCCTTCGCCGGTAGTATTATCTGTTGCAAAAGCACACGCGAGGAAAGATCCCGCTTTGGCGGGGAAATTAACTTATTTAAATACGTCGATTGAAGGGTTATCAATACCGAAAACGAAAGAGGAACAGTATGATGTTTTGTCTTTGTTTGAGGTTATCGAACATATTACGTATCCGTCGTCGTTTTTGGATAAGTGTATGCCGTTTGTGAAGCCGGGGGGTTGGATTATCATGAGTACGATGGCGAGGACGTGGACGAGTTGGTTGACGACTAAGGTAGTAGCGGAGGATGTTATGGGGATTGTGCCGAGGGGAACTCATGATTGGTATCAGTATATTAATGAGGAGGAATTGAGGGGACATTTTTTGAGGGAGAGGGGTTGGAATAGTCCGATTGTTAGGGGGGTGGTTTATGTGCCGGGTTTGGGGTGGAAGGTTGTGCCTGGGAGTGAGAAGGTGGGGAATTATTTCTTTGGGATTAGGAGGGATGAGGTTAGGAGGGTGTAATTGGGGGAATTGTGGATGTGTATGATAGTATAGATGTTGAGTAGATTGGCTGTGGAAATTATATCAAAGGCAGATATATATACTCAATCGTATTTTCGAGCTCAGCTCTATTGATTCCAACGAGGAGGAATATGCTTGAAGCCTCCCCCCCACCCCACCTAATCCAATAACTATACCTTTTAGAGAGACTTAAACTTCATTCTCTACCTATACAGATGAAGCTTTAGGATACTTGGCTCAAGTGAAATTTACTAGTGTTAAATATATCCCAAATATAAATATAAATACAAGTTTAAAGAAACTCATTACATTCTAATATCTACAGAATGTAATCTTATATATTAGAGAATTGTTACGAGGTTTGCCGACTAGATCACGTGGAAGTGCTCTAGGCTCTCGAGGTGGTTTATAACTAGGCGTCAAGCAGGGACTTAAGTAATGACAATAATGCAAAGCGTGACTGTAAGTGTACCATAACCATATATTCCTCAATCATGAGATAAAAGATTGACATGATATGGTATGAAAACACTAGTGTTCACAGAAGAATTATATCTTCAACTTTGTGAGGAAAACATCTCTAGACGATCTGTTGGGCAAACATACCTCAAATAGACTTTGAAGCCTCAGGCACTAGACACCTCACTCCCCTCTTAAATCTGATCGCCAGTGCACGGCCCAGCCTCGCGCAAAATAATTCCCCAAACGCGACACTCATCGCATCGCAATCAATTTATCAAGCCATCCATTTCCCTCTTTTCCAATCACAAATCCACAACTATCAACACGATGCCCTCACGAACACCCTCACCTGCTCCACGGGGTCGCTCCCGAGTTTCACGTTCACGAACACCATATTCTAGCGCATCTCGTTATTCAAGGTCGCGCAGCCGTTCTCCTCGCCGTTCGATTTCTCCCCGTTCGAGATCTAGATCGGGAGGTAGAGCGAGTCGTTCTAGAAGTGTAGCTGGTACTGGTAGAAATGGAGGTGGCAGATACAGAAGTGAAAGTAGGGGGAGGAGTTTAAGTCCTAGAGGACGAAGCAGAACTCGAAGCAGAAGCCGGGAGAGAAGTGAGAGTGCCGTCGCTGGCGTGAGGAGTACTAAGGTTTGTTTGCTCGTGGTTGTTTTGTCCCTTCTCCCAGTTGGAAGAATTTATTAAGGAGTGGAGTTTTTGGCAATTGATTCGACACATAAATGCTAACAATCAATTCTCCTTGCAGGTTGTTATTGAGAAACTTACAAAAAATGTTACTGAAGATCATCTTCGTGAAATATTTGGTAGTTATGGTGAGATTAAAGATTTAGATGTACCCATGAACAGAAGTTGTTAGTTTACCTATCCATACTCTAATATTCCTATTTTCAACAAAATATCAGCTAACATTATTTGAAAGTCAATACCAATCGCGGTACCGCTTATATCCTTTACGTTTCCGCAGAATCTGCCGAATCCGCCATAGCACATATGCATGAATCACAGCTCGATGGCGCCATTATAAATGTATCAATTGTTTTACCCCGCCGCAAGTTTAGCCCACAACCACCCATGGCTCGTCGTGGAGTAAATATTGATCCAAGAATTCCGCTTGGCAGTGGTAGGAGTTCTCGTGGTGGTTTCGATTCTAGAGGTAGTGGAGGTGGAACGGGAGGAGGAAGACTGGTGGATAGGGATAGAGGTGGTGATACTTATAGACCTGGCGAAAGAACTCGTGAGAGATCCAGAAGCCCCCGGAGACACAGAACGAGAAGTCGAAGTTTGAGTAGTCGATCACTATCGAGATCACCGTTACCGAGGAGAGATAGAGTAAGAGACAGGCGAGATAGTTTTGGAGGTCGCGGAGGCAGGGGTGGAAGAGATAGGGATGGAAGTAGAGATGGTAGAAGGAGGAGAAGTCCTAGTTATAGTAGCTATAGTAGCTATGATGACAGGAGTCGAAGTAGAAGTCGGGGTCGTGGTGGAGGTGGTGGCGGAAGGGGAAGACGTTAATAAGGTTAGGATGAAGTTGGGTCAATTGCAGAAATGAGAGTTCAAGCATCGAGAGACAATCGAAATTTGCAAAGGACTGATCGGGAGCTAAGAGGAATGCGGAGCAAAAAAGTGTACAAGATATTTACTTTCACTCAGCTGTGTACTATTGTAATGTAGCTATGTAGCGAAGGAGTTTGGGATTTTGAAAGTAAAAAAATGGGTGAGCTAACAGGGCTATCCAAAATAAATAATGAGTTATAAAGCTTGTCTAGAGTGCAACAAGTGTTGAGAATCTTAGTCGTGTCTGTAGTGTCCTTGCTTTAAAAAGTACTATTATCTCGATTGTGAGTTGGACATAATCTGATTTTCATAAAGAATGAAGTTTTTATGTCTCTTCTTTTACCGCGTTTATAGAAAGTCATTCATAAACTTATATTCCTTAATCGGATCGGTATTTCTACTCTCTTTAAATTATATATCCTGTTTTATTGAAAATCATAGCTGAGCTTAGCTCTCAAGATCATAGCTCAAAATTAATAGTCCTCCCCGACCCCACGCTAACAGACACAAGAATTCTTCTTATTAAATCGGATGATGTATATTTCTAGCCAAGAAGGTTTTGATGTCTGTGGTTTTGTGTATGAGGGATTGGTTCTTCATTGTTTGGTCTTACTATTATTCAAGAGTGTTAGCTAGGTAGACTAAGATAGTGGTCGACCCCAAAAGAAAGTTATGAAGCTTAGTGTTAGGACTTTCGAGGCTCGATCATATACGGTGCGGACGAATTGGTTGATTAGTTGATGAATGACGAAGTTTATGTACAGATATTTCGTTAATGAACTTCTCTGACATCGATAAGAAGAAGGCGTTGTTATTATTCAGTGTAGGTTCCTGTTCTTTTCTTGATCTTCTTCTAATGTTGATTGTTATACTTATTATAGATATAATTATATCTTGAGGTTTAGATCAATATATACTGATGTTATCCCTTTCATATCCTGATATATTAATACTCCCGTCTGTATCATGCAAGTATCATTCATACTTCCTTCTCATCATGATGGATAAAGACTTAATGATCGCGGAATTGTGTACTATTATAATTATGCAATTGTGATTCACTACGAGACGCATGTAATAACGTTGAACAGAACTCCCATTGAGAACGAGGAGATATCGGATGGGAATCTGTCTTTCCTGCTCGAGATCATCCTATCGGTTTTTGGGAAGGCTATTTTATTACAGCCATCTTGACGGAATCACAATTGCTCCTGCAAAAGGTACCAGTATAATCTAAACTACAATCACGCTATTTTTCGCGCAACTCGAAAATCAAGAAAAGGCATTATTGATATCTACATAATGATTTTTTGTGGAAACGACTATATCAACTTCAGGATACGGATGTATCTAGATGGACTAAGTGGTTTACATCAACGCCGGCATGGAAATGAAGTAGCGTCAAAATTCCGTTCGAATCACGAGATTGATACTTTTCGCCTTAGTGCAGAACTTTACATGATGCTTACTACTCATTATTAAGTCTTGGATGGGTGGCTATTATCGTGGTGGCATGCATGCTTTTATGTATTCTGATGTCGAACTTCGGGTCAACAGTTCTTGATTATAGGTCGTTAGGGTTTTCTTTATTATACTAGTTATATGGACCATATAATATGGTACTAATTACCAAATTCAGAGGAATATCCCGTGCGATTTGGTAGAGTAAATAGAAGACGGACAGTTATAGATGAGTCTATAAGTCCATTAGTCAGAATCTATAGGAGCTTAGGCGCAGATATGGTTGTAGGGTTGTAGGTTCAAGATTGAGTGAACGAGAGAATTGGGATTTTGATTTTATATTTTACTCTGGCCAAGGCAATAAATATTTCTTTTGAGCATCAATTGAGAAGATGGAAGAAAGTTCAACCAAGTATCTTCATTTCGTCTACCTATCTATCTGTGCTGATTCAATACTGTATGAATGATGAAATACTGTGTTATATATATAGTAATATTGTGCAGAACAGGAACAGAAGAACATCTAATTAGAACGTCCATTTTGTTTTCCGGGGTATGGGAGGACGGATTCGAAGTAGTGTATGAAGAAGCGATGGGGTTGGGTTATAATGAGGTCATGTTATATTATTGGATGAGGATTGAGGAATCTTCTAATCGTTGGGGATAGTTTGTACATTGAAAGGAAATGTGAAGCATAAGTTTAAACCTGAGGGATATCATTGCCAACGTTTAGAAGCTTGGTTTTTATCTCAAGGAAAAGGAAAGGGGAGGGGCTAAAATTTCTCGGTACGAATTATTCCCCTCGCTTTGCTCGAGAGTACCTTATTGCTTCACCGACAATGTAAGATTACGTGGTGGATGATTTGGGCTATGTATATGTATAGCTATATGTATGTATAGAAGTAGGTACATAGTCAGAGAAAGGTAGGTAATTAGAGTAAGATTTTGTCACTTTAAATACCTAGTACGGTTAAGTAAGTGAGGTTGAGGAATACATACTTCATTGAACAGTATGACGCCTATCAGTTTTCCTGCACTAGACTTCTTGTATTTATTATTTATTTCATAGTCCCACCTCACTTCAAAGCGCAGTAAGTGAGATGAGATATTCAGGCCAAGAAACAATGATATTCGCTACCTAATTCCTAACCTGGTACCCTCACTAACTGTCACCCCTCACTTATGAAATGACTTCACCTTCTCCATTTCATCCCAACTACCCATGAAGATACCTGATCTATCGTGGATATCTTCTGGTACTACATCCATCATTCTTTCCATTTTGCTGTTTAATGCTTGGCCGCCGGCTGTGAGGGATGTTGTTAATTGTCTATACACACTTGACAGGGAGATATCAAAAAAGAGAATAGAAAGACATACCATTTTCAAAAACCATGGCCATAGGCGCACATTCATACAAAATTCTCAATTTACCCTTTGGACTCTTCTTATCCGCGGGATATGCAAAAATACCTCCATACAATAATGTTCTATAGGCATCTGCCACCATACTTCCGATGTATCTTGCGCTATAAGGTTTTCCTCCTTCGGTTTCGGGGTACTTTAATGAGTTGAAGTAGTTTTTGGTGGTATCTTCCCAGTACAGGGAATTTCCCTCGTTGACTGAGTAGATGGATCTCTTTTTGGGTAATTTCATTCCGGGATGTGTGAGGATGAATTCTCCTAAAGCGTTGTCCATTGTGAAGCCATTGACACCACCTCCCTTCATTGTAATAACTAATTGAGCTGAGGCACCGTACATGGTGAAACCTGCGGCGATGAGTTCGGTACCAGGCTTGAGAAGATCTTCTTTGGTGCCCGTGGAGCCTTCTGCGAGTTTATGAATACCAAAGATTGTGCCGACCGAGACACCAGCGTCGAGGTTAGAGGAACCATCAATAGGGTCGCATGCTACGGCATAACGAGCACCTTTAGCTTCGGGGAAGAAAATGGCTTCTTCTTCTTCCTCTGAAACGAGAACGGCGCATTTTCCGGAGGATTTCATGGCAGCGATGAAAAGATCATTTCCGATTACGTCGAGTTTCTTTTGATCATCACCAGTGGTGTTGCTGGATCCTGCGAGACCGGTTAAGTTGATGAGCGAGGCGCGACGGATATAATATGCTATGGATTTGAAAGAGAATTGGAGGGCATGGCAAAGGAGTCTGGTTTTTGTTAGTTTTCTGTAGTTTTAGGAAATCAAATAGAAATATAGCATACGTGAAATCTCCGGTTGCTTCCTTAACTTTTGCTTGCTCTTCGGTGAGAAACCTCGTAAGAGTAACAATATCTGTGTTAATGTGCTCTGTTGAGCCTTGATCACCGCCGTGAGACATTTTGAGGTTATTGAGAAGTAGATTTTTGAATTGATGATTTGATATATGTGGAAGTAAAAAGTAAAGTATTGTCGAGGGGTATCAAAGTAGGGGGTTTTGTTTTAAATACTGGACCTCGGGTTGACGCGGGTATGAAATCCGGAAACAGTAATTTGCTGAGAATTAAGACAGGACGACAACACCAATGGGTAAGTAAGTACTAGCTAGGAGCTCTATAACGTGGGGAAACGGAGAGTAAAATGAAAGAAAGGAGAATCAAAAGAAAGTGGAAAGAAAGGAGAAATAAGTACCTTTCTATTTATTCTGATATCATAGCTTCAATCTCATGTATGTATGCTCCATTATATTTCCAAGCTAAATGGCAAACCAATATTGGAGCTGATCCCCCTCAACATGACTCTCCCAATATTGGATAACTGAAGCAGTAAAAGCCCCCACGAGTCCCCATCAGCCCCGCACTCAGGTCCCATGTCTTATGCTTTGTTCATACAATGCCCCGCGCTAAAATGATCCGAGGAAATGGGGCCCTGGAAAGGATTAATGCAGTATATAAACACGGCAAAACGTAACAATGGCTTGTCGAATTAACGGAGGAGGAAGAAGAACGATGATTTTCCGGTCGGATGAGAAACAAAATCCATGTGGTTGGTAATGATCACGGTCTCGCCCCTTCGCACATCAGAATGATTATTGGAAGATGAATAATAACAGATTCCAGAATTGGTAACCCGCTTACATTGAGATATTGAGAACTGCAGGTGATCTGGAAATCATTTGGGAATCTTGCGGGCAAATTCGGCTTCGGACGGATATGTCATCTCTTTTTCCGTTCGCAAGAATGTTTTTCCATTGCTTGATGAGGGAACTTTTTGTCGGTGAGATGAGAACGATTCTGCAGTTCGGCTTTAGAGTATCAGGCGGTGAGAAGTGGCAAGAACATCACTGGATTCATATTTTGATCACGTGAAATAGAAAGCCCTCAGTTTTGAATCATCAACCTCAGGTTACTTTCCATCCCGCGCTAAATCTCGAGCTAGTCTAGCGCGCGAATAAAATTTTTGAGCTACAAAACTCTGCATCTTCTTACACAATCTCCAAAATATTATTCTTCAATACAACAACTCTGCTTCATGCAGTATGAATTGGATTGATTCAACTCAATCCAATTCAATTCATCATCAATGGTAAGCGCATCTATTTCTTCTCCCCCTTTCATTCATTATGTGATGACAAAACAACAACCGCAAACTAGAGTCTTTGATCCTACGGGACATGAAACTTTTGTAACACGTCAGTCTGATATTGGATCACAATTTTGCTCATTTTAGCAACTTGATAACTTTGATCATTGCTAACAATTGAGACAGATGTCAACTCATGCTTTTCGCATTTGCTATAACAAATTTTCTGATTCTCTTTTCGGCTCATTTAAAATTGTAAGCTCCCCCTATTTCCATTCTTTTCTCTTTTTCCCACATACAATTTGTGATGATGATCAGTTTGTGCTTTGCACGCTGGAAATTACCGACTGAAGTCCTCGGGCTTTTGACGACAAAAAAGGCTGTTACTGAGCAAATTCTTCCAACTCAATTTTGATTAATATTTTTTCCTCTTAAGTTGATGCTGACTATGTTATAAGATTAGATGAGCCCGATAATCACGAGGTACGACTCAATTCTCCTCACTTTTCAACACCACGATTGCACAAAATGATGAATGGCACTGGGCTCCGACAGTTCCAAAATGGTTCTGGTCTTGATGGATATGCCATTTTGCGGCAGGCCTAGAAAACCTCGCCCACTGATTTCAGTCATCTTATCATCATCTGTTGTACACATGTTTGAAATACGGTTTCTGATTTTGGAAGCATAGATTGTTATGATGTCTCAAGTGTACTTCGCGCGTTCCAGGTCTTGATTGACTCTGGCGCACCAATATCTTCACCTGTATGAGTGTTCACGCTTTAGGTAAATAAACATTTTCTCTTGCCCTCCATACTTTTTATGATGAGCATTTTTAGATGACGAGTCTGATTGGAGTTTTCCATGTTGACAACATCAAAATTAAACCATTCATGCCTTCTGAATTTTTTTAGATAGGAATCCTTTTTTAATGTGTATCGTGTCAAAGCATGTGCTAATATCAACCTTTTTAGATTTTCCAAGCACTGCAATCTTATTTGGTCGATGCCTTGATTTTCAACCTATTTGGTAAGAAAACCTCAGTACATTTCTCCGGCAGCCCTCGAGCATTCTGATGACATCGATCGACAAATGACAAGCATATGTCCAAGCCTCACGGTTGTGACGAGCCTATCTTAACTGAATATATGCTCATGCCATTATATACTTTTGTTATCAAGTCATGACCATTGCTAACGGTTATCGTTCAGATCCGTGACTGCAATGCCAGGTTAACTCAAGTTAAATTATCATACTGCATGATGTCGCCTGACACGGTGCTATATATTACATGGTATGTTACTATTATCTCTTATCTATTTTCATCCCTTCACCTTTTTATATGATGATTATTTTATCACGACGGTCGACATATCCACACGTTGGTAATTGATGAAAATGCCTATGACTAGGCTTTGATCTGAAATTTCATTTCTGTCCACATAATCTAAATAATTTTCTTCGCCCATGAAACCATTGCTGACGATTCAAAGATATAGAAAAACTTTTATATCGAAGTTCGTCTGTTTACTTCTGCCTCTGCGGACATGTATTTTCATTGCGATATTTGGCTTGCCATGTACGTGAAGAAGATATGAACGCCATCGTTTTAACTTCCGATATCTCGCTATTGCTATCATTTCACCATCCTGTCTCGGCACTCAAGCAACACAAGAGCCAATCAAGTCTTGAAGAACCATTTGATTGACACAAAACGTTTAAATGAGCTAGCTGTTGAAAAATATCTCTCCATCTTTATAGAGGGATATCCCATGTTCATATGACCCCATCATCCATAGTGTAAAACCTGACACCGTCATCTGCTTTCGTTATTGTGGCATTTCCCATTCCATAAATCAAGATATTTAGCCCACATTAAATAAACACCATCCATTCAGTACCCATTATCCATACCCCCAGCCAGCCAACCGGCCAAAAGACTGCAAAAGCAAAAGCAGATTCCCGAAACGCTCCCAGCAACCCCAACTAAGACTCCTTGGTATCATTCATTCATTCATTCATGTTACTATCGCTGTGAAAGGACTCTTGCCGCCCAACTTTCTCCCTGTAACCAAACCATCCATCTACAAAATAACCTGGGCATTCGAATCATCATTCGCACCATGTCAATCAGATCAATGCAATCAATCAATCAATCAATCATATCAATGCAATCCTCCCTGTGCATCACCCGGAAACGCATTATCCAGCGCCATGTAATCCAACAAATCCATACCACCTACATTAACTCCATCTGCCGTCTGCGTAATGTTTACCTGACTATTGAGATCTTGATAGAAGGCCGATCCTGGAGGTAAATACCACATTTCATCGCTACTGTTATTATTACCCCAATCATTGTTACTACCTGGGAAACCGAATATTGAGTTTATGGAGTCACCGTTGAAGGATGAGGCACCAGTGGTAGCTGGGTAGTGTGGGCCGGCGTAAAAATCGCCTTGATTGAGGTCGTATGGTGTGGCGGAGAGGTTCAGATCTGTGGAAATTGCATGATTAGAGTAGGATTTTGAAGGGCTGTTGATAATTTTCACTAACCTGGACCATTCGAGGAATGGTAATTTGGCAAGCCGTCATTCCAGTCTCGGACTGGGTCAGCTGGATCCCGTCTCAGTCTCTTTGGATCTAAATCCTGGGGTGGTGCCGGAGTACGATTTCTACTCGTTGGTTCTCCCGAGAGAGAAGGTACTTCAGGGGCGCTGATGAATCGACTGCGAAGTCGCTTGGTCAATGTTTGCAATAAGTCTGCAAAGCGGATGCCGAGATGGACATCATCGACTACGCAGGTACGAAGTGCGTCAACAGCAGAATCCATAAGGCTGATACTGATCTCAACATCGTGTTTAGATGCTCCTAAAGCAAAAGTCTTCAACAAAAACATGGCACCACTTATAATTCTGAAATATGTTCGAACAGGAGCATGCTTCAGGTAGTCGTTTGGTAGAAGTCCCTCTACGACGGTACGTAAAAGGTTGCGACATCCTTCAACAACTTCTCTCACATATCCCTGGTCTGTAGCCCCAAAACCGCCAAGTCTTGCCAAAGGTAACTTTCCAAAGTAATTCTGAGTCTCTGGGGACATGGCACTTCCTACTGGTAAACCCAAATCATTGGCAGTGTTTGTTCGATTTGTTGCATTGCTCGTACATCTTTCGACAACAGCCTGTAAAGAGAGAGAATTTATGTATATTCTAACATACTCGTACTCTATAGTTAGAATATGTCGAATGAATGGAGGTAGTCCAAATCTGTCAAATTCGCGTTTCCATGAACTTAACATTGGTTGAAAATCTTTCAAGAGATCCGTGTAGCTACCGTCCTGGATGATTCTGGTCGTGTATTGCCTAGATCTAAAGATCCTCTCGTTCCCAATGCGCATAGCGTTACTGATTCCAGCCCAGCAGTGAATAATTTGATCGTCCAATTCTAAGTCGGGGATATAATTAAAATTCGTAGCAGCGGTTGTATTGGTCTCTGGGGTCTTACCATCGACCGATTGTCTGCGTTTCCGGGGAGCAAATGCAGGATCTGTTTTCCGTAGATTTTCAGGAACCATGTTGGTCCAACCTAGACGCCCAGCTAGTTGCGTAACATAGATTAACAATAGGCGTTTTATTCTCGCCGCTCTTAGTCGATATGACTCTTCGTTATATTCTGGTCGTGTCATCTCTCCACCATCAGCCAATGATTCAGCAATATCATCGAAAACACCTAGTTCGTAGCCAAGTCCCATGGCGGTACTCAACAACATCCAGCACATTCGATCACTTCGCCAAGCAGGTTCCAACCAGCCTTCAATCCTTCTCCCACCAACCCCACCAGGTAGACGGTGTACGCCTTCATCATCGGTGGTATATGCATCTTCCTTGTCAGGAATAGGCAACATAAGTTCGTCAGTTGCTTCAGCGGGAGGGAAGTGAAGAGCACGAGGATGCCACTCTGTCAAGATCATGAGACTTTCGATGGTACCAAGGGTCCGAAGACTTCCTTTCCGTAGTCCTCTCCATGGTGCAGTGCTTGATGTGAGAGTAGCCTCCGCTCCAGAACCGCAAAATCCACCTCCGAATGCCTCTTGGCCCCAAAGACATCTCTCAATCATGCCTCTCAAGTACGTCCAAAGCTGCTCATGAATCGCATACGATCTACAATGTCCTCCGGCCCCGGCTATCTCCATGTACCGACTTGAAATTGTCAATAATGTTACTGTGAGGATTGGTTCTTCTGTTAGAAGCATAGGATGGGTGTAGGGTTCTTTGAAGGTAGGTGGGGAAATAGGTGTTAATGGTGACAAAAATTCATAATAGCTAAAATTCAATCATTAATCCTGGTATCAATCACAAGTGAAGGTAAAACTTACTACGTAATATATTGAATAGCTTCCACTGCGGTGAACCATCCTGCGCGAACAAATCTGAATCTCGACCAAGCTTTAATTGCATCCTGGTATCCCAGGTCATGGTCTCTTTCTAAAGGAACGGTATCTCCAGACGACAGCGTAGGATCGATTGAAGCTTCAGGATGCGCGGTTGTGTGTCGCACGTGGCTTATAGGAAACGAGGTATTTTGAGGCGTAGGGCCTCGATAGCTTTGCGAGGCAGATTGTGCTCTATGTCCAATCCCAGGAGATTCTTGGCTAGTGCTATCTAGCCGCGCTCTTTTGTGACCTGGGCTATTAAAAACATTAGTATAATTGCTCTATGACCGGTTTAAAATCTCCAAAATCCTAGCTGAATGCAAGATATCAAAAACATTTCCTCTTTTTTGAGCTGAACACAAAAATTGTAGTAATATGCGAAACGAAGATGAAATGGAAAATGCTTCAGATGAAAGGACTCGACATACCTATTGGTCGCAGCTTTATAGAGCAGATCTAAAGCATCGTGCGGACCATAAACCTCCTGTCTCATAACTTCTTGCGCCTCCGGGTTCTCCACGTTCTCATTTCTTTCTTCTTGTTGCCGCGAGTCCGATTGAGGTCTGCGCAGAGGCTGGGTTCTCCCAATAGAACCACCTGGGGTAAGAGGAGGTCCAGGCTCCATGCGCGCACTATCGGGGAAAGCGCCGGTCGTCGATCGAGCAGAAGAAGGCGCTCCCATGGAGGTTTGTCTGAAGGATGCGGGAGGAGAACCAGAAACCATCTTTCGACCATTGCGCGTTACATAATCGTCGGCGAATTCGTTATCAACACTGTTCTCTCTACTGCCATCCGCTTTCCTCTTTCTTCTCGTAGCTGAAAAGTAGCATTCTTTGCTTTCGCGTCGACATCGTACGCATGGTGGATCACTGGGATTATCGACACTTCCTAGATCGCACCTCACTTTGCGACGACGACTGCAATTGAATTAGATTTTGAGATGAGATATGTAGATAAGATGGCGTACCATGGGATGCAAGCCTGGTAGATTCTTTTGTGATTTCCTCCTAGCTAAATATTAGTCTGCATGTACAAAGCTGTGTGTGACAATAGGAATTCAGCAGAATATCCCGAGATTGATCCACTGACCAGTCTGCCCTTTGGAATGCTGCTGACCAGTAGAAGGTGTGGCATCATTATTGGGCTTACTTTGTTTCTCCTGCTGTGTAAAATTGGTCGTTGGCGCCGACATCATAATAGCAAAAAGAGCAAGCTTAGTTGTGTAAATGATCGAAGCTCATTCGGTTTCCCACGGTTTAGGCTTGCGATGTTTCCCGAGATAAGAGCGTTACAACCCGTGAGACAAACAAGTTGATATCGATGTGGAGGGTCAATTGTAAGCACCGATCTATCTTAATAAGCCTAGATAAAAGGAGAGGTTTCCAATTATTTATTTGTTTTGATCCTTTCGATATGGAGAAGATTGAAATACCATCTCATTGATTGGTAGATATAAAACTCTGACTTCTTGACTTTGTTTTTGGGATAAATGTTTTTGTTGGAGTAAACACTGTATTGTCTATGAAGATGTTTCGTTATCTTTTTCCACCTGCCTTGTACGAGTCAAATTACACACAAAACGGTATTTGTCTAGCCCTTTTCGCAAGGCTGCATATCCGAGGCTACTGATTTTCAATGTAAGGGCCTGGTGGGCTGGCTTTTAGGCTGTCTGACGACTGAAATTTTCGTTGCTATACGCACAGCAGTGGGGTTTTAGGTACATTACTAGGTTGGTAGGTATGTATTGCTATTTTGGATAAATCCGTACAGAGTATTTACTCCCTTTGCACTTGATTTGGAATCTTTCTCTCTCTTTTAATTGATTGGACATATTCATGTGGCTGGTTTTCTTCACCCTACATTCTTCTTTACTGGATTTAATTGCTGTTGAGCTACCTCTTTCATCTTGTCAATATTCCTGAACTTCGAACTAGAAGGCTTAGAATATGGGTGCATGGTTCCAATCAAGAGGAATCGTGATTAAATATTCTTGCACTTGAGATCTATTGTCGATGTCCTAGGCTTTGCAAAACATACCTTAGATGGATACTATATAATGACGGCATTCCACAGAGAGGTCATGTGTATGTATACAGCTATATGAGGTTGACTGATGCGTTTTCATCCAAACTTGACCTTTATTTGTCCTCCCATATCAGAAATATCTCCAATCATAATTATTAATATCATCCAAAGTTATTTCTCACATTAAAATATTCACATTCAAACAATTTCCAATGTTGAGAACGATGAAATGAAGGGGTTTAGCCGAGCGTAAAGTACTCGAGGCACCAGTCACTGCCTACCTAATACTCAATCACGACGGGTCAAGACATCAAATATGAGATAATGTGTACGTAGCATGTCGAAATACATGCTTAACCTTTATCTACTGCAAAAAAAGTACTCTAATTCGAGGTATGAATATTGTGCAGAACTTCGTCAGCTTTGCAATTTGGGAGATTTACAATTAAGTGAAAAGTCTTTAATATTACCACCGAGAACGATTTACATTTATATATACTAATAAACTACAGACTACCCAGTTTCAGCATCACTTTCAACTCCCAGTAACTATTCTTGATTAAAAACGCCAACCGTCCAACTCCATCATCGGATCCTAATATCTCGCTCAATCTTATCGTACTCCTTCATAATCCCAAATAATCCATTCCTTGTCTTCCGTCTGCCGTCCCCAATACCCCAACCTTCCCAAAAGCCACCTCCCTCTCCTTCAAATCAAAGACGCTAAACCAATTCCTCAAGAATCCACTTCCCAAAATAATACTCCTAACTTCCCCCTCTTCCTCTTCCCTCTCCATAAATAACGACACACATCTATGACCTCCTATATCATCCCTCTCTACTTCCAACGTATATTCATATGCCGTTAATGTGAACTCATGCTCGCCGAGATGGAGGGTAATAGTAGGTAAAGAATCACGGCGGGAACAAGGAATCGAAGGAGGGATGTCATGGCCGCGGAACTCCATTTCTAGATAATTGTGTAGGGAAAAGACGAGAGAGGAGGGAAGCCCAATGCCGGGGTAGGATGTTTCCAGGAGAGCGATGTAAGGACGGAGGTTGTAGGAGGAGGATGTTCCCGAGATGGTTAGAGATGTGGAGGGGATTTGCCAGCGACCGGTGATGAGATCTGGAAAGGCGGTAGGTCGGTTTTGGGAGATGGAGGTATGGTCTAGGAGTGGAAGGTGTTTTAGGGAGCCAGAGTAAACTTTATGGTCTATTGTGCCGAATGTGAGGAGACCAGGTGTGTCTGGGGTTTGTGGAAGTAGAAGGGTGAAGAGTGAATTTTGGACAAGATTTTGAGATTGAAGGTTAAGGAAGGGATTGGAAATTGAGTTTGGTGAGTGCGAGGATGATGGCGCCAATCCAAGAAGTCCATCCCATTCCAAATTACCCCAGTCAGGATCCGTAAACCGTCCTATGCTATCCACGGCGCCGAATTGTTGCGGAATTTGAAGGCCGGCGAGAATAATGGTGTCGGAGATTACATCACCATATACAGAACAGCGTGCGTATTCCATGGCAAAAAAGTTGTCTGTCTTCTTTTCCGTGTTCGATAAAGAAGGGTTGTAAAGCTGATGCGACTGACATGTAGCCGTACAATCGGTTGATGGTATGAACATATCATTATCGGAGATAGATAGAAGAGCTCGTGAGTGCTGTGACGGGCTTCCTACTTCCAGATCTATGACATATAAAAGTTCGTTCCAGTCCTGTACTTAATCAATGTCATCATTCAAATCTCTGTGGATGGGTCAACAACTTACCCAGTCTGGTACTCCAGTCCCGTACCTTGCTCGTCCATCCTCAACTTTGCCTTCTCTTACAGCTGCCAAATATCCTTCATCATTCTCTACTCCTCCAAGTGGACCTTTTAACCTCTTCTGCCCACTTTCATCATGAGTGCTCCGCCTTGAAGCCCTGGTCCTCTTCCTCTCCACTTCATGTTTCCTATGACTATTGGTTCTACTTCTTGCAATCCTATCTTCTCTAACCGCTGCCCGTTTCGCTCTTGCGTATGTCGAGTTTCTTGTTATAGAGTAGATTGGAGTTGAGAATGTTTCCGCTTGGGTTAATGTAACCGTGCATGCTACACATACGAGTCCCAAGTCCAAAATCTTCATATTGTTTTCTTGGCTTGCTTTATGCTGTCCTGTAATTTCTTTCTTGTTTTTCTGATTTGCTTTCAGAGGATGAAGTTGCTATAAGTATCGAGTGATTGACAGAGCCTTGCTTTGAGTACGCTTCGTGAATCACTACAATGTCAAACAATACCAGTACCAATAACGAGTGAATGAACAAATAGGACAGAACCACAGATATTACGAATAAAATAGATAATAACAAGAGAGGAAAACATAAAGAATACTGGGAACAAATCCTTCGAGGAATGAACGAGGCTATATCAACAGAACTCGCCAACTTGAAGTGATGTTGGTATGCACCATGTCATTGTTACATCTAGCTGCGCCCCCCTGACTCTTTGTTACTTGCTAATTCTCTCAATACACCCATCTCATTTGTCGCCTTGTGATTCTGTATGCAAGATAGCGGTGACGATGATATATTTTTAATCTACCACATCAACATGTTTTGGAAAACCCATGTTAGGAGTTAAGTGTATTGGTAACCGGATGCCTAAATATTTAGTTCGAATAGGATGATGAGGAAGGTTCGGCGTTAAAATTCCAGTCGTTCGGGTAAGCGCCGGAATGATGTCCAGGTTTAGATTGGCGCGGTGATTTGCCTTTTTGGCCTGCATGTAACCGCTCGGGCTTTGATGCGGCATTTCCAGGGGAGGCGAGCACGTGCTGTGTATCTTCACGTGTTCGGTATTTTACGTACTTGTCGCGATCACTATCATTTAATAATGTTGTGCGGTGTCGCAAATATGGTATTCAACTGGTGATTGATAGATACTGAAGTGACCGTCTTGCAGTATCCTAAATACGTCTTCGGAGTCCAATTCCGATTCATTACCTGCAAATATCGCCAAATTGTTTCACCGTGACATTAGAAGACCTTCTGCATTCATAACTTCCGACAGTTGCAGATAAATGAGGCATCATTAAACTCGAATCTCATATTGAGTAAACTGCCGCGTCCTGAAAGAGTGTTCGTTGGATAAATCTCTAGCAGGTAACAGAGCTACTCGTTGTGTTGACAAGCTAGTGAGTAGGAAGAGTCCTACCTTTTTCAGCATGAATCTGAGAAATTTGTCACTGCGATATTCCAGTATTTTTTATCTAGTACTTATCTTGCCCCGAGCACTTGCTGCAGTTGCAAAAGCTGGCAGGACTTAAGATGAAAACGTTTGGACTGTTTTCCTGGGGAGACAAAGCCATCAAAATCAATCTTGTGGTGTTACTCTCCAAACACATATTCCTCGAACATCCGTGCAGAGACATAAATCTCCACCGTAATTATGCCTATATTGAGATATAGCAATTACAAAGCGAGCAGTGATCCAAAAATCATCCGGTAGCATGATAGCATGAGAGACCATTCCACTGTGAACATCCTGCAATTATTTTTCTCGTCCTTCAAGCGTTACCCCGCGGTAATCATACAGATTCCAGCCACATGTATGTAATCATTCTGTAGCATAGCACGAGATTCATAACCCTTCTTTTCAAACAAAGTATTCATCATAAATCCTAGATAGAACCCCAAAGATTCGCATTACCAAGAATTGACACACAGCAACACAGAACTACTGTAAATTTCGATATCAATCAAACTCTAAAATTCGCATTTAAAACCCTTATCCATGATAGCAATGTATTCTAGGGTGAGCCACAGTCAGCCTAGAAGCGGCTTCAAGGGCGTCTAGAGTTATAACTCCGTTGCGGCAATCGTGTGAAGGGATGATTACTACTTTTTTGATCCCGTCTACACCTATCCAACACACAAAAGGTGGTACCAGGGCTGTGTTTCATAGCCAGGTAGATGTAAAGAGAATGTACGGCATGAAGTACGTTATCCTCCATACTAATGGTATGAATTCCTGACCACTTTTCCTCAAGCGTCAATGGATTTTCGTTAATAAGGCGATTGAAAGTTCGTCGCGGAGGAGCATGATGGCATGATGGCGCTTAATATCGATACATCCCCAATAATATTGATTTCTTCCGAGAACGGAAGAGCTTTCAATAAAACCAGTGTTGCGAATATTTTCAAGACCCACATACCATCACCTGCTGCAAAAAGCAGTGAATGATGTCGAGATTTCCATACGCGTTTCTCCTCTACTCTTTTATCTCACTCCTCAAATACCGATAAAACAGTCAACCCTCAAGCGCATGCCAAATTGTGAGCTTTCCCAATTCTGGCCTGCACTACCAACTTCGAGCATCCAAAATGTCAGCTCTCTCCTCTTGCGCCCATGTATGGTTCCAGCAACGCCAAATCGGAAAACTCCCACCACTTTATCTCAGCAGCTCCCCCTCAGAATCCAAACTGAAGCATATGGAACACCATTGGATCAAAGTTATCCAACAGTACCAATATATGCCCGAAGCAGACGTATTGAATATTACCATGCTCCAAGAAGAGCTAGAGAGAGGAATTTCGAAGGAAAAGAGAATAGCTGTGCAGGAATATGTCTTCAATGTAGAAGATCCGGAAAGGAGAGCTATGTTGGAAGTATGGTTGGCGAGGTTCCCGGGCTTCATGTTGAGGACTGATAGATTGGTGGATTTTGGGGTTGCGGATAGGAGGCAAAAGATTGGGGCTTTGAGTGCGTGGAAATCTTGGCTTAGGGAGTGGAAAATTTGGTGATCTAGGGATGGGGTGTGGGTGTGGAGATGCAATCGATTCCAGATACGAGATGTTGGTTGATGCGAGAGTTATATAGCAATGTGCTTGTTTGCGGTGACAGGAATCGGGCATGTTTGTTTGCGAAGTGGTTCTATTCTTGAAGAGTGGAAGGATAGATGAAAGTCAATCGTCACTTTGCAGACGCGGAGACATCTTATCGGAGAGTTATCTTTGCAACTATTCAATAAAGAACAGGCCGTCCTCAGAAATCTCTCCTGAAGCTTCATTTGAACTGATGTCAGTGAAATGCGAGATGCTAACCAGTTATTCACTTCATCGCTCACATTGCTCCTCATTAACTTCCCTACTCTCTCATTCAACCATCATTTGATTGGCCCCTCATCCCTCCCTCGCCCACATTCACCCGCCCGGGGTTTACAAGCTTTAATCCTGACTTCATCTGGAATCGTCTGCTCCAGTGTGATTATTCCCTCCTCGAATTTCCATTTATTACCCCACCCATGAGGCCCCTTCATCACAGGAACACGCTCTTTTGAGATTTCCAATAGCTTGCATAGCCAGCTAATCATGAGCAACAGCGCCATAAAATAGCCTCTCCCTTGTAAATAGATAGTCTGTGATCCAATAAATGCGATTTTGATTCCCATTAGCAAGCATTTACGCATTCAACAACGTGGATGTAAGTCTTATAAAAAATCTAAGCAGGAAGCCACTTCACTCAAAGAGGCTACCCTCTCACCAGCAAGCGAAATGATGCCCATTATCATTGTTGCACTGGCTCCAATAATGTATATTAAAGCCACAATACTCCATATCCTCGGTCAATGAACTTTTCTTTTTGCTTTCATCAAGAAACTCACCCGTGATCTAGATACTGTAGAGACCTCCTTCAAAGCAGAGCACTAAAAAAAGTGACGGTCAGAGAGAAATTTGACGTGTACGAAATCCACAATTCAAAATGATTGGGTGTCAGCTACAGATCCAATCATATATTTGATAAAGGTATGATTCATTCCCCAATTTATCATTGGTTCATGGGCTACATTTGATGGCGAAATCAATTCCCTTGGGTAGCACTTGCTACTTTCGAAGGAATAGCTCAGAAAATTGCACTGGACATTATCCGCGTGAAAAGATTCATGCAACAGGCGATGACTAACAGGATAGTTCCAGAGGTTGAGCCAAATGTAGTAGCACATACGGGTGCTAGTGAGTTGTTAGCAGAAAATCAGCTGATGAAATATTTGGTTGGAATATGCGTGGAAGAACTTTGTTTGGCTAGTATGTCTGCATTCTCATTTCACAACTTTTATTTAATACGTTACAAAACTAATGCTTTACAAATCGATCTTGGAATAACCCCGTATAGGCCGCACTAAGCACAATCGACGCTACCTGACAACATCCTTCGGCCTCTGACAAAATCAGTTAGGCTTCTGTCTTGCCAATGGAACCACCGTGACAGGTGTTGAAGTTCCGTTCATCACCCTTGGAAAATCTCCTCTCCGAGCAAAACGCTTCGGAGGTGCTATGGCAGCTTTTACTAGTGGCGAAGGTTACGAGATATCTCATCTGATCGACAATTATGACTGGGCTTCCCTCAACTCACAATTTGGTACCATCGTAGATGTCGGCGTTCTCATGTGTTTCTCTACAAAGAACTAGCCAAAAGATTTCCTAATCTCAATTCATCATCCAAGATCTATCAGTAACAGTAGAAAGTGCACCTGGACTTAATGCGTCCCTGTCAGTCAGAATCAAATATATGGTCCATGATCCTCAACCTGTCGAAAACGCAGATTTGTATCTATTCCGCTGGATCATGCATAACTACAGCAAGAAATACACCGCAAAGATTTGTGCTAGCCTCAAACGCTCGTTGAAGAAGGTAGCCAGACTTTTCAATAACGATTGTTGTCTGGCCGAGGCTGGAAAGAGCCCTGTATGATTGGAGGACAAGGCCATGAGGATCATGGAAATAAATATGTTGACAATTATGAATGCCCAAGAAGGAGCAGAGAGTGATTGGGTTGACTTATTTAGTGAAGTCAAAAATTTTCGATTTTTGGGTGTGAAGAGAGCAGTCGGATGTAGAACGAGCTGAGTTGAGGCCGCTCGGGAAGGAAGCAAAGCTGGCTAGTGGTAATGATCTGCTGGCTAGGTACTCTGTTATCCATCAAGTTTTTGGTAATCAACACGGAGACCACTCGCCTGAGGTGTTCGTCCGAATCTTTAATAGGTAGCAATAGTAGCTTCAAATCCTCAATGACGCAAATACATGATATAAAGCAAAAAACAAATAGCAAAAGAATGAAAGTGCGGCCCTAAACATTTGGAGCCCGTCGTCTACAAATACTTTTGTCCGAAAGATGACCCAGACTCCTTTTCCACCCGACGCCTATCCATGCATCACCAGGGTATTGCCGATCAGGAATACAAGATAAAAATTGCTAGCCGCAAATAATATGCACCTAGCAAGTGATAATCAGAGCATATCCGTATTCGGGACCCAAAACAAAACCTCCTGGTCCGCCGTAGCAAAATGGTTATACTTGGGGTTGAAAGCTACAATTGCCGAATCGCCTGCGTATTCCAATTCATGCAAAGGATTGAGAACTCGATTTTTCGTAGCTGCGAGTGTATCCCATACCAAGACATTTTTGCCTCGAGATCCACTAATTACATATCTTCCATCAGGAGTAAAACAGCAGTCTCCCGCAGTGGTATGGAGATATTCACTTGATGAAGGATCCAAATTATCCGGATTGTGGTCTCCTGCTCCCAATCTTCTGGCACCACCTCTATCCCTCCTTAGGAATGCTTTCAGATGTCCGTCAAATGCATCTAGTAAGAAATGGCCATTGCCAGTCGTGCCTAGTAGTAGGTGTTTCCCATCATTCGAAAAAGCTAATTTATTCCACCCTCTTCCAATTGCTTGCGGGGAGAACTCTTGACAAAATGGTAATATGTCAAAAGTAGCAAAAGGTTCCTTGTCGAAGTTGCGGAAATCATACAGTAAAATGGATTGAGCTAGCGGAGAAGCAGTTGCAAAGACGTTTCCAGATGGATCCCATGCCACGAGATGAACACCGGTAAGATTCAAGATACCAGCAGGATTGTTGGAAGCTGCATCCCATATCCGAAGAGTGTTATCTTCAGAGCATGAAATGAAATTGTCCTGACCAGGATGGAGGGATAGACATGTGACATTTTGTTCATGGCCCTCGAAGTAACGAATGTAGGAGTTATCATGAGCCGAGAGGTAACGTATTTTGTCTGCATTTGCTTAGAATTGTTACGATCGAACACGAGGTTATGACTTACGGTCTTTTTTGGTACTGGAATGTATTATACAGTGTTCGGCATGGCCAAACATGGCATGGTTGCAACCGTACTTAGCACTAATGTTCATCTTTGAATGTCTTCCTTCGAGAACATCATAAATTTGCATAGTATTATCAGTTTCTGATGTAATAAGCTGACTGCCATTGTCATTAAAATTGATTGATTGTATAAAGTTGTAACTCGGGGGAGTTTGTCCTTTGTCAGCAGGAGTAGGAGAATGGCGAAAAAGCTTGACGCATTAGTAATTGCCAATATCTTTCGAGTAACCAAAGCTTACCTTGACAGGAGTATACAGAGAGATCATCTCCGTAAGCTTGGCAGTTGATGGTCCTGATGACACTCCATTTGCTTTCAATATGGAGGTCCCATTTGATCCTATTGGAGAGTCTATCGCCATAGGAGTAGACGACATGTTGTTTCTTAGAACTAATATCTTTTTATACTACTTTTCTTTGATGTAGAGCAAACTTTGGGAGAGATTTCTCAAAAAGTCCTGGATAATGAAGAGACGAAGAACATATCCTTGGTCTTGATTTCGATTTCAACAAAAATACAAAGCAGAAAGACTTCATTGCATTGTTCAATTTGATATCTCCACGTGACTCGGACGAAACCTTCTTATCGGGTCCGCTCCACCAGACGATCTCCGCGCTGCTCCGAGAAAGATCCCTTGATTTGGTGGACATGGATTTGCAGAAAGGTCCAGCTCCGACCCTCGGCCTACTTACTTCAATGCGATGAAAATTATTAGTTATACAAAAGAATTTCGTATAAAAAACAGTCAGCTCATGTTACAGATACTTTGTATTCTTTCTCTAATCTTTGGGCTTTCTCCTTCCTTCTTTATATGTTGCAAATCTTTTGAAAGAGAATATCTGGCTGCTTGACGAACGACTGGGGCAAGCGATAGCGATTTCCTTCTGTTAACAAGGGTAGGAGCGGGGAGCTTAGAAATATGTCTTCGACATTAGGGTGAGTTTCCAATCTATGTCCTACTCTCTGATGTACTGACGCATAATTCAGGGCCTTTGTTGCTGGTGGAATAGCAGCATGTGGAGCTGTTACTGCAACACATCCGTTCGAAACAGTGAAGATCCGGTAAGAATATCATGGCACAATACAGTAAACTATGAAGTTACTAATTCTGCAATCACAGCATGCAATTGCAAGGCGAGCTTCAAGAGAAAGGGCTCCAACCACGATTATATAAAGGGCCTTTCCATGGTGTCGCAACTATTGTACGAAATGAAGGTCTTGGGGGCATATATCGAGGAATCGGCGCTGCATACATCTACCAAATGATCCTCAATGGATGTAGGTTAGGCTTTTATGAACCTATACGAGGGACTCTTACCGGCGCATTATTTGAAGATTCGAAAACACAAAGTTTGGGAATAAATATCTTCTCAGGCGCAACATCAGGGATATTGGGTGCTGCCGCAGGAAGTCCATTCTTCTTGGTCAAAACGAGATTACAGAGTTTCTCACCACAAGCACCAGTGGGCACACAACATGGCTATAAGAATGCTATGGATGGAATGAGAAAGATCTATACAACAGAGGGAGTAAATGGACTTTACAGAGGAGTGGGAGCTGCTATGGTCCGGACAGGTTTTGGAAGCTCTGTCCAGCTACCAACATACTTCTTTGCAAAGCGGAGACTTGTGAAACACTTAGGAATGGAAGAGGGGCCAGCGTTGCACCTGGCAAGTAGCACAGCTAGTGGTTTCGTGGTTTGCTGTGTTATGCACCCACCAGGTAAGCAAATTTTGATTAGTAAATGTACACCTCGATTCTAATTTCTCTTAGATACTATCATGTCTCGAATGTACAATCAGACCGGTAATTTGTACTCGGGTATTTTTGATTGTCTGGCAAAGACTGTGAAGACAGAGGGAGTCTTCGCTATTTACAAAGGATTTCTGCCCCATTTGGCAAGAATATTACCCCATACCATCTTGACCCTTAGCTTGGCGGAACAAACCAACAAGCTGATGCGGAAATTCGAGAACCGAATCCTTCCTGCTTCGATAAAGGAGCAAGTATAGAATAAATAGCTTATGCTACAACTATCCCCAGGCACCACCACGCCACCTTGTATATCCTTATTAAGCTTGTATAATGCATGTCCCTCAAGGGCGACCGGAGAAAATAATCGGTGTTCGAAGATAGAATTTTTGGGTTGTTAAAATCATGGTAGATTATGGTCGTGCACTTTCATCCGTTGATAGATCTTGAGCATCCATAGCATAGAACAATATTTGAATTAATGTCTTCTCTTGATGGCCGTGAATCTGGATTTTGATCTCCACCCCAACCATAGATGCCATCAGTGCCCTCTGCGACAGGAAGCCCGCAAATTCCACAGCCTTTTGATATGTGGTCAGTAGTAGGTTTCAATTTGCTTGATGTCCTAACAACATTGGCGACTATACTGGGAAAGTTTTCCTCAACAGATTCGAAATATTGTGCCATTAAATCATCAATCGTTGTCGATTTCGAGGAAGCAGATATATGGGAGGGAGGCGCTTGATGCACCACTAACTCCGGTAGAGGTGAGAATGAAGTGGAAAATGTCATAATCTCTTTCTTGAGAATATCTCGTAAGGGATAAAGGAAGCCTATTCCGTATGGTGATGGGCCATCGGAGACTTGCCATGGTAATGAGAATCCACGCCCTTTCGCTGTTTCGGTAAGCGTCTTTTCTGCTAGTCGTGTAGTAGTATCACCAAATAATATGCTCTCGCAGTCGTTTCTTTTGGCGACATCCACTAGGAGTCTGTTTAATAGCGTAGACACAATATCGGCCCTAGAAGTTGCAGATGACAATGAGGAAACGATCTTTTGCAAATCAAAACTTGAGGCCTTGGTATCCTGGGTAGGTAGATCGGATATACCTAAAGATTGCCAATCAATACCTTCTAGCTGTAAAGCTTCGTGAAGTCCATAACTTGAATAAGAATGTCTGGGATATTGGTCCTTGTATTTTTGCAATCGAGCAGCAGAGGCTTCTCTGTCTGCATCATCCAGATATAGGTCGATATGTACAACAAATAGTTCATAGGAAACTCGGTTCATCCGCTCGTGTTGAATTCCGAGGTAGCCATCTAGCATATGCAGCAAGCATGATGACGAAGGTCCAAAGGAAAGTGGTAATAATAATTTCTGTGGAACTTTTGTGGATCGTTTGCCTTTGTAGGTTTCCATGCGCTTGACAGCCTTTGTTTTAATATATTGTAAGAAGCATTTTCTGGTGGAAGATTTGTATTAGTATAACTATGTACAGATGCTGAAATGTATGACGAACTGGCAAACTGATTCTGATCGAATTTGGAGTGTCGCTTGAACTTCATTACATCTCTTGCAGAGTGCAGTTGGCTGTTCCCCGGGAAGTTGGGATTCCTTAGTATTTGGCGGCGCCATCTCTTTCAATGGAAGCAATATATCCAAATAATTTGACGTTTCAAATACATAAAATGTTTCGATGTTCTTAATTATTTTTGTGCATTTGTCAAGAATTTAGAAACTTTGACTTTGACTTTGACTTTTAGTGGAGACGAGGCTGCGGCAAAATATTGTCCGAGCATCATAGATTTAACCACATAAAGTTAGCCTGATCTGTGTCTTTAAACCCGCAATGAAGCTCTGCTGCTCCGTAATATGAGAGGAACCGAAAGAGGCTTGGTTGTTGCCAGAAATCAAATACAGTCAACTTTCTTCACTATACGACAAACCTCTCATTTTCGTTTGTGAATGCTTGGAAGCTGATCTGCAACATAAAGACGAAGGACGATCTTGTTTCCATTTTCGAATTTCAGTATCCTGGTATCTAGGTAATAAAGTAGCTCTCATTTCGAGCCCGCGAGGCTGCAGCAAGTATGCGAGGTTGGCTTCATGGTTTCCTCACATTGGGGCTTTCGGCCCTGATAGCTGGTGCGCTGGAGGTCAAGATGGTACGTCAAAAGAGGCAGAGATGAAATGCTCGTTCTGATGGCGAAAGCAGGATGAGTCTAATGATAATCGACAAGTATGCGCCGGAATGTATGATCGGAAGACTTGGGGAGGCCCGACTGAGCCGCATATATTAGTTAAATGGCTTCCAACTACACAGGACTCAGACGATCCTGATCCAATTGCAAGTATGATTATTTTTGAGTGGAGGGACTACGACCTTGTTGGTGTATTACCAACCGTAGACAGCATACAGGTATGAGTGAATCAATTGGTGAAAGTCTCTTTTGAATCATCCACCCGCTGATACACGAATCTAGAAAGAATTCATTTGCGACCCAGAAAATATCAGCAACGGTTTTTGTAATAGTAATCAAACTGGACAATTCTTATTGGCGCCAAACGCGACGGAAAAATCGATCAATCAAATCTACACAGGAGCCGTTCATCTTAACAATACTGGCCCGCCGATCAATTATCCCATCAAGAAAACTGGTTATTATTGTGTTGGCACAACTGGGTATTCTCCTTCAAATGTCAAATACACTGCGGTTGTGGAGTTCCGAAATGCCTATGGGGAGCTTCCTGCAGCACAAATACCAAAACTGCCATTTTATGGTATCATCACAATTGTTTATGCTGTTATGGGAATGTGCGTTATCTCATCTCCCAAGTTTACTGCTGAAGCTAATGATGAAATGACAGTCTTTGGGCCTTTCTATACGTGCAACATCGAGAAGATATTCGTCAGTATCCCCTATCGAGTCTGTTGATCTGTACTAACTTTTCCCATAGTGCCTGTACAGAACTATATTACAGCAATCATTGTATTTTTGATAGTAGAAATGCTAATGACCTGGGGATTTTATGGTACGTTTATTTTTTGGTGCTATTGGGATCATGCTGACAATTGTAGACTATCTCAATCGATCCGGCAGCAGTGTTGGTTCGAAAGTGATGATGATAATTGTTGCTGTGCTAAATGCGGGCCGCAATTCATTCTCATTCTTCTTGCTTCTCATCGTCTGCATGGGTTATGGTGTCGTCAAGCCTAGTTTAGGCAAGACTATGGTTTATGTCCGATATCTTGCTGGAGCACATTTTATCTTTGGGCTGATTTATTCTATCGCGAGCTTGACAATCACTCCCGAACATGCTGGTAAGACTCTCTCTTATCGGTGGCTATTCTTGTACTAACCCAAGTATAGGTCCCCTTGTTTTGTTTGTTATTCTTCCATTGGCAGGGACTCTCACGGCATTCTACGTGTGGACTCTCAATTCCCTAAACTTGACCATGAAGGATTTGAATGACCGCAAACAAACTACGAAATCGGGAATGTACCGCAAGCTCTGGTGGTGTATTCTTCTCTCGATTATCGTTATATTTGGCTTCTTTTTCTTCAATTCATTTACCTTTGCTTCGGCTTCGGATCCTGACTTTGTCCCTTTCCACTGGAAATCCAGATGGTTCATTCTCGATGGTTGGCTCAATATTGTCTACTTGTTGGACGTCGGATTTGTGGCATGGGTATGGAGACCGAGTGCAAACAACAGAAGATTCGCCATGAGTGACGAGTTGGCACAAGATGATGAGGGATTTGAAATTGCCGATTTTGGCGCCGAGGATGATGACGAAGATGATGTTGAGAATTCTGCCGCTCGCCGAGGTGACCGAACACAGCCTGGCCAAGAAGGAGCAAGATATGATCCTCCACCGGGAGCTAATACCGCAAAGGAAATCCCAAGAGAAAGTCTTGATGGTGAAACAATTTTTGCGGTCGGAGAAGATGCTGACCGCTGGTCGGATGAGGACGATGACGATTCAGAGGCGGGGAAGAAACTTGTGGGCGGAAAAGGGAAAAAGGAAAATGATTCGGACGCAGATTAAGCAAGTCTACGCGCTTGTGTATCATAGTATTAGTCGGCGTTGGGTATTATTGGTCAAGGAGAAAATAGCATTTTCATTTGCGAGGTCAGGGGGATTTGTCATAGCATTTGTACTTGTTTGTTCTTCTATCAAGGTATTTGTCTAGAATACAATTTACGGATTCATAGACTAGATTTATATGTATAAATTTTTCTGATAAAGTGAGACGCCAAATTAGTGTGTGAATGCAATGGTGAATTGTGAATTGTGATTAGTAGATGGAGATTCCGTGCTTGTAAATCAAACCCTTATTTCTTCATTCTCGCTACCCCTATTTCAACAAAAGTGATCCGATTGTCAGGCGTTCTGAAGTGCGAAGGGACCCGAAGCTTATCAAACGTGGATGCTTCATTGATATGTTCCGTTCCATCCATGCTTTAAGAAACCAATTTGTACATCGCACTATTTCCAAAATGACTAATACCGTGATGAATAGCAACATATCGTCTTCAAGAGCATTAGTAGGATATCTAAGTCCTCTGTTGATATATCTCAGTCTAATCATGTATTTGTGACGAACTTTACCTAGCATGCAGTTGAGAGGATTTAGTTCTATTAGCTATAGGGAGGTCAGCTAGGCTGATAGCGGTGATACTGGTTGTTGGTCGATAAGGCTTCATCTAGTCCGCTAGTGCGGTAAAGATTCTTCAGATGATTTAAATGTATGTCTGTTTGGTGGTCTGAATACTCTACTCTAGCTACGAAGTTGGAGATATGGTATCAAGTGCCCTGTTCAGGGATTGATGGACTCAATGGGCTCTTGTACTTCAAGGTCATTAGTGGTTCCGTTGAGTTTAGATCTGTCGTCTTCTCCATGATTTGACGAGGATGAAGTCTACTTGAAGTTCCCAGTTCAACTGCTGATGATGAGGATCTACTTCTTGATTTTGTTCTAGTGGTAGTATTGAATTTTCCCAGCCTTTTCCCTGACCTTCAATTTTCGATGACGGAGAAACTTTCATTTCTAATTGCCAAATCAAGCATTTTCCAGTAGCCTGGACATATTCTGCTCGCTATCGTACAATTTATGCAAGGTGGTTGTTCTTGCACACATTATACGAGGCAGATGATTACTCGTAGTCACCTCGCACTTCTTTTCTTGTTTGAGCTTCTTTGAGGAAATCGCACCATGTTAAGTTGTGCATGTTGTGCCTCCGCATTCGAAACCTGGCATTTGAGCATTACCTCATGTTGTGATGTCTCATCTCGGCCTGGCGCCAAGGCAGTGGATTATGGGAACACAAATAAAACTTCAAAGGTTGGGGATTTTCCACGTACGCAAATTCTCCCCTCACTTCAGCTTACACACCCTTCTAGGCCTCTGCAACAGACCATGATTACCGAGGACTAAGAAACTATTCTGATAGGAGTGAGGATTAACACAATTTCGCCAGTAAATGGGAATATCGACAGCTTTCTGTCCAATTCTCACCACGATCATTCCAATATCATTCCCTGACTTTCTTGCCTTTATTGGAAATGCAAGGACGATTCCATCAGGCCGAAGCAAACTTCTCCAGCGCCTGAACAGGTTTGAAGCTGCAAATGGCGATCATAGAGATACAGCTAACTGCGCCGCAGTTCGATTTTACACAAAATAAGTTGATCCTGCCGCTTCAACGGTTATGGACAGGCTTCTGTTACTATTGAGCAAAGCTGGCGCTTGCCGGCGGGTCGGCTCTTGTGATATAACCAATGCAGAATCGCCCGGGTAAGAAAGATTCCTGCTACAAAAAGTACGAGGTTTGAGAAGTCTCGCACTGCATTCCCAATTTGATAAAAGTGATACTATTGTATGAGCTTCGTGGCACTTTCTCAAAATTGCGAAATTGGGCCAATGTTGATGTTGAGGACTGGATAACAATACAGTAAGCTCGTGTTTCTGTCCAGGAACCACGGGTCCCATAAGCCTTGGGGTCGAAAATCATCGAGTGATCTCAACGACTATGCCGAAAGAAATAAGATGCCGATGAAATTCGGGATTGTGCCCAGTCTCGAATTAGTAACCTGCTTCAATCTTCAATTATCAAATGGTAAGATTACTAGATCTTACCTCTACGGCGGATCTTGAGATGTCGGGGTTACTGAACTCCGGCTTACTAACACCACATTTACCATCTTCTGAATGAATGAACACCGTGACATCAATCCTGAGCAGAATTGCATTATACAGTGGATCTTTCAATATATTATCACCATGAAAGATACTAAATTCATGGCAGAAGGAGACCACACAATATGTCTATAAAATCATGGGCATGAGCATCGGTTTCCGTTGATAGAGAGGTGCATTCAGCTGGGTGTATTTTGGAGTCCATTCATCCAAAGATGATAGCGACTTTTCACTATCATGCGAAAAAAAGGAAAGCCGAAGGAACCCAGGGTGTATGATGCATACTCCTTGAACTTTGATGGTGGTGGATTTCAGGTACGTACTCTTACCATATACACTTCTCCTACGGCTTCTTCATGTATTTTTTCTCCCTATCATCGCTGTCGTCCTCTCAATCTTCTCCATTCAAAAAATTATCTGCATGTTTCTCATGTCTGTTCTTCTTGAATAAATTACAACTGTCAGCAATTTCAGGCACTATGTTTGTTTGCCAAGATGAACTAACACTGTCTCTCGTGGTTCTTCTTCGAGCACTTCATACATCACTGTGACTGCCTGCTGTGGCGACATTGATACAGTCCCATCCTCAAGAGTTATCTGTTACGGAACTTCAAGCAATACTTTTCAGCGCTATTCCAGCTTGCTTCTTGCTCGAGTCGTTCCACCAAGGTTAACCTACACGCTGCGTTTGATCCTTCACTTAATATCGGGAGTGCGGTTAATTTATTCAGGCGCTTTTATTGTTGAGCATACGGTGCAATTGAAGAGGATCGAGCTTTAAGTGTGCCCCGCTATTTTTCATGGCACTTATCTCAAGTCGAGCGAATGCTGTGTCCAGTTTATCTTCACTGCTGATACATTTGTTAGTCAAAATGGAGAACTAGCATTCAGACTACAGAATCGACGGTAGGAATATATGGGCAACGATGCGCAAACAGAGAAAATACTCGTATCCCTAGGAAAAACGCATCCGTTACAGTGTTTTTTATTTTTAAAGAAGAGACCCTCTCCTGGAGACTTCCACAGAACCCGGATTTACCTTATATCAGAAATTGGGGTCAAGAGTTTCCTAAAGGATAGAACTTTTAGTTAAATCCTCAAATTATGGGACGAACCAAAGGCCTCAAAACTAATGTACAACCAGTATTTGTACGGATAAACATCTGAGCTATGTAACGACATGGGTATTAATGCCTGTATTGCAGATGTGTTCTGAAAATGTGTTTCCATACATTGAAACTCCCAACCGTATCGAAGTTAATTCAAGTCAAGGGCTGCCACAGACTCCCCAGTAAATATTTGAACTCGATTTCTCTCTGCATTCGGGAGGCAGACCGAAACTCAACAGCTGCAGATAAAATATAGGAACGAAAGTTTAGGCAGAAGTTTCGGGTCTAAATGCGGCCCGCGACGACAACCTACTTGGCTGCCCATAAGGATTCCGTACAATCACTATCTTTTTCCTATACAGCCTCTTCAGCGACGGGAAAACACACAGGCTCATTTTAAGCTCAATGTCGATAAGCTTGATGCTTAATGCGTGTTCCATAGCCTCTCTCCTAAGAAAACGGGAATCACTGGTGAGCGTTGTTTCTAGTCCTTCTCAACGAATAATCTATGGCTAGCTATGCAGATTCTCCCTCTTTAATTACAGGGTTTAAAGCGAAAGAACGGTTCCGAAAATTAGTCGGTAATGTTAGTCTAGGCTATGTACTTCTACAGACTAATACTGTCTATAACTGACATTATGTCACCACGTCTATTAGCTTTTAGGTGAGGGCGCAAGTTGACCAATCATACAGCCTTTCCTCTATTTGTCGCTAGTCCTTATTCTTTTCTCCAATCAATTATAACACAGAATGACAATCCATTCTCTCCTTACATGAAGGAACGGTCGCAAAACCATTTTCGCGACAGTCAACACTCAACACCTTCCTAGTAAGAAGTAGCATTTAGTTGATCTACAGAAAACCCATGTATTATCAAAAGTTTAAATCATCGGAGGCTGAGTTTCATCCCATGTCAGCCACGTTCTCAACTCACTGCATACCCAATTAGGTTTAGTGGTCAGCCCTACGATGGCTGTGATGCCCCACAGGCATTACTAAATGAGGAAATTGTTAAGTTGGTGATGAGATGTTTTGATAAGTATCGTAATTATGGGTTGAAGGATTTCGAGGTGTCTCGACTATATATTGTTTGGTCTTTTCGGCCGTTGTACTATGCACTTCCTTCCTTCCGTATCAACTCATCAGGTGCAAGCTCTCAAGCTTTGAAAGTATCTTCATTGCAATTCAAAAACTTCAATAAAACTATCTCTTTCCTAAATCTTTGATATATAAATATTCAATGTGAGACTACACTCTCCATTTTCATTCCAGCACTTGTTACACGAATCAATCAAATCACGGATCACAACTTAGAGCCATGACTATCGCCTACCGCAACGGTGTCGAAATCGGCGAACTAATCGTCTATATTCCCTCCCTATTTCTCTCCACTTTACTAGCCTTTCGTCAGGGTTTTGGCCGCAGCTCTGGCTGGTACTTTCTCATCGTCTTCTGTCTCGCCCGAGTCATCGGTTCATGCATGTCTTTGGCCGCCATATCCTCCCCTTCAGTATCTCTTTTCACTGGCTCACTCATCCTACAAAACGTCGGCCTCTCTCCTCTGATACTCGCTACACTTGGCCTTTTGAGTCGTGTCTTGGAAATCATTAATCGAAATACACATACATTTGTGCAGCCACGATTACTGAAACTCGTTGAGTTACTGATGCTGGTTAGTCTGATTCTTGGTATTGTAGGCGGAACAAACGCAAGTCATTCATATACCACAACCGGGAAATGGATTCCAGGAACGGAAAGCAAAATTTCTGAAATCTTGTCGATTGTCGCTTTTATGTCACTCCTCATTATTACCATCCTCACCAGTTTCTCAATCTCACATGCGGAGAATGGAGAAAAGAGAATTTTGCTGGCCGTTGCTCTCGCATTGCCATTCCTATCTGTTCGACTCCTGTATTCCGTTCTCTCAACTTTCGTAACTCATTCTTCCCAATTCAACTCTTTCACCGGCAGCGTCACAATTTTATTATGCATGGCAACTCTCGAGGAAGTGGTGATTGTGGCTCTTTATTTGGCGATTGGATTGACGTTGAAAGTTCTGTCAGGAGATATGGTTGTTGAAGGGGATATGCAACGGCTTCCAGGAACTCCAGATAGTGATGGGCTTGGTCAACAGACTTGAGAAAGACTAATGCAGGATCAGAGTCAAAAATCCGGAGCAGGGAATGTGGTGTTGGAGATTGCGAAGAAGTCGATTATTGGAAGGACGGTTATGTTGTTTGTACCTGGGAAAAAAGAGGATGTGGAGATGCAGAAGTATGCTCGGAAGTAAAGGGCGCTGATATGGAGCGGCCTGAATAAATGCCGATGAGTTTATTGCGTATATTTAGTGTTGGTATTAGAGAAGGTATATGGTTACATCGTGATACTCTGTATATATAAAAGCTTCTTTGTAAGATTACATAGACCGTTCTTGGATACTTAGCCTGCATATAGAATTCTTTAATTAGCATCTCAGATTCGCAAAACTGGTGCACCAAAATCTTCTACGCGGAATATGTATTAACTAGTGTTACGCAATATGGCTTTTACAAACTATCTTGAGGTGTAATTTCTTGATGTGAAAAGCAAAATTTGTGGATGAGAAAACTATTATTTCAGAATTTATTCAAGTATCTGCCAGACGAAGTGGAAATCGTTGTGGAAATGGGAAGGGTATCCTCGACACCGGATCATGGCGACTTAGTTTACAGCCTGGGCCGGTTGACAAAATAAGTGTTGAAAATAGCATTGAATGACTTATTTATTACAATCAATAGATTCCCCATGTACATCTGTATATCATCTCTGTCAATACTACTCTATAGAGAACATATTTGTATATTTTCAAGTTGATATTGGATGCTATTAATAAATGAAGTAGAATTTTATATTTTACTAACCGATATATCTTGTACTGTATTTCCATTCATTTATTTACAGTTAATCATTTCATCTTTTTATTCTTTCACTATTTAATCTTTGCCAAAAATAGTCTACGTCAAAGTAAAAGTAAAAGTGAAAGTAAAAAGGAAAGAAAAAAAGAAAAGCTCAAGTCTGTGAATGATATATTCTTCTAAAATGTGACTTGATGAGACTATGAAGAAACCGGCTTCATTATCTTCATCTCTGCACACCGGTCGAGTGATGCTTGATGAGAATTAAGGAAGAACAACTTCTTATAAGGGGGGGAAGACACAAAGCGTAGCTCATGCATGCATGTATCCATGCATCTCCCACAGCATTAATTATCCAGATTCCCATTTTCACGGGATTAGCTGCTTATTTCTGATGCAGACCCAATCGCACAGATACATATTGTACCTCCCGGCCCTCTCGAAACCTCCAAAGCATCATCACCAAACTCCAAACCCACAACCCCATAAAATATCTATTCCTTCCTCCCCTCCTCCTCCACAATCCCCTCCACTTCCATCTCCTCAAACAATTTCCCCCTCCTCCTCTTCTTCCTTACACCCCTCTCATAATCATGATCATAATCATCATTACAAATCCTCATCCTATCCATCATCTTATACCCGCAATTACTCTCGAGCTCCTGACCATCCATCGTATATCTATATTCCCCCGTCTCGAGATTAATCTCAGTTTGCCGCTTTGCGCCTAGTTGGAGGGAAATCCGATCTCGGATGAATGTGAATTGGCGGTAGCCTTTGATGGGGGATGCGGGACGCCGTCGGGGTTTTTGGGTGGTGCTTGTGGTTGAAGGGGGGAGAGGAGGTATTCTGGGGTGTGGGGGCGGAGGTGAGGGAAATGTGAGGAGATGGATTGGACTAGGTGGTTTGGGAGTTTTAGGGGATGTATAGGGTAGGAGGGTAGAATAGAGACAGATTATTTGGTGTATATATCCTCGCCGTCATTGTAAGGATCGAAGGTGAATTCGGCAGTGGTATTGGGGGAACGATCGGGATATTGTGAAAGGAGTAGGTCGAGATATATATATCTCAATAGTATGCTATAAGGGGGAGGGGGGAATGAAGAAAAAAATGTTACGAGGTTTGCCGTCTAGATCACGTGAAAGTGCTCTAGGCTCTCGAGATAGTTTATAACTAGACGTCAAGCAAGGACTTAAGTAATGACAATGATGCAATTCGTAACTAATAGTAGAGTATACTAAATGATTGATCTTGAGCACGAAGCTCTACAATAAAGAAATTCATATTGAATATATAGATCTTGATGCTCCTTGGATCACCTTGGATCACCAGTGATCCTGAGTGATCCAGCATACTTGTTTATATGCTCTGATAATGCGTGCATATAAGTTCTTAGGGTGACCGAAATCTCATAGTAAATTGAACGAATCGAAACCGATTTGCACATGGCCCAAGCTTACGAAAACAAGTCAGCTGTTACCATCGTAACATTATTAAGGATTGTATAATTATATAACGTGGTTTATGTGTGAACGAAGTGAATGACTTCAATTCAATTACTACTGTAATAAAGAACTAGGCGAACGCGAAAGAGACTAGCTCTTTTAGTAAGTCTATATAAGACTTACTACTTTCAATATGTAGCTAGCTCTTTAGACAGAATACAATTAGACATACAGGACCTACATAATCCGTGGGTGCTACGTCTTCCGTATCCTTCTCGTACCAACAGTTTATCATCGGGTCGCCAATATCACCGGGTCGCCACTTTTTTCACCATTCAGCCACTTCAATTTTGTATTATTCAACAACTACTCAATCAATTGATTGAAACTATTAAGAATCTAATAATCTAGGGTCTATTATACTATTTTGACAAGTTCTTGAATTGTGACCAGTCTTTCCACATTTACTACAACATCGATTAGTAGATGATTCCCTATTGGAATTTCCCCTATTTTGACATTTGTCACATCGAATCTGAATATCCATTTCTTGTTGTAATATTATATCTATAGCTTTTTGATTAGTAAATACTCCTCCTTGATATAATTGAGTTTTTTTAATATATCGATATTTGTTTAATATCTTATTTGTTTTTCGAAACATACAAATCTCTATATTTAAGAATGTATTCTTATAAATTAATCATTTTATATCTTTAATTAATACAATTACAATTTCGAATATAAATGTAGGAAAACTTGATTGATGTCGAGCAATTCGAGATTTCACTAAAGTTGATTGTAAAAAAGCTTCAGTTGGATTGTGAGGTGTTTGAGAGACCCAAGAGTTGGCAGATTCCAAAAGGATCGATGGAGGGGTAGGTGTACGAATTCGAATATCTAATTTCGAAAACACAGCTTAAGGATCAAATGATATTAATTCTATTTCTTGAAAGCCAGTTTTCATATTCTGAATTATAATTGATTATTAATATATAACTTTGAAAGTTATAAAGAATTCAATCTTAGAAATATAATTGATATATATCTTGATAAACTCATCAATTTGACAATTATATAAATGTTTGAGTATACTAAAATATTCAATATCAAATGATTGAGTTAAATAACTTGAATACAATAGTAACTTTATATATATAATATTATTTGAAATACTAATATTCGATATTTGCTCTTTCTTCGTTGATTAATATATTTATCAAAATGCTTTAATTATTCTAAACTTATTTTATTATTTGTCTATCTATTAGAAGTAGATTTAATAACCCAATCTATAAGAAAATCAGTTTTGGTATATCAATTGGAAAGATGAACTTATCCTTGAATTATCAGAAATAGAGGTATAGTTTCACCCTCTCCATTACTACATATAATTGCCGTATGTTACGTGACGGTTGTTATCCCACTAGTGGCTCACGTGCACTAGCCCTGTATATAAAGACCTTCTTACTTAGAATCTTCTTAGTTCTTTAGTTTTAGATTCTAAGTAATTGAATTGACTCCGTTTACGACTTTTCCGTCACACCGTAGCCCATTCTCGATTTTCTAATTGTATTGCCTTGCTTCTACTATTTCTTTCAGAACTAATTACAATTATTCCAAGGTATATTATACTTATCATAAAGCTGGTTTCATCGAAATTATAGAAATCGCAATCTTGAATATTATATTTCATCTGTATATTCGATATCAATCCAAATTACTCTTCAATAAACTTGAAATCTTCATAAAGAGCTCTTTGAAAGTTATAAATACAATTAAAACATATCTTTAATTTTATATAATATTTTACAAATCAATAAACCTAAAATTTTCCAATTCTCTTCGCACCTCTTGATTCGAGAATATAATTCGCTATATCTTCTACACTATTTAATTTAGATACAAATCCTCTTTCATCTATATCAATAATATACTAAATAAGCATCTCTTCTTCTTTTTCAATCAAATTAAGATTATTTGCTCGAGTTTCCATTCTGTGAATTCAATTGCTCATTCTATTTTATAATATAGTTCGAGGGACTTTGTAGATTTTCGCAGCCTTTCCAATTGTAAGATTTTTTGATTTTTGAATAGCTTCAATAACTAAGATTATTCTGGCCTCTTTTGATTATATTTCCATAATAATTCGTTGAAATATCGCGTCTTAAAATTGAATGATAAAAGATATTGAAAAAGTGACGACTCGCTGATAAACCACGTTATAAAAAAATATATTATATTATTGTTACGACGGAACTCAGCTATGGCTAAGCCAGGCGTCACATGATCATTGAGGAAATCACGTGGTCCCACTCGTCCCACCGATATAAGATCAGTGGGAGCGATGGGCAGGATTCCCACCGATCCCATCGATCCAAATCAAGTGGGAGCGATGGGACGTATAGCATGAAGGTCTATATAATCAAGACGGATTTCCTTTATATAGAGCTTCATGCTCAAGATCAATCATTTAGTATACTCTACTATTAGTTACGAATTGCATTATTGTCATTACTTAAGTCCCTGCTTGACGCCTAGTTATAAACCACCTCAAGAGCCTAGAGCACTTCCACATAATCTAGACGGCGAACCTCGTAACAAATATATCATTTGAAAGAATATTTAATTTTATAATAGATTTGGGATTGAAGTTATATAAAGTAAAAATAATATAGGAAATTGATTGTTTTTCAAAAAAGAGAAAAACAAAGGTCTTCCTTTATATCTAATTATTAGAGGTTATATAATTATATATCTATGAAAACCTTATGCATGTGACCTGAAATCCTGACTTTCTCATAATATGAAAAGGATGTTTCTTGTGATGCTGGTAAATTGGACACATAGTTTGCTTGAACTTTGACATCTACATTTAGATCCTTGGTATGCAGTCCCGCATAATCGGTTGTATCATATTGGTATGAGGCAGAACCGGTCGCTCTATCTATATGAGCAAATGCTGGAGGAAGGAAAATTAAAGCTTTCATGCTTCCTCTTTTGGCTTTGGAAACTAAGATGTCGTGTTTGGTGTTGGTGCTGAATTTTGTGCCAGGGCTCGGGTTTTCGGGTATCAATTTTCCAAATTGTGAGCGAGGGGCGTTTGGAAGAGGAGTCCTGGCTTTTTGCTTGTGCGTTGAGAGGGTTTTGGGACAGTGGCAGTAGGATTGGTATTAGTGAAAGAAGATGTAGAGCTTTTGCCGGAAGTGGCTGGTTGCGGATTGATTGAAATCGAATCAGGGCCTTGATACGTAAGATCTTGTGAATCTGATGTTGAGGACGGTTGGTGAGTCGATTACATACCAGACGCAGGTTGAAACGTACGTATAAAACCCATACCATCACGAATAAAAAAAGGATTTCTACTCGATTCTTCAGGTGTCATAGAAGAAGTAACAGAGTACGGACTTTCATAAGTAGATGCATTTGGTGTAATGGTTTGGCTTGTCAGATTAATATCTGCCATATTTGCTGGGCTATTTGCAGCAGCCACTCCGGAGCTCGAAGTAACTTGTTGATTTCCATGGCTATCTGGTAGATTCCGTAGAGATTGGTGGATATTGGAGGTTATACGATCGACTTCGTGTTTCTCTTCTTTTTTGTGTGAATAGAAGAGTGCTTGTACCTGAGATGATATAGCTAGATGGAAGGGAGGAGTTGAAGGATCGTAAGGAGTACCACCTGAACACGCCATCGTATGATTTGGATATCCCGATGGGAGATGTCGTGGTGCTGAATATGATAATGTATTTGGATCGCGTCTATCTGACCCCAAAGTGGCGAAGTAATGAGATTTTGCGGGGTCATATGAATTCACCATTGCTGGGTTATACTCATTTAATTCATTTGAAGTATAATTAAGACAGGAAATTGGACTACGTGCCTGATCTTTTCTTTCTAGAACAGATGACATAGAGTTTGTAGGGACTTGCATTGAATATGGACTTGCATATTGATGTTCCTGATAATTGGAGTGCAATGGCCAAGGTGTGTAGACTCCGTTGCTGAAGGTGTTTGGTGAAGCTCCAGGAACTTGGTTGAGAAAAATAGATGCATGGTTTTGAGTTTGCTGACGAGATTGTGCGGGGTGAAATGGAATTGGTGGTGTAGATTGAAGTTGGAAGTCAGAATTAGGAAGCTCATTATTCTTATCATTCTCAGTCGATGATATGCTAGCACGCCGTGGACTTGGTGATACTGAAACTCCCTTCGTCATCCAAGATTTTCGAGAACCAAAAAAGCTATTTAAAGTAGTATTGATTGAAAGTACTTTCTCTGCAGCCGATAGTTGCGCAGGCTTCTCTTCTGGTTGACTAGCACGTCTTTGACTGGCCGTATACCTGACCTCAGCATACTCACTCGTGGCAATATCTCCTGTTATTGATGTTGGCTCCTTTCTTGGCATCTGACTAAAATCCGGTTCCCCAAAAACTTGCGCCCAAAGTAATCTCCCGGCTTCTTCCAGACCTTCAACAAAACCATTCTTCTCAAATGCTTTCAAGAGGTTGTAGATTTTCTGGCCATTTGGTGAGGTGTCATTGAGGTTCTTTCGGGGTTCGAGTGGAAGTGCATCAATGGCGCGTAACTCGTTGGCTAACATAGCATTATTAGCCTCTGAACTTTAAACAGTGCTGAATGTTGGAAGTTAACAAATACGAAAGAGAGAAAGAATACTTGTTGGTGGGCGATGGAATCTATCCCTCACGGCTTTTATTCGACGATCTCGATGGAGAAAAGGCACGTCATCTTCAATTTCAGACATTTTTCTGATGTGAATGCGGATTCTTTGTGTATAGTAGTTGAAGAATTTGTTTAAATATAGAGAGGATAGACAAGTATATGTTCGACGTGCAGTAAACTGAAGGAAGGCGAAGTGGGTAGGGTAGGGTAGGTATGTAGATGAATAAGAGAAGAAACTTCTTGAACTTCTATCCCTCGACTCAGAAAATCATACGCAGTGCAAATTTATGAAAGAGAGTAAACACGCAGCCTTGTGAAAATGGTTCTGGAGCCATATTACGGTAATTGCTTACAGCTTTCCGTAAGGCAGAGCAATACGGTCAGAAAGTGAAGCAGAAGATGGTATGAAAGTCCACCAGCCAATAGTACAGCCCTTCCATATTCACCTTCCCTTCCTTTTAATAAAATTTCAAACAATACCATCAACCTCGAACTAAGTTACCCAACGGTGGTTTAGTTCAATGGTCAAGTGGCCGTCTCTTGTTTGTTCAAGCGTTAATGTCTTTCATGTTGTTGTGTTTATAATAATTTGCTACAAATCTTTACTACTACCACCAATCTACTAACCATGACCAGTGACAACCAAAGATGTAAGTTGTTATTTCTTTTGTCTTTTTTGCATGCTGGTCTGAGGGTATGAGGTTGTGAACTTGGTGATAAGCGCAGATTAAGCGACGACAGGATTCTCTGAGTGATTGATAATTTGAGAACTTCTCTCTGTCGCGAACTGAGAGGGAGATTTCAAGTAAATTGAGACATGATTTGAACAAGGAAAGTAATTGCGAACACACTCGAAACAAATTTTGATGCTTATAGCATCACACACTCTCTCATAGGTCGCCGTCCTGTTATCTGTTTACTTATTTACTGTCTTGAAATCCCCCAGATTTTTATGTCAACTTAAAAGTAAATCAATAGACAGCAAAGAAATGATATCGAAGAAACACGCTCTTTAAGAAGATATCTGCTGCATCCTTGGCAGACAGAATGTGAATGGATACTATAAGAACCAAAGAACCAACGATGCCAATGATATTGTAGCAAAATTCTATATGCTAAGTCTTGCTTCTAATACAGATGGGAACATTTCATGACAAGCAAAATGAATTGATTCGATTCTGTCTCGAATAAAATCATGTGGCCCACTATGTATTGCTGTCCTTTATCGCATCGCTCAGCATACATTTCGATATCTCCAGCAATCACAATCAATCAACTATCAGATCGTACTCCAGGCATTATCAACAGGCAGTGCGACGCCATTGATAGACTTCGCTGCATCGCTTGCAAGAAACACGACCGCCTCAGCCACCGCTGAAACAGTGATATGTGGTTCACCGGGCTTCATGTGCAAAGCGAGAACCGGTCTATGGCATCATCAGTAAACAAAAAAGGAGTAAGGAATTGTAAGGATGATCTCACGCCCACGTAGCATTCGATTCTTGATCAAGGGAATCTCGATTCGTCGAGTTGATGATGTTAGTCATTACACCTATAAATGTATCAATGTGTGCGTCTCACTTGAGGAAAAGGGGAATTCTAACCTCCTGGGCAAACAGCGTTGCATCTAATGCCTTCATCCCTAAATCTAAATGCAGTGTTCTTGGTAACTCCCAGCTAGGACATCGTTAGCTTCCACGACTTATTTCTGTTTATAGAGAATTGCGAACCAATCCATGTTTAGATGCTGTATAAGCAACCCCTGCCACAGCACCACTCAATGCAGCTTTACTAGCCAAATTGATAATGACACCGTTCTTCTTCGCTCTCATGAATGGTAGAACAGCCCTAATCAGTTTCGTGGGAACAGTGAGGTTGACTGCAATGATACGATCCCATTCATCGTCCGTGACATTGTCCGCTGATGCAAGAGCATCTATTACACCAGCTATATTCGCCAGGACATCGATTTTGTCACTAGAATCTTGTTAATATTTCTAGAGTCAGCCTCACGGCTTATGCTTTGGATGCACTGGACTTGAAGGAAAGTACGCACCCAAGTTTAGCAACACAGATTCTCACAACCTCATCGCACTCTCCATCTTTCCTCAAATCTCCTTGGTGAAAATGGAACTTTCCAGTCCACAGGTTAGTAATTTAATATTCTCTTTCCCGCAACTCCGGCTCTAAGGGAATACGACATCCTGCTTCGACTTATTCGCACTTACCATGGCTTGGTTTTCGTTTTCTAATTTTGAATAATCCATTTTACTGATATCCACTCCGAATACCATATACTGACGACTCAGAAACAACCTCGTTGTCTCGAGTCCAATTCCACTTGCGCATCCTGTCACGATGGCGACTTTCTTGAGTCCTGTTCCGTCAACCATGTTTTTTGAAGGTAAATGTAATAAATTTAAGTTGGATTAGCTCGGGAGTAATTTTTGATGATTTTTAATCGATTTATAAGATTGTCAACTCCCTGAGGTGTATGTGAAAGTGTTTTCCATACTCGTTGTGTGTTTCAGGTTGTAGAGTACGTGTCTGAATACCGGGGCATGGTATATCCAATGACAAACAGGTTAATGCGAATTCGAGGTACCTAGTGTAGGTTCAATCGCGGAAGTCTTGTAATTCCTGGTATTAACCAATGTAACCTTTCATTGGCAATGGACACGAATGCGCTCGAGCATCAATGAATACGAATACGCTCGAGCCTGACTTGGATATGCTACCGGTGAATGGATTATTCTTGTAGGTGTGAAGAGGGTTATCTTATTATTGGTGCTACGAATCATGGGTAAAGTAGGCCCACAATCACCGTACTTGCCATATCAGGCCTAACACCGGTAGTTGTGCAACGACTACATAGTCGATTCGTCGTGTGTTCGTACGGAAAATTAAGACGGATATTCGCTCCACACTGAGTGAGGTAAGGCTAGGACAATAGGGGTTAATCATTTGTGTTAAGATCTTACATTGTGGCTGATAGCTGTGGCTCATCTACTGAAATTTGCGGCTTGCCATGAATGGTGGGCGTACGCGTGTGTACATATATATCCAGATAAACGCCAGAAGTTCCATATAAAAACTTATTCCACTTGATTACTATATTTCCTCCACAAAATCTAAAAAATTTCAACCCCATGCCACTCAAAAGTTACGAAGATTTCTCAGCCCCCTTGATCTTTTCAAACAACCTTAAAAATACTGCAGAATCCTGAGCACCTCCTATCTCATACTTCCCCTGAACAGTGAAATTCGGCACTCCGCTGATCGAATTCCTCCTCGCCGCTTCCACTTCCCTATCAACCTCTGCTCCTCCCTTATCACTCTCTAACCATTCATTAACTTCTTTCTCATCTAGTCCAGCTTTTACTGCAGCATCGCGTATCATTTCATGGCTAGTGATATCCCCCTCCTCTTCAAAGTATGATTTGAATAACGAATCCACTACTTTCGTTTGCACGGCTGGCCCCTTTGTCTTTGCCAATTCGATGATTCGATGGCTATCTCTCGTATGGCCAGTTCTTCCTCCAAACTTAAAATTGATCCCAAGTCCTTTTCCAATTTGCGCAAGTCGGTTGTCCATCATTGTGATTCTTTCTTCTCCAAAGCGAGAAGCATACCATGATCGTCTATCCACACCTATTCGTCATGATTAATCTCAGAACATCCAGTCACCAGAATATGTAGGAACTTGATATTACCTTTTTTAGGTGCGTCTGGAGCAAGATAAAATGGGAGCCACGTGATATTAAATGTATCATCGGAATCAGGGTGTCGTTGTTTGTATGCTGTGATTCCTTGCTCAAGCTTTTCCTTTCCAACGTAACACCACGGACAAACAGTGTCACTAACAACCTCAATATCGAATTTGGTCATTTTGCGTAATGTAGCTTTGAACATCAAACTGCAATGGAAGCTGGGCTGGAAACTGCACTGAATCCGGTGAATATGGCAGAGAAAGATGATGAGAAAAAGGGTGAGCAACTGAAGCTATTATATAAATCTAACATGACGGCATGTACTCCGTGGTGCACCGGAGTACATTGGCCATGATTACTATTCGAAAAATTCCGAAGATTAGAAATCATTAATTTAACCGTGGGCGGCCGGATTCATTCGGCAACCCCATTCACACCAGGCGATGGATTGATTAAGTAACGTAACGAATGAAACATGATTCGATGAATTGATAATTGATAATTGATAAATTGTCAATTGATTAATATGATTTATGGATTTACGAATGAGTCAGCACTAGAGTATATAACAAATATAAAGTGAAGAGAGAGTTCACCAGTTGTGGGATGAACAAGGAATTATTAATAGTCGGCTACTTGGAAGGCCGACTACTTCTTCAGTCGGGGAAAGTAAATGTCCCCGGAAAGCGAATTGTCCCGCTTCAATTTTATAACAGTGAATGTGAGGTTTTGAAAGCGAAAGGACAATTCGCTTTCCCCGACTACCAACTAGTCGGCCTTCTCAAAGTAGCCGACTATTATAATTATTATCCTGGGTTTCATGATTTAGCACTCATTTTACTGATTATGTATGTGTGGCTTGTGCTTGTAGTGGTGGCTGATCAGATTAAACGAATTTCTTGACTAAGCATCACCCCGATTACACATGCTTTGACAGGCTTATTAAGCTCTTTCTGATTTGCATCCACCATCAATCATGATCAACCCTCTACAATCCTGGTACAAAACCCTCCACCCTTACATCCCATCCTTCAGGGAAATGCATTCCAGGCTCATCATCCCATCCCCCAGCCATCATCGCCATGGCAAGCATCAGCCCTCCGGCATTCGGAAAATATGGAGTCGGTACACGTGATCCTCCCACTGGGTATCCCGCGTCATCAAATTGGAAGATCGGATGTAGCAAGTATTCTATTGCTTGATCTACATCGCCCAGACGCAAGGAATTCATAGCTAGCAGAGCAAAATCCCAACCGTAGGAATCTTCAAACTTCCAGAGCGAGCGAATTTTGGAGGCGGTGTTGCTAATGATGGTTAAATTGAGTGGAGGAGAGCTAGAGGGTGGGAGCCAGCCGTAAATACCGGCCATTGCCGGGTGCTTTAGTTTGATAAAGGTTAGTGATTTCGAATTCGGGTGTGGTAACTATTCGACTGCGGAGTCACTTACGTCGGACAGAGTTTTGCTGTCTGTCCACATATTGGGGATGCCCTCATACACGGCGTACGTGTCATTCACGATAGGCAGAGGAGCAAGATTTTCTCGCACACTCTTCCAATTCTCAGGGATTGACTGTCCCTGGCGCTCTTTCCAGCTCATAGCTACATCAAGACCAAACCTCCAATATGCCAATTCGAAAGTTGAGTTGATCGTCGCGTTCGGGTTCGTATTCTCGGAGACGGGATACATTGGGGGACCTAAGTCATAGACTCCAGTAGTGCCATTATACCACGCAAAAGATGCCATAAAGTCAGCCGTCGCCGACAATACCTCGTCCCATCTTCCAAGTGTTGTTTCATTGGGGAATGATCGGTATTCAATCTCGGCAATGTACATGGGATGCGGTTGCTGCCAAATCAGAAGAGAGTTGATTTCTCCAGGAGCACTACGACCAGTGGGATCAGTCATTTTGCCCCAGCGGGCGCCCTGGTATCCCTGAAGCTTGGCTCTATCGCGCGAGGATTCGAGGAACTCCTCGTACATCCCAGGCATACTTCGCCACAGAAGATCAAAATGATTCCATCGAGCGAAATGCATAAGATGCCAAAACACCATCTCAAGCTGTTTGAAATTGTTTTAGCTATTGTCTTGCATCAAACCACGTTCACCACGGAAAACGTGATAAAGTGGAATGGGGATTACGAACGTGAAATTTCCCGTACCACCCATTATTCACAAGACCAGATTCTGACACGATCAGTAAATCATTGAGAAGATAGTTTTCAGAAGTCGTCCAAGTGACATACCTTGTGGAGGAAATTCACCGGCCGAATTAATCGCTAAAAGATATTGAGATAATATAATTCTTCGCTGAAGTTCAGTGGCATTCATAGAATCAACCGGACTTAAATCAATGAATGCCCCGGAATCCCAATAAGACTGCCACCACGACTTGGAGTTTTCAGCAAGCTCAGCCACGGAAGGCACACTCATGTTTCCAGCTTTGCTACAATTGTCATTGTCTGAGAATGTCCCTGTCATTCCCAAGCTGGTCGAGCCCGGCGTCGTGAAGAAGTACCGATGTGTGCCCTCCTTGGGTCCCGAAATCTGTCCTGACCCTTCCCATCTTGCTGTGAAACAGTAGCTGGTGTCGTCTAGAGTATGTTTTATAATGGCCTTGCTATCCACAACCTCAAGATACGTAGAGTGTTTACTACTGGCGTTCCATATACCCACAAATGGTGCATCAAATTTGTTCACATCCGAGTAGGGAAAATCGAAAAACAAACCCAAGGAGCCAGAACTAAGCAGCTCGGACTCAACATTAATGATGGCCGTGTCAGAATCGGGTGCCACTGATACCTCAACATGGACTTGGCTGCCATTGTACACAAATGTTGAAGTGATCACCCCGCTCCATAGGTCAAGAACTTGACTCTTCCTCTCCAAGTCACCCTCAGTAACATTAGCGTTAGCAAACCAGAAACCGATATTACCCAGATTTAACCGTTGAGGATTTTGGACCAGCCAGTTTGAGATATCAGCCTCTGCGGGATTCGCCTGGTCATAATTCACAAGTCGTCCATGAGTCCACCAGTCTACGCCTGTAAAGTCTTCATCTTGTCAACGAACAATCTTTGCTCCATATATATCAATCTATTCTTACCTTCGACAGATGTCTGATTCGGAGTGATTGGTAAGCTGAAATTATGCCAGCCCCATGTCGACATGGTTGCAAAGGGCTTAAAAGTCTGAAGACCAGTCACATCCACACCAAAGGCAAAATTCCCATTGCCAACCTGTAAAGGCGTGGTTCCCGAACTAACATTCCGGTAAACATTGTAGGCCTGAACGATTTTCTGTCGTTGTATAGAAGAAGCATTGACATTGAGGAGCCAAAGAAAAGATATGCAGGACGATAAGATAACTGATATATGCATGGTAATCTGTTTAACATCTGGATTGATAAAATTTGTCGATACATTGCTCTATTATGGATATCGACTGCTTCTTCTAGAAATATAGAATTACCCCATATTTTCACTACCGACATGCATCACTGTGCATGTACTTAACATTGTCCCGAGCCCTAGTTCTTCCACCACTCAAATCATCCTAGGTGTGTAGGTTAATCCTTGCAAGTGATAGATATGACGAAGTTAAAGCATGCATGCAACCCTTGAGTCCCACATGGCAATCAGAAAAACTTACTACTCGAGCACAAATGACGTTTAAAATGTGTGAGAATGATCATCCGGGCATTAGAAACCAGGACTACCTTATATTCCTTAGATTCCTCTCCCCTTAAACAATACCATCAACCCAATTCGAAAACCAACAAAAAATCTCCACTCTGGAAGTAATTCCTAGTTCCTGGTTCTTTCTTCTCCATCCCAAAAAGTATGAGGAGAGCTGCTCCCAAAACAAAAAAAAAGGATGGACGTTCGATACACGATACCAGCAATCTCCAGATCTTTGGTGGCAAGGAGATAATGAAACATGTCTTTTCCAGATTTTTCGTTGTCAGTTATTTTTCTTTCAGCTGTTGCTCTTGCTCAGTGCTCAAAAATCTACTGCGTATAAATTCATAAGATTACAATATAAGATTTAACTGAACGAGGTCAACATCAAAGTCAGAATCACTCTGAAAAACCAACCATTTGAGTAATAACCCTCGATAGCTAAAACCATTCTCATGATATCCTTGTAAATCAACGTCACTTGATAAGATCAAAGAAAAGCGAAAGCAGGATCCTGACACCCAGGTTCAGACCCGAGGATAAGCATTCCGCTTGCTTCGTGAGAAGCAAAGTCAGAATGCGTCCAGGGAGCTCAACTCTCAACTTTCACAGTAAGAAACGATTCCACACACCACTATCCATGTCTATCTAGCATCTACCACTCAAACGCCGGGTCATGCTTCTTCCAATAATCTTTCTTGTTCTTAGCATTCTCTTCTGCTTGTCGATGTCTTTCTGCCAAGTCTCCCCATCCCTCCTTCTTGACAGTGTATTTTACAGTTTCATCTTCATGTCTACCTGCTACATCTGCAACACTAGAAGTAATGTCGTTCACAACCTTGCCGTAGTTATCTGCGTCCCGGATTTTGCAACGAACTCCTTGAGACTCGCAATGTTGTGTAAGGGCTGTGTATGTTCCGAAACCTCTCTATCAAATAGTTAGTAACTGCTAGCCTAAAGTAGTCCTATACGAAGTTCGTGCCATGCCACTTTAAGCTTTGCGAACAGCATCTGACAAAACATAGAAATGGTTATTGGAGCAGACCTGGAAAACGATGCAGCAATTTCGACGAATCTTTAGCGAGATGATTTGGGAGGTGTATAATGGAGTGTTCGGAAATTAAGAATTGAAGTTACATCGACAGGTAATGTAAACGACAACACAAACTTAGATCGGGAAATATTTAATGAAAGAGCGTTTTGTGCTTACATAGCAGTTAGGACAGACGAGTCTATTATCTCCGGCATGTGCAGCAGAAAGTAAATGCTGGATAAAGCCTGATTCAGTATCGAAGCTCTTTCTTTGAAAATTGTTAGAGACAGGTTAAAATTGAGCAATCGACACAACTTACTTGCACAATCGGTGAGGGCACTTATATTTTCGAGTGAAAGTAACCCAATACCTTTGAGCTCGGAATGAAGGGTCTTTAGGATCGTATGGTGCATATTCTTTCTCGGGTAGAGGGTTAACAAGAGGACGCATGCGGAGAGGTGGAAGTCCACCTGTACGAGTGGCTACATCCGTGACTACAGGAGCTTCTGTGGGTGGTTGAGGAATAGGTTTTCGGGCGTTGGAAATGATATGCTTAGTATCCCAGATGGAGGTGAGACTTGGGCCCTCAAATGGTGCATCCATGAAGTTCGGAGCTTTCATGCCGGCATCCTTAAAATTACTTGCACTTGGCAATGGTGGAAAGTTACTTTCTTTCATAGAAGGTGCAATTGCTATTGGAAATCCGCCCTCGACATACTCGTACTTGACCTCTTCAGCGGGCTTTGGGTCTGGTTTAGCTATCTTCTTCACAAATGTTCCCCATGGTATACTCATTGCTTTGTCGACCTCTCCCAGAAAGATCAAATCCTCCTCGGGTTGCAATTCCATGACGGGCTCAGGTACACTGTTTGAGGCTACGCCGTTTAGTTGATTGATCGGTCCATCTTCTTCCAAGACTAGATCGTTGTAAGTTTAGCTTAAAAGAAAGGGACAGAATATTACTTGTGGTTTCCCATCCTCCGAACTCAAAGTTTGTAGATGTTTTATCCTCGAAAGTAAGTGGCAGCGTTTTCCAGGTGGATGGCGGCAGCTTGATATCCCTGGGGTTTGCAGGAATATCTTGAGAATCCAAAAAGCTGATACCAGTTCTTAGCCCAGCGTTTTCATCAATATTCTTCAAACCAGCCTTGAATTTGGCACGCAATTCTTGTTTTTGCCGCGTACGGGCCGCTAGATTTCCTCTCTCTTCATTGACTGGGCGACAGCTATCGAGTTCGAGGTGAGCAATCAGAGATCCTAAACGAATGAATCGTTTGCCACAGCCTAGGCATGAAAGGTCTTGTTCTTTTGGGTGCATCTGGAGTTGCCCAAGTTGTTAGTCAATCACGGGGTGTCTGGAATTAAACCGAATTGACTTGCCAAGGCTCGATGACGCTTAAGACCTTCATCTGTATGAAAATCTGTGCTGCAGATATCACAACAAATATGATCTCTGCTGGTCACCTTATGATTGTGGAAGGCATTCCATTCCTTGAATGTAATATTGCAGCTCTTGCAGGAAACCTTGGTATCAATTCCACTGTCGACTTCTTTAGCAGCCATATTGGCGAAAGGTTAAAAGCTTGTGAGTTACGGTAGTTTGATTATTGTAGTTGTTGGTGACGATGGTTGAGAGGTGTAAGCTGCGACTTTGTTTTTGAATAACCCAAAAACCCAATCTATGCAAGCCTTGAGTTGTTTTTGAGACACCAAATACAAAAGTGAAAGAAAAGATAGATTTGCCGTAAGATGAAGTCTCACCTTTTAAACACTTGTCAAAATAGTGAGGATAAAGGAAAAGGGGAAAAATGTATGACGAAATGTATCAAGTACGGAAAATCGAGAGGTGACAGAATATGAGATGAGGTGGGGGAAAGTTGTTGAAGAGAGGAAGGAGTGGGAAGGAAGTCAATAAAGGTTTTGGATTTGGTCGCATATCGGATAGTAACAGATTAAGCAAATAGGGAAAGAGTACAACAATGGTACAGCTGCAACTAAAACATAAAACTAAACCAACCGTAAAGGCAATAAGAGTAATTTAATATTTAATAAACAAGTCAGAGTAAGAGAAGATTGGAACATTAAGGAGTCAAAACGTATATCAAAGTGAATAGAATGATTGATCGTGTATTAGGTCAGGTAAATAGATGAATAGGCAATTATTGTTTTATTTACCTATAATCCCCGTCAGATTTCTCTAATTTTTTTAGATAGGTAGGTACTTACTTGCATACCGTCAGTGAAACTTATTCTTCCACTTTGATGGATTTACAATGTAGGACTACAATTCTTCTTGTTGACCATAGTTGCATTAAGGACCTGCAAAGGCATACCCAGAGGAGTGACAACACAAATATCAGCTATACTCTTGGTTTTTCATGGCCATCTAGGACAGCTGTTGGCATGCCAAAGCATTCAAAAGAACCAGGATAGAATACTTGGTCTGCAAAAGACGTTTCCTTCATAGACACCTTCGTCAATACCGAAAATTACAGACCATGACACAACAATGAGGAGAAAGGACAATACTATAGTCGCAGATAGCCATTATGCTCCTGGTACCCACAAAGCAAGATCTTATATCAAGCCCAAGATGGTTTTAATAGCCACTCTATCAATGCGGTTGCATCGCCATTTCGAGGAACATATTAATAACCAGATACTTCACATCTTCAAGGCAGCATCTACGCTTGGAGATGGCAAGCAACCGTATGAGCTGGGCCAAGCTATATGAATTTGAAACCGCCAGAAAAGGCCGCACAGATATCGCGAGTCACCTTGTAAAGAGAGCGGTCACAAAATCTTAGGATGAATTGATGAAGCGATAGTCTGTATATTTGCTTCGTCTGCCAGAATTCGGAATTTCCAGGGGAGTTTGAAGATATTCCGCAAGTCACAAACTTAAATGCTTGAGGATGTCAAGACTTCATGATGACAGGACGTGACTTATACGTAGAAGGTGGATACTATATACTTGATACTGCTTAGTACCCAATATTACTGTTGCAACGTTGCACATAAGTCCTATATCTTAGAGTATGAATGACTACCAGCTACGTATACCAGTATTCTAGTCGCCAGTCGTAGAAGGCATAAGTTTCGATTTCTCGTTTATATTAGCTGGTGATATTGGATTGTTCATTGTGAAGTAAATGACACAGAGCCTTGAGATTTGAGATTCTATACCTCTTTGGGTGAAGATTTTCGTACATCTCTTCTCTGTCAAAAAATCCAGTGTCAGTACTCAGAGTGCATTGGATGAGAATGCGCAAATTGATGATATCAATGTGATGACTGATGTTAGTGAAAGTTTAGAACACAACCCCTATGTTTTGTCATCTTTGTTCTCGGAAGCCCGGGGTACGGAGGCCGAATTGCTCATGTCATCAGTGAAGCAACTCAGCCTCTATGGAAAGGAACACAACTGTTATTTCAACAATTCCTCAAATAATGCCAACAACCAAGTCATGTTCCTTTAATAAATCTGATGGCTACCCTATCGCCACCGAGTCCCCCTAGATCCCCCGGCCCTACAAGAATGTCTCGAAAATGGGCTAGAAAGTGCGAACGCTATTGCTGCATTGGCGCAACTTACTTTCCCCTGGTGTTTGTGTATAGTATCACAACTTGGGCCGTCTGGGTAGAAACTACAATTGGCTTTCTAGCAGATGGCAGCAAATCCAGTTGGATCGGTAGGATTCATCGTCGCATATCTGATGTGGAGAAGCTAATAAATCATAGGCAAAGGAACGTCATTTTTAGGAATCGTTATATACATCCTCCTTAACTGGTCATATACCACTGCCGTTTTTACGAGCCCGGGGACGACTACAGCCGCGAATCATGGATATAGCGCCCTCCCGACACACAACCCTGTTGCGACAAACTTTACGGTGAAAGCGAACGGGGAATTGCGCTATTGTAAGAAGTGTCGAGCAAGGAAGCCAGATCGATCTCATCATTGCTCGACATGCGGGATTTGTGTATTGAAGATGGATCATCATTGCCCATGGCTGGCTACCTGTGTCGGACTGCGAAATTACAAAGCTTTCCTCTTGTTCCTGATATATACAACATTATTCTGTTTTCTCTGTTTCGCAGTATCAGGTTCTTGGGTTTGGAGGGAGATTTTGAGTGATGGAGAATATACAGACTCGTTGTTACCCGTAAATTACGTTATGCTAGTCGTGGTGTCTGGAATTATAGGATTGGTATTGGCAGGTTTCACAGGATGGCATATCTTGCTGTCATCCCGCGGTCAAACGACAATTGAGTGCCTCGAGAAGACAAGATACTTATCCCCGCTAAAAAAGTCGATTCGAGGTCAACACATCCCTGAAGATCAGAGTCATGGAACATACGAACAGTTAGAGAGAGCCAGAGCAAGAAATCGATATGAGGAATATCTTGACGAACAAGATTCGGAAAAGTTGCCTAGTGCATTTGATCTTGGGTGGAGAAAAAACTTCAAGCACTTATTTGGCTCCAGGGCATTGTTATGGGCTCTTCCAATACCTACTACCACTGGAGATGGATGGAGTTGGGAAGCAAGTCCGAAATGGCTTGAAGCCAGAGAAAAACTCGCTCGAGAACGAGAGGAACAAAGAAGCAGAGAAAGAGCAGCTGGCTGGGGCGAACCAACATCTCCCATAGTGCCAAGGTCAGAAGGAGCTGGCAGACATTATGTTTCCTACCCTACTCAACCCAATCGAACAAATCGTCTTCAATCTAAAGCAGACCGAATCTTGGGACGCGGTCCGAATCAATATGTGGATGAAGCAGACTCGAACGCCGTCTCCATGCAAACCTTGCAACCAAGAGACAGCGACGAAGACCATTACGAGATTAGTAGTGATGAGGATGAAGCCGAGAGACGAATCCTCGACCAAAAAGCTGCCGGTGGGTGGCCCCAAAGAGTTGGGGTTGTTACGAATACATTACTAGGAAATACGATAGCACGACAAAAAGACGACGCGAAAGGATGGGATGGACATGGGCATGATGATGATGTAGATTAGATTCGAAGATTTACACTATTTATTTTCGTCACTAGGGTTAGGGGTTTAAAATCTCATTCTTTGTATGATACAAGTTGAGGTTTGGATACGAATGGTGTTAGTGGATGGATACGAAACATCGGAAAATACTATGTTACGATATCTCATCATCCTCATAATAACTACTCTATTTCTTACATGCCGATCATTGCAAGTAGTCTCCTATGATTGAATTCGTATTATTGAAGCACACGCGACTTGTTTTGATCATAACTCTTTAATTGCCTATCTACTATTTCTAATTTTCAAGATATCAATTACCTTCGAATATTGAATCTTTATTGTATACATCAATTTTAGACAATAAATTTCTATCGTATCAAGGACTTATGAATACTAAGTTTTTATTTTATGTATGAATTTTTCTATATACACGGTTTAAATTTTATTGGAGAGATTAAAACTTTCGTTCTATATCTGATATCTATTTGTGACAATTTTGAGTATAAAATTTGTTAAATCATTCAGATTTTAGCTCGAAAGATTTCATATACTAGTCTTTACATATTATGAATATCTCATCCTTTGATTGCCGCATCTATCATTCTTGTCAAGCCGCAAAGGGATACATACCAATATCGCAATCCACAGATTATTTTGCCGTGCTACAATCTGGCTCGTTGAGTAAGATATACTCAACATTCCTGCTCGTCCGATAATAGAAAACAGCGATATGATCTTACATATTGCGATGATACTGAACTTTACTATGGTGAATAGCATCGTATATTCTGTTCTAATCAAATGTTGTCTTGCAAACAGCTTATATATTCGTCCCAGTCTTCATGTCATACGTCCTCGTATCTTATAGACTTAAACTTTCTTCTAACTGCTTAGATTCCAATACACCATGATATTGAAAGGGGATCCAGTCAATTTCAAGAAAATCAATTTAGATGAGAGGAAGTATGTTACATTCGGTTGGGGTGGGGAGTAGGAGACCGACGTCATACTCAAACAGCTATCAAACTTTTGAATTGGCAGTTAGCAAATAAATGATGTTGATGGCCTAGAGTCTACAGAGTTAACCCTAACCCTGTATTTCAAAAGAGCCAACTGCAAATTCTCTTGGAGCTCCCCTCCGCCGATCATTACGTGGTCCCATGCATGTAGTCATCGTGCGTTGGAGGCGCAGGCGGAAATCGAGGATGGGCTATGCAGTCTGCCTTATGGTGAGTTTCATTCAAATGATCGGATATCTTCGAACTAACTTTTCACGGCTCATAGTCTCGTTTGTAGCAGCAAAGGTGGTGGGTGTAGCAGACCCCTTTTGGAAAACCATCTAATCGTTGGGATTTTTTGAAGCTCTCCTGATTCCTAGGGAACTTTTTCATATTTCATGCAGGTATTAATGCATTTTCACGGCACAGGTCCAGTAATTGCTTTCTCACACTCTGGAAGGATGAATGTAGTAGATGGTAGGATCAAGCTTCGTAACAAATTGATACATATCGGACCGTCTCTCCAAGTGCCATCGCTCTAATTGTGTTGTTATAGATTTGACTTATGTATGGCGCCAGGATGGCTTGAGAAATATCTACTCGGTACTGATAGCACAAGAGGTGGAGTTTTTATTTGTCTTACTGTTCTACTGCATACATTGAAACACGCTGTCTACCCAGCCGGCGTAGGTTGGGTTAATCTTGCGAACAAGGGACATGTGACGGTCTTACAATTCTATAGCAGAAGAAAAGAACTGCATTAAAGTTAAAAGTGCTAAAAGTTTGGTTCGCAATTATTTGCAATATAGCCGATGGTATCTATTCAATATATGAATGCAAATCGAATTTTCATAATTTATCGTGAATGGATCAAGTGAATTCGGTATAGTGACACTATTAACGCTGCGCCAATTCTCACAATTTCACAATCTAAGCAAGGAGAAAAAGAACTTCTCTTCCCCAGCTTTTCCGCTCTGAATCCAACACACCATCCTAGGTGACCATATTTTCGTATCATCGAGATAACAGAAATACCTAGCACCTTTGCTCTTGTTGCCACGGCGTGATTACTATCTATGGCTCTCTCTATGCGCTTCTTCATTACACCCAAGAAGCGAGTGAGCCTCTACTATCTCAAATTCTCTTCCATTTATTGCCACCGTGATTCAACTCACGAGAGAACAAGCTAAGTCCTACATCGAGTTAAGGTAAGTTCATGTGTTTCACGTTAGGTTTGAGGTTGGACGATTAGAATAAGTTTTTTGAAACCATTCTTAATCTGCAACTACACGAACAAGTACGGTTTACCCATCTACACTCTTCGCCTACCAGGAGCAATATTATATGTTGTCGATTCCTTGGCATTATTCTCTGCCGTACAGCGGCAATACCAGGACTTAGTGTTTTCACCTTTAGAAGCCATGCGAGCCATGGGTGTTTGCGTGTCAAGCAAAACTACGAATTATATCCTAAATACAAACATCAATGGTGATGAGAGCGATTGGGGATACTCCATGGCTTTTTGCAAAGCTATCCACAAACCGCCTGCAGCGCGACCTGAACTTGATGCCATGAATCGTGTCATGGCCCGAAAAATTGCTGCTTCAGTCAATGGAATTAAAGGAAAACGACCTATGCTGCTCTTCGACTTTATCAAGCGAGAAATTGCAATGGCTACTACTAGTCAGTCTATCGACCTCAAAATCCATTCAAAGATTCCGTTTACGCAGAGGGTTTCTGGTAAGGATGAGCCTGATAATACTGAGACAGAATGCAATGAGATGCAATGGGCGATAGTGCCTGAGATTTGAAAATATCCCGCTACTCGTAGCAGCGGTCACAATGAGAAACTTCTTATAAGGAATGAAGTTATGCTAGTCCTGAGTAGCGATGCTCCCTTATGAGCTTGAAAGTAAACAGCTAAAAAATACACACCCACTGGAGCAGTATTGATGATTTAAGTCAACATAGAAGCTTGCGACTGAGGCTCGATTCGAAGATACGAGGGGGATCGAAACTTCTTTGCAAAAATTGGGGGGCTTCCATTCATGGAGGTGAAAAACTGTCCACCCTAATATTCCAAAAGCAATTGGAATGATCACTCGCTAGGAGAACCAGGAGTATGCTGTCCCACCAAATATAAAGCCAATCAGCAACGAGCATAGGGAGGTGATACAAAGGTTTCCCACCCAATCGACTCGCAGAAATGCTCGCGTCCACGTAGGATCTTTGTAATGATGAAGACGAAGAAATATGACCATAATGATCATGGCGAAGCTTGCAAAAGATTTAAACAAAAAATTCACTTACAAGTTACTCCGGCAAGAGCTGCTCCCACGACCGGCCCTAGATAGCTGTTAGGGAGGTTGAAGATATGGCAATGTCTAAGTACTTTCTTCTTACTTTTAGCGGGGCATTGTCGCATATTATAAGCTCAACAAGCATCATGACACATTCAGACCCTAATCCTCGAACCGTGCGATCAGCCATGATCATAGCGGAGGGATTCGAACCAGCTCCAATCCACAGCATGTGCCCGGCAGGGATCCCGAATTGGTCGCGAGAACGTAGAGGAAAAGTTTTGCAAACCATACAGTCAAATCCACAATCAACATTGAATATTCTCTCTCAAGTCCCAATTAATTGATACAATCGTTGGAGATCTTGTCGATTGGTTTCTTTATGAACAAAGCAATATTCTTGAAACCTAGAAATAAAATGGAATTCAATAATCGAACCAGATAAGTTCTGCCGTAGCTCGATAAAGTTTTATTCAGGATTAAAGCAGAAAATGTTATCCAAAGGACTATTCCAAAAACCACGGATATTTGGTCCATCAACCGTACGCATAATATTGTACCACTTAGAATCTAGTGAGACTGTAAAGATGAGATAGAGAGAGAGGATGGTTTGATTTCAGAACCGTTCGGGAGCGTTGCTATAATTAATTCTTCATCAGCCTTTTCCTAGAATCGATAGGATCAATATATAGGTCGATACCTGATGAAGTCATTGAATGTTGAATACTATAGAAAACAGAACGGATAAACACTTACTGCACTTGTATTTATACATAGTCGATTTGTTAATTCGTTCTTATTAGATGAAACAAATTTAGTTAAATTCTGTATCAGAGTAGGAAAGAATATGTGTGTACTGCTAGTGAGCTCTAGCCTTAGCAGGTGGCGGACTTGAATCATGATGTTTCGACTAGATTTTGAAGCAAAGAAGCTAAAAACTGATTTTGAGTCTTGACAGGAGTTACATTCGGTCTAACCATTGCAGCAGAACTCCAAGGGTTTTTTATTACGATACAAGGCCATTTGCGTTTGGACGTACAGGAATCATTGCACCGTGGTTGAGAAGCATATACTGCTTTGGAAAGAACTGACGACACAATTCGGAATGATATCTAAAAAGGTTGCAAAGGACCAAGTAAAGTAAGTACGCGGAACCAGACCCAGACCTAAGAGCATTCAAGGAACAAAGTAGGGCGGGGTACGGAGTAACAGGCACTAAATTATGTGGTAATAACCTACAGTAGACTAGTCATCCGAGAAGGGCTAAGGAAATGGAGGATCATATGCCGCAATACCTTCCATTATGTCACCGTGTATTAATTTTATGCTAAAATGCCTGTCCCGACCAGATAATTAGAAGTTTGTTCATCTCCAAATAGAATTAGATTTTTTAACTTTATATATCTATACACAAAGTATATACCGGTATAAGTTTAACCCCTTTCTCAAAAGCCGAGGGCATCACGTAATCAACATCCGAGGCCACGTTATCGCATCACTCTATAATTGTTATCTCAATGATCACTTCCATCATTACACCACAGAGATCACCAATGAATGGGTAACCAGTAATTATCAACCACAAACCATTATTCGCATTGCAAATCACAATTCTTCATATACTTATAGGAAATTCACAGGAACGGACCGCTTCAAGGCAGTCTTCCTGGCCAAGAAGTGAACTCGATTCCTCTCCAGTCAGGTAAATCTTTAATCATGGCGCCCGGTTTCAACACCAAGTCTCCCACTATGAAGCGCATCAGTAGGTCATTCTACATTCCACAACATTTCTTCGCATTAATGATTCAATAATATAGTGAAAGAAGCCGCGGAACTCTCACAACATCCATCTCCAGACTACACAGCTTCTCCGGCCTCAGATACCGATCTATTTGATTGGCACTTTACACTACGTGGCCCTCCATCCTCGTCTTTCGCCGACGGCATTTATCACGGACGCATCGTTTTACCACCACAGTATCCCCTCCGGCCCCCGTCATTTCGATTTCTTACGCCCAGTGGAAGGTTTGAGGTGAATCGCGAGATCTGCTTAAGTATAAGTGGGCACCATGAGGAAACATGGCAACCTGCGTGGGGAATACGAACCGCATTAGTAGCCCTCAGATCTTTTATGGAGACGAGCCCTTCAGGACAATTAGGAGGCGTCGATGCGAGCGACAGTGTTCGAAGGAGAATAGCCGGGGAGAGTAGAGGATGGAAGTGCGGGGTCTGTGGTGGAAGGAGCTGCGAGGAGATTTTAGGAGAGGCAGAACAACTTGCGAAAGAACTCGAGGGCGAAGGAACCAGTTCTAAGAGAGAGGAAGAGACTGTTCCACCTGAGATGCAAATAGGGTTTAAGCAGGAGACGAAAGAAGAAATGGAATCAAATCAGAATATAGATAAAGAGAACAGTAAACCTGCGGAGAAGACGCCATCGGCACAGGTTGAAAGCGAATATCCACCTGCGAGACCAGCACAAACGGTACCTCAGCCTACAGCTACGATACCGCTCCCTCAGCCTACAGCTACGATACCGCTCCCTCAACATACCCAATTCCAAGCCCAACCTCGAAGACAAATAGCACAAGCCCATGTTCAGTCAAATGATGGTGTACCCGTATGGGTCGATCGAGCTATCGCGGGGGTAGTTTTATGTTTAGTGGTCATGGTTCTGAAGATGCTAATGGGGAAGTGATAGGGTTCACGGTCACAGGTGTTATGGTGCAGACTTCATTTGGAAAATTTATCAGTGGGCAGGATGGTAAGGCGTTATGGCGGAGCATGTACGGACCTACTAGGCCCTTTCTGAAGATTGATACCATCACACAGCAAATATAATTCACTTTTTCATATGGCCTAGCCGGCATCTTTTAGGTTAAAGCAAGAATGTTATCACGTATATTGCGGACATGTTAACACATGACCATTGTTATACAAAATGCAGATTTCATATTTCTGATAGTTGGAGTTGGTGTAGGATTTCCTTCAAAGTTCAGAAATTCCATACTTGAAATTCCCAGATCTGTTTGAACAGCCGAGATCCCTTTTGTAAAGCCATCGGACTCGAAGTTCAAATATTTCTCAGAATCTCTTAAAGTGATCTGACCCCTTTCGCTGCTGCTTGAGAATGCAGACCTTCAAATACTCCATTTCCTCCAAACAACGCATTTCACCTACTTAACTCCCGGTATTGAGATGTACCCGTATACTAGAATGCTTCAAATTTTTTGGAATGTCTCCTCAATCGAGAGCAATACCAAAGCCGCTGTTGATGAGCCTCAATTTATTCAAAAAAGTTAGGTACATCTGTTTATCTGCTGTATTTACTTAGAGTGTTGGCGCTTTGCTCTGCAACAAACAAAGAATACACACTTTCTTGGGTCATTTTGTTTTCTAGTGAGCGAACTTCTCTTCTAGCCAACCAACCCCTCGGCCTGATCACAGGACTCAGAGAAACTCATATCTTGCTAGCCATTATAGGGAAGCTCTGTGTCAAAGACAAAAAGGCACAAAGCCAAGTGTAAGTACTATGCATCAAAGAGGAAAAGAATTTTAGGAATGTATCAAAAGGACTTGGAGGTCGCATTCTACCAACAAGGACTTCTTTAGCACAACTGCGATTGTTGCTTAAAATCCTATAGCTTTCAAAGTATGAAGAATTTTTAAATTGGAGTTATGCTACTCTGATCAAGTCTCTATCAGAATCATAGCAAGTCCATTTCGATATGGCAAGCTTTAACTTGGCCGAATTTTTGGGCGGATCGCGCCCTCCACCCAGAGATGAGGGGAGAGATCCAGCTGATACTCCCACGCCTGGGAATAGTCCAGATCGCACATCATCAGCCCAGAACGATGAAACCTTGCCCATCCCGCCCCCAAGGCTACGTGGCGGCTTTCAAGGAAACAGCGTTCGGGAACAATTGTCCATATCGTATGCATGGCTCTCTAAATCGGTTTTATATTATATCCCATTTGTTTTATTCTTGATTGGCTTCCCTTGCCTAGTGATATACGTTGTCTACACCCGGCTTTCCCTTGGAGATGACGACAAGATCAATTCGGGAATTTTGATCAATTTGTGGAAGGCATCTCTCGGTAGATGGGGTGTATCCTGTGGACTCATTAAGATTTTGTTTTGGGAGTCGGTAAATATCGTCGTCAAGGCCGCTAGTTGGTTTGGAATCTCACCTGCATGGTATCATTCAGTGAAAACCGCAGTCACTAGTTTTGTTAGTTCATGGTTTGTGGCCTTCACTGGCTGGTACAACTCGGCATCTGCTGTTGTCACAACGTCAATGGAATATCTGTCTGGCTTGAAGGATACTACCATGGAACATATCAAACCCTCAAGATTATTCCATCCTGCCAAATGGAGGCAAATAATTAGCTTCTCCAAATATTTTCTCGCCTTTAGCATGTCAACATGCATCGTCATCGTAACTTCAAGGATGTGGGATCCATTCGGCCTTCTTGTTATTTCCCCCCTGATGGTAAAATTGGGTCCTATAAAACGTGCGTGTACGTATATTATTGGCTGCGTGAAAGTTTTATTGCCGATATTTAATATATATAAAATATCTTGAAAGAGGGTTAAAAACATTTTATTTATCTCGAAGACCTACCCTTTGCTGATGAAATGGCTTGCGAAAACTGGTGGTGATACGTCATTTTCGATAATACCAGAACCAGAACCTGGACAGTACGAGCTTCCGGCAGGTTTCCGAGTGAGCACGGAGTTAGGAGAGAGATTTTCAAAGTCAACACTCGGAGAAGTGTTGATGGGGTCACAGCTTGGAGATGCAATCAAGAATTCAAGGCTCTCGGAAACGGTGGCATCATCAGAGCTTAGAAGCGCTGGCAGGGTCAGTAGCTGGAGGGAAATTAGCAGCATTGAACTTCGGACAATCGTCAGCAGGATCTGAGCTCCTCGGTGAATCATTATCAGGATCTATACTTGGAGATATATTATTAGTATCTGATACTCAAAAAAGGATAGCCATTTCACGGCTCGGAAGAGCGTTAGCAAAATCGGAACACGCAGCAACATTGGCAGGATTTGAACCCGTGGAAACATTAACGGAGTCAGAACTCGCGAGTAGAATAACAGAACAACTAGATACTCAGTTAGGCTTGATAACTCACCTCAGAGATCTCTCGGAGACATTGTGGGGGCCATGGCAAGTTGACAACACTATTAAAGGATTATTTGGATCACATCTTGGAGAAGTGTTAACAAAATTCGAACTCGGAGAGACGCTAGAAGGATCAAAACTCGGACAAATTCTAACAGGAACAGCACGTGGTACGCCAGAGCGTCTCAAACCACCAAGACCAGATGGTTTTCCAGGACACATCTCACCAAGAGTAGACACTTTTCTACCGATGGTAACGAAGATAATGCCAGATTCCGTAACCTCAATAGCAGGGCTTCTTGTACCGATAGTACCCAAACTTCTGACCGTGTTTTTGGAACCATTAGTACCATTACTGGAGTTCCTGACTAGCTCACCCTCTAAAACCAAACAGACATTGAGAAATAAACCGATAATTGCTTCGGATCAAATTCCCTCAATGACAGAATCCGTTCTACCAGTGGTAACGAAAGTAGTCACTATATTTCTGCAACCAATAGCACCTGTAGTGGCTTTCTTGTCCAATTTGCTCAATACCACTAAACAACCCCCAGGCGAAAGATCCACCTCTTCCAGGCTCATTCCATCTCTAGAACTATCTTTCGATCCAGCTAAAGTTTCACTTTCCGCAACTTATATATTGCCCCCCCCTGTTTGCACTCGGATTCTATATGTCCCTGCGCCATTATCTGAATGCCTGGAGCAAAGTAATGTTTGATGCGCCCTTACCCCCCGAAGAGATCCCTCCTCCGGCGGGACAACCTCCAATCGAGGCCACAGGTAAGGCTCCGCCTCGCTCTCGGGAATCATCAGTGTGGTTCATTCCCACCGTGGACTTGCATTTCCCACCACTACTGAACAAACTACCGTCAGTAAACGTGTTGTTCGCCTATGTTCGTCGGCCCTTCTCATATATCCGTTGGCTACTCACCGAGTTTCAAGATTACCGTTTTCCCCGGCCTCCCCTGCCTCAAATACCACTAATAAGCAATATACTCGCCTATATCATTCGTCTATATGCAGTGGATATTCAACTACTTGCAGATATCAGACAACAGTTCTCAGCTCTGCACAACATCATAAACATTTATTACCTCACTGCCCTGCAAGGTATATCCGATGTAATAGCCGCGCAATACGCGCTACCTATCCGCCTTAAGGATTTGGCTACATATATCCATGACTGGTTCCTCATTTTAATAACTTACTTATATTGGGTGATGATGGGATGGGACACGGAGTTCTTCGGGAGCACTGTACACGGTCAAACAGTTCTTAGTGTTATCCGCTCTATCCGCTCTTGGACAGGTTTTCTAGCTCGACCCAGACGTCGTGGTCGTGCCGGAAAGTTGCGACGTCATCATTTCCCTGGATTTGCGCGGGGTCGCCATCGCTCCCTTCTTGATCCACAATTTGGGTATCCTTTTTGACTATTCGTATATCCAAAATACAATGTATACACTGACACTATTCAGGGTTTCCTCTTTTCCATGTGATGATTGGGTCAGTCATTGGGAGTCTTATATGTCTTACAGCAGCGGATACTCCCGATAATATCCGTGATGTTCTCCTTGATACTGGTAAATTGTCTTGGCATCGGTCGCAGGAATTGTTTAAAGGTTATGACTATGGAAAATTGTTTGAAGGTCATGACTATGGAAAATTATTGGCACTGGTGTTTTGCGCTGCTATAGTAGCGTATTTAATTACTCCTGCTCGGGGCTTGGTTATCTGAAAAGAAAATATTTGATGAATGTATTAATGTTCTGATATGCAGATAGGCAAGGGCGCAAAGAATCAGTACTTAATGTTATAAATATACATTTGAAACTATCCGGGACTTTTGATCCACATCAAAATCATGCTATCTGGTAAATATCCGTTCTGTAAAGCTCAAAGTATTTTCTCAATTGCGGACCAATCATATATCACTCAATACATATCTGGTTTGTGGGCCTAAAGTGTATGTATCTGCTTCAATTATCACGAATGTTTCTCAATAGAAGTCCACTCTATATCATTGGATGAATATTTTCTTAAAAAATATCTGCGAGGTGCTAGTCTCACAAAGTGAAAAGCACAGCTCCGTTTCCAAGCTCGAGGAAATGCCACTTCATAAGCATCAGAATCATAAACATGGCCAAGATGTATCTTTAATATGCAATGAAATAGTAAGAGCTCTGCTGTGGGTAGAATGTTTCATATTTGATGACTAGCACAGGCCAGAGAACTTACAGTTGATGAGAAGCACTAGCAGTTTCTTCGTTGAACTTTCTGCGGCTGCTGTTAATAAAAACAAATAATTCCATGAACCATTAACAGTTACCAAAATCCGCATGCTATAATATGAAATGCCTGCAGTTGTGGGCACGAGCCATCCTTCATATTGTGCTCTATTCTTCCAAGCTAGCAGCAATGAAGTCATATTCAAAGTACTCCAACACTGGTTCGAGTCAGGATCCACACAACCCAGCTAGCCTGCTTCGCACAAAACTACTCACAACCTTTACACCAAATAGCCACGAGCGTAGCGACCTAATTAATGTTCCTATGTGCCACATCTATTCGCCCACTTTTCTCGGGGGACCCGATTATCCCCACGTTTCCAAATCTTTGGCCGGACTATCCATAACACTCTGCGCAGATATACAGCCTTTCTGACTACTAAAGGATTGAGATAACTCGAAATCTTACACATTCTAGGATAAATGAAGCTTGAATACACTAATAGTCATCCAAGAACGATAAGGTCCTGGCCCATCCCGGAACTTCCAAATAGCACCACGAATCTTCATCTTGCTATTTCAACAGATTCACTGGAACCCTTGAGCCAAATAGAACATAAAGAACACATCTCTGTTGTATTTACTCGAGTATTTCTTTGGATATATAAACATCTATCAGATATTTCATTGTTGCTCTCAAGACTGAAGTTCGCGATCTCAAATCTCGCCCTAACGCTTCCGAAAGCTAGGCCGAATTAAGTTTAGCTTATCTATCAACATTTCGGAGCGCGGAGTGTAAGCTTTGAACAAAAAGTCCCAACGTGCCACTCGATTTGAAGGATTGTGAGAATACCTAGTAGCTTGTCAATTTTCCTCCATTCCTTTATATTCTCACCACCCTTCTCTCGTACTTCTTGTACTTCTTCGCTGAGGTCTTCTTTTATCACACAACTTCATCTGCAAGATGTCACGATTCCTAAGACCAGCGACTCGTTTCGCTTCTTCAGCTCGCCCTACACGAAGTGCCTTCCAGTCAGTTAACCGTCTACCGGCCATTGTGCAAGCCAGAGGATATGCACAGGAGAGTGGTGTTAAGGAATACACAGTTAGAGAAGCCTTGAACGAAGCCTTGGCGGAAGAATTGGAGTTAAATCCAAAGGTTTTCGTCCTGGGTGAGGAAGTCGCTCAATACAATGGCGCGTACAAGGTCACCAAGGGATTACTGGATCGTTTCGGTGAAAAGAGAGTAATTGACAGTCCTATCACTGAGTCGGGTTTCTGTGGATTAACTGTCGGTGCTGCATTGGCAGGTCTGCATCCTGTGGTAAGGGCTTTTCACCCCTCACTCGTTTTGGCCTGAAGGTCTATCGAGATAAGAGAAAATAATAGCTAAAACAATTTTACAGTGCGAGTTCATGACTTTCAACTTCGCTATGCAAGCCATTGATCAGATCGTCAACTCCGCCGCCAAAACTCACTACATGTCCGGTGGTATCCAACCCTGCAACATCACTTTCCGCGGACCTAACGGTTTCGCATCTGGTGTCGCTGCACAACATTCACAAGATTACTCTGCATGGTACGGAAGCATACCCGGTCTCAAGGTCGTCACTCCATGGAGTGCCGAAGATGCCAAGGGATTACTCAAGGCTGCTATCCGCGATCCCAACCCTGTCTGCGTTCTCGAGAATGAATTGTTGTACGGTCAAACTTTCCCCATGAGCGAAGCTGCCCAAAAGAATGACTTTGTTCTTCCCTTCGGAAAAGCCAAGATTGAGCGCGCTGGAAAAGATCTCACTATAGTTACTTTGTCCCGCTGTGTTGGACAATCTCTTGTCGCAGCTGAGAACCTTAAGAAGAAGTATGGCGTCGAAGTTGAAGTTATCAATCTCCGATCCATCAAGCCTTTGGATGTCGAAACTATCATGACCTCCCTCAAGAAGACTCACCGTCTCCTTGCTGTCGAGTCTGGTTTCCCAGCTTTCGGTGTCGGTGCTGAATTGCTTGCCTTGACTATGGAATTTGGTTTCGATTATCTCGATGCCCCAGCTCAAAGAATTACTGGTGCCGAAGTCCCCACACCATATGCACAGAAATTGGAAGATATGAGTTTTCCTAACGAGCAGTTGATTGAGAACTACGTCGCCAAAATGTTACGATTGTAAGACTATGAGTGTTTCTTAGTCGTTAATGAGGATGATGGGCGGGGTTTGGGAGGGGTGGATGACGTGTATTAAATAGCATACTTCCGGCAGATATACCAATAAGACCTTTCTTTTCAACCCGTACCATCCAAATTTCGGTATTGACGAATGTGCAATATTGACCCAGTGATTTGCTACATCTCCTTTCCCCAACTATCTTGTCATTTCAAATATCGCTACCATGATTATGGGATTATTAAGGTGCTCTCGGCAGATTTCCTAAGCTGGCTCCTCCTTTTACAAGCATCATTCTCGCGACTCAAAAAAAAAGCTGTTCATCAAATCCATTGTTAAAGCATGAGAAGGCAGATGCATCTGAATTTCCAGAGGCTATCATGCGGGGCGTTGGTCGACACATGTCAATTTAGAATCAGTCAAACATGAATCATCACAAAGGCATAAGGTGAAAGCGGAAATCCTGATGTGCCTATAATGGTATGGTATGTTGCTATTGGTGCAAATACCTATCCGACGCGCGCCAAACTCCCCATAAGGATTGCTCCGCTCCGCTGCATATCAAATAATAAACAAAAAAGTATCTCCTTTAAAACCGGTTCCCATTATCCTGGGTTTGTGCATATAACAAGGACGATCGTCACATTAAACACCCATAGTAAAATCATGCTCAATACCTGGCGTCACACTCGCCATGAACTAGAGCTACGTTAGCATATTCCACGGCAATAAAGGTCTAGAATGGCTTACCTTCAAAAACACGACGAGATATTGATCCACACGAATAGCAACCTCTTCCTCCTCGCTGGCAAAATCTTGATCATGCTGCAATACCTCCCACTCATCGTTTCCGTTCCCGCCTGCTTTCAAACCTTCTAGCATAGCTTTCTTATCACTAATTTTGGTCTTTTCAAAATCATCTACTAGGCCCTCCATGCCGGTATCTTTAGCTCCGGGTACCGTCTTCCCTTGTTTTTGCTTCTCTCGTCGGAGTTTCAGAGCTGCGTCTGCGCGATCAAGTAGAGTCTTCATGACACTGGCATGTTTGCAAGGGTGGATAGATGCCATCTTGATGTTGTTGCTAAAATATGGGAAATCTTCTAATGTAACGGTCTTATCTTTATAATCACCCACAATATCCTCCATCATAAGGTGTGGTGGAAGGGGTTGGGAGCTTGAGAGATACCCCGATAGGTATAGTCTAGGAGTTCGATAATAGGGCGTGTATGCGATGTAAATAGTATATGTGCGACGAGATCTGATAGATGACTTATTAATATCCGGTCGTCAAAATCTTTTCAGTATATGGGGAGATACTCACGAATTTGCATTGTCGGCTTTAGGGTCACGAATGATAGCTTCGTCATCATCGTCTTCATCCTCCATATCTGGAATATCATCCTCATCATCTTCTCTTTCGCCCATCTCACCACTTTCATCTACCGTTCTCACATCTCTGGCTCGTGCTTCTTGACTGGCGGCCAACCCTCCAGTCCTCAACCAACCATCTTCATCATCACCCGGCGAATGACCGGTACCTCTGAAGTCCTCCCCATCTCCAACAACAGTTTCGTCATGTCCTGCTTCGCCCGCAAAATCATCGTCGAGTCTACGATGGCAAGGCACGCCACGTGTAACTAGGAACTGCTTGCCAGCCGGTAAATAGCTGGCACGCTTGCTTGTTGGGGATGCATCTGCCCATGACCATGTTGGAAACTTGAAGACTAGATAATCCCCTGCTGCTACGAATTCTTCAGGTGTGATTTGTCCGTTGGTGCGAAAAGTAGAGGTATTGGATACTGGCGTAAATTCGCGAAGTCGATCGAGAGTGCTGTGGAGGAAGTTCATGATGAGCGGGGGAGGGGGGTTTCCTCTGATGCTGAGCGGGGTCTCAAGGGTAATGAAATATTGCGAATGCTTATTCTGATTGATGTATAGAATGTATCTATCGTTTGGCTCCTTTAATGCGTTAAAAACAGTTGTTCAAAAGCTTGAATGTGGGTTGGATTTTATAAGAATGTGGGTAGCTGAATGATGGGAAACGGGTTGAGTCAAGGCATAGCAAAGTAGACAGTAGTAGGGAACCAACTAGCCTTATGAGGATGCTCTTATCGATAAAGCCGATAGATAACCTTAAAGACGGTGAATCATTTAGTCCATGTGACCTGGTGACCTTGGCCGCGAACCACCGTGAATATACCTACTAGGTAGTAAACCCAGTGTGTAATTACCTCCCTATTCTCAACTTGTGAAATGTATTACATTAAGCTGAATTACAACATCCCAGTGTCATAGATTGTGGTCAATTTTTGGTTTTCAATCTTCCTTTCAACATCGAAAACAGCATCAGCGTGGTGCTCAAAAGGAAAATGGACTTTCCCATATCCGGAAGACTACTGAATCCGTGTGGTAATTACGTGAATCCACTCGGGACGTTGAATCCCATGATAACATTAAGGTCACTTCGAATATCTACAACATATTGAAGATTTGGATTACATGCCTAGGTAGGTAGTATCATCTGTACATCTTTTTTCCAGTCAACTTTCCACGTTTCCCAGGACCTCATCAGGTATTTCTTGGAGATACGTAATGTTATATGCGTATATAAAGTCAATTAATGGAAGAAACGCATATAGTGAATGATATTGCTCATTTTCTCAAAAATCTTGTATTCCAGTTTCTCCACCAACTGTTTCTCCAGTGTCTTCCTCCCCTAGCCATTCCGGTTCTTCATCCTCGAACCATCGCTCTTCAACGTCCCTATCTCCAATCTCATCCCATTCTCCACCGGCATCTACATCTTGATAATCGAATTCTTCATCCTCTCCTCTAAGAAACTTGAGTGTCATTTCGAACTTCCACCTTTCGAAGCCCTCCTCTTTGCTCTTCGGTACTTCGTCCGGATCCTCAGGTAAAACTTCACCATTTTGGCCTCTTGCATAGCTCAGATATGGAACTCCATGATCTTCTTCAATACGTCCAGCACTTCCATCTTCATCTTTAGAGGACGAATCAAGGTTGCCTTTCAACGCAGTAAGTTTAGCCTCTGATCGATACAGATCTGCTTCCAATACACCTGGTGAAAAAATTTAGTACCATCAGTAGATAAAAAGAGGTCGAGCACATTTGAGGTTCTCCTACCAGAATAGCCCTTTGCTCGTCCATCTGCTTCTCTTTCCGCAGCAGACTGAAATCTTCTAATGCATCGGTCATATAATAACGGGTCTGATTATAATTAGTTCCCATATAGATTTCTTCGATATAGCAATAATTGACCTGCAAGCTCTAGGTCAGGGGCAGTGAAATATGAAGGATGGCGATCGAGATATAATTTCCTGCGGTTCTTGACCTGAATACGAGCTACACGTTCTGCTGAGTCTCGTGTCTGTGCCTCGGGCGTATTGGGCTCTTTGTGAGGCATGACGATAGCCTGAATGTTGTGGGGATTGAGGTCTGGATGAATGGATTCTGAAGTCATGCGTAGGAAATTCAGGTGGCGAGGTCGGTTGAACTCCTCCTCATTCGTATGTCAGATTAATGTAATTATTGATACTGATATTGCCACCTAGTAGTTACTGTGAATTTTAATAATAGTTTGAAGTTACCACAATGTAAAGTTTTATTTGTGATCGACGGTATGTAGATAGATGGGTTCACCAGTTGTGAGTCTGACTGGAACGTTGGGTTGATAATTGGGGCTTGGTCAGCGTGGCAATGAAGTATTTATTAAGGTTATTATGAGTGGCCTCGGCTAGACTTCCACCAGGTACATAATTCCCTCGTTTGCATTCGTGGAGGAACAGTACGGGCTGGTGGACCTACTGTAAATACAAATACTGCTGGCAGCTGGACATACAAACTTCGTGAATCTTTAATCTACCTACATTCCAGGATACATCATCAACACGATAGCTTCATAATCTTCAATATGACTTTGACATTTCATCAAAAAGCACTTGAGCCTCCGTTCATAACCGTCGAAGGTATTCCCAATTTTCGAGATCTGGGCGGATATCCGCTCGCATCAGGGTCACATTCCGTACGTCAAGGAGTCGTCTATCGGTGTGGCGAGCCTCAAAAAGTTACGGAAAGTGGAATTGCCACCATGCGGAAATTGGGAATCACCCACATCTATGATTTAAGATCTCAGGAAGAGCTTAATAAAAATGCCGCCGCTGGTAGAGGGGGAGTGGTAGAGTGGGAGGGCTGCCAGCGGGTGTTCGCGCCTGTATTTCTGGAGCAGGATTATAGCCCGGAGAGAATTGCCATTCGATTTAGGGATTATGCCTCAAAGGGCACTGAGGTAGGATCACTTCGTCAGATCTGTGGAGAGACTATAACTAAATGGTATTTTGAAGGGTTTCACTCGCGCGTATACCGACATCTTAAACAATGCTCCAACCTCATACCGCACTATTCTTCTTCACCTTGCAAACGAGCCGACTAAACCTTTGATCGTCCATTGCACCGCTGGTAAAGATAGAACCGGTGTTCTTTGCGCGTTGATCCTCTCTCTTTGCGGAGTTGACGATGAGATTGTGGCTCGGGAGTACAGTTTGACAGAATTTGGGCTCCCGCAAGAGTGGAAGGCAGGAATTATCAAGCATTTAATGGAGCACCCAGCCATCAAAGGTGACCATGAAGGGGCAGAAAATCTAATCAGCTCCAAGTACGTGATACTCCTCCTTGAAGAAACATATGTTACTAATAAAACCTACGAGTAGAGCCGAGAACATGCTTGCAACGCTGAAGATGCTCAATGAGAAGTTCGGTGGCGCGGAAGGATACGTAATAGAGAAATGTGGTCTTACAGCTGGAGAAGTAGAAAAGATTCGTAAGAACTTAATCATAGAATCCCCGGCCATCCACGGTGTTTCGTAGAAGAATATTCCTAGAAGAATTTCTAGCACCTACTTCAAATCATGATCAGCTTCGAGTAATGTCTCGAGCCCAAGATTATGTAGTCACGTGATGTTTCGCTTAACTTTCTCTTGGAGCTTTGATCCCGAGAAGTTGTGACTTAGAATTTTCATCTGTTAGGGACCCCACGGTTTTCCTCAACCACCCTCAAATATCTTCCTTCATTCCTTCACAACCTCAATTGAGTTGCTGTTATGATGAATACTTCTTCTAGATGTCCCAATTTACTCGCATCTGGGTCAGCTTATGCAAGATCCTTTCTTAATCAAGTACCTTCGCGGTCCTTCTCGTTGACACCCCCGCAAAACGCACGAAGAGCTACCAGAGCAAGGCGGTCGCTCTTCAGGTGGCTTGGCACGCAAGGAGAGAACTTTAGAAATCCTTTGGCAAATTCAACAAATTATATGGGTGCATACAACAACGATGGTAAATTGAAGAGAGTCATAGAAGCTGCGGCGAATTCGAGGAAGGATAGTGGTCCCAAGCCCGAAAGTGAAAATGAGCCCGATGCGAATGGCAACAAGGAACTACCGCCACAAACTTCAAGAGATATGATACCCTTTCCGGGAAATCGAAAGTTCATAAGCCAGCCTGTGTTGAGTGAAGACTTGCGGGAGCTCATTTGGAGAAGAATCATGCAAGATGCTAGGTCGGTGAGAGAAGTTAGTGCCGAGCTTGGAGTTGAAATGAGTCGTGTGGGAGCAGTCGTGCGACTTAAGGAGATCGAGAAAGAATGGGAACGATTGGTATGTTATGAAAGATTTTACACACACCAGCATACTTTATGATGATTTATAAAAATCGATTAGTCTTCAAGACAACTACATGGTTACAAAATTATGCATGCGAGCCTCTCTGAAAGTTACTTACATACGTGTTTCATTTTGGGATCTATCCAGCCACAAGCTAATTATCATTGTCATAGGGAAAACCTCTTGCGAGACCTTACGCCGATGCTGTTATGTCAATGGTACCCGTAACTCAACTAAATCCGGCCGGCAAAACTTCACATGAGTCAATCAACGATTTACCTATTCATGTAGCAACAGGACAACAAATTTTCCACCCCACTTCGGAGTCGAGACATTTCACACGGGAGGATGCTGCGAAGATTTTCGACGAGAAACTTCTTTCCGCAGACAAAAGAATACCACATCCCGAGTTGATTGAGATACATAAAGACTTTAGAGCTGGATTGTCTCGAGAGGAAAGGAATGCGCGACAAGACGCAAGAGACCAAGCAGAAGATGAAGCGAGACAACTTATAGCTGATCGGAAAGCAAAGGAAGAGGCCAAGATAACGAAGGTTAACACGGCTAGATGGGAATTCAGAATCAAGGAAATTAATGTTGATGATATCGGTAAAGACGGTAGGGGGGCACACGGAACAGGCTGGAGGTACGGAAGACCTTTGATGGACAGAAAGAGAGGACAGGTAAAGATTCCTACAAGTGTGCAATAATGATTTAGAGAGCTTTATCATAGATGTACATGCATGGAGTTTAAGGCTGGGGGATTATCATGACATTAGCGACCATATTGAGCGCATACTTGTACATTTATGTTGTACTATACCAAACCCATCGAGATGATTGAAGGCTTTCCACATCCTTCCAGGTGTACAAATATATTAATACATCACGAGTACCTCTTGAGTACTTGCTTGACGCGGTTCCTTTGAAGATGCCAACCTCTATTGATGCGATAAGATAGTCTTTTGGTGGTAGGCACGGGGTACTACTGGAAAAGTGAGATAGACAACAGTTATTGTTAGCATTCTCCAGAGTAGAATCCGAGAACGGTAGGTTCAACCATACTATCGACAGACTCTCCATCATACGGTCGATACACTCTAAATCTCAGACTGCTCGTGCTTTATTAAAATGAAGTTCTGTTTTTTTCCTTCAAAAATTTCGCTTAAAAGCCCTAATGACGCTTAGTGCGATTTTGAGTCGCGGTTCCTAAGATGGTCGTGGCATACAAAAGGGCCTGAAGGTGCCCGCAGACGAAACGCGATTTGGAACTTTTTGACTTCACTTTCTGCCTGGAATTAAAGGCCTGACAAAACTCATCCACGTCACGTGCTATCAAACAAGAATCATTCTCGACTCAACATCATATCACTCAGAAGAAAAATAAAAACAGGAAGCGACTTGAATCAGTTTTTTACATTTTAAAACTCTTTTCAACTCCTTCATCTTTCGATTTTGTTATTAAGTCAAAATGTCCGACAGAGAATTTTCAAGTAAGTCAAGTGCATCTTTCATATCACGTGCTGTTCCGTTGTCTAGAGGTGAATTGGAGGAAAGCGACGTTGTGAGTGAGTTGCTCAAGACTATTGCCTTTCAAGGAGAATCTTTGGTAGTCAAAGTTCATGTTCTCTGGTTCAAATTGTTCAAGTCTTCAGATTTCTCAAACCACAATCAAGATGCCGACCTACTGCAATAACCTTAATCCAGGTCCTTCGTTCCTTCTCCTCTACAATGCCTCATTCTATCTCAAAGGAACTCAAAGAATGGATCGTAGCTAACACTCCTTCTTCCTAGGTAATGATGATCTATCTCTTCCAAAAGGTAACACCTCCTTCTTTTTCTTCAATACTTATCATCATCATTATCCGTAACCATGGACAACGATTGCGGTTGCTCTTCCCGCACAAGAGGGGTCAGCAAAACACCAATCTTCACTGGCGACTGCGATATATCCTGCGATGCTATGCTATCAGCATTATCATGCAAAAAGTGCACCCAAGCCAACAAAGCAGACTTTAGTTCTTCACCTAAGCAGTCATCAACTACTTCGGAGACTTCATACTTTCGGTCCAAGGAACCAAATCATTACTATAATGAATTAGACTCAACACCATTGCCATTATCATATTATAAGTCACCTTATTCGTATAAGAAACACAAATTATTGGCCGGAGCTGTACCTATTCCTCATAGAACATCAAGTCTAGCTTTTGGCTCAGCATCCAAAAATCCGGGAAAGATGTATTTAGTTCAACAGTCGCTGCATTCCTCACCTGAAACTTCTGACTATTCCGGATCTTCCTCCAATCTGAATTTTGGTGGCAAGCATCTCGAACAGGTGCAGAAAGTATTAGAAGACATTCGAACATGGCACAAGGAAGTTTCCATATCAATTTCGAGATCACATCTTGTAAGGACGAAATATTGCCACCAAAATGATTTCAACAACATTTCATCACAAGTCCCTCATAAGCAAAAAAGCCGCTGTCTTGGTAGTGCATCTATGGATTCCCAACAACAAAAATATTCTTGGGCTCAAGCTTTTGAGGGAGGTTACACAACTTCTCGGAGGTATACTTCTAGATCACTTTCTCCTGGATCTAACATTTATCCTATCTGGAAGATTGATCCCGTTCCGTCCAGCATCTATAAAGCAAAAGCGATGCCCAACACCGGGATCAGGCGAAGTTCTCGACCAACACCTAGCCCAAGAACATCCAGCCTTGGTGCCACCATCTGCCCAAGACGACGAAATGCTGTTCGAGGTCGAATTCTTCCAAAACCAGTGTCTGTTGTCTGCTCGACTGTGGAACAGCATTCATGCCAAGCACAGTACACGGGGAGCTCGCTCGACTTTCCAGCTCGGGAGGATCATTTTGTGCACCACTTTGATGGCGAAAGTGCTTTGGCCAGCAACGGAGAGAATACCAAAATTGATACTATCCACTCCCTAGCGACTTCTCTTGCACAGCCGAATTTATCAATCAATTTACAAGACCAGTCACGGGAAGATCAAGGCTGCGAAACCCACGAAAACGGACTTCCCCATAGTGGTACTGTTATCAGGCTTTCCGCAAGACATTCAAGTCTGCAAGCTAGCGAGTCCATATTTACAACGCTGTCTTCACAGGAAATTGAAGACGAAGAAAAGGCCAAACGTCACATCGCATTTGTGCATTCAGCACTGCGAAATTTAGTACCTTTTGAAGTCTCATACTATCTCTACAGAGTTTCACAATCGCGGGGAACTTCTGATGATTCTAGAAAGACTTTCTTACACGAGTACTCGGACATGATACCTCCATCTATCGAGTCCAATTCTATACCCCAATCTCCTGAGACGCTTGAGCATGATAGGTGCTGTAAATCTGGAAGCAATCTCTCTTTGAGAAGATTCTCAAACGAACAGCTTCGCCTACATTGTCCAGATGCAATTGATGACACGAATATGTGGGCTCCGGGAACCGCAATCTAATCACAATTTTCGCGTCACCCAAGAGTTAGCTTTAACTCCGCCGTCTTCCACTTACATTAATTTACATTTCCATTTTCGGATCCTTGCTAACTCCTACCTTCTATAGCAACCGTCCAAAAGATAGTATCCGAGATTCTCCCAGCTAGCTCTGGTCTAGCCTTTGGCAAGGATGCTCGCGATCTTTTAATTGAATGCTGTGTCGAGTTCATCACTCTCATCTCATCCGAAGCAAACGAAATTTCCGAAAAGGAAAGCAAGAAAACTATTGCTTGTGAACATATTACGAAAGCCTTGGAGCAGTTGGGCTTCGGCGAGTATGTTAAAGATATCGTGGAGGTGGCCAGTGAGCATAAGGAACAGTTGAAGGTATGTTTATTAGCTCTTTTCAGGTAGTAAATAATATGTACTTATTAAGCGAAATTATAGGGAAGGGAGAAGAAAGCAAACAAGCTCGAACAATCGGGCCTCACCCCAGAACAATTATTGGCAATGCAGGAAGAGGCATTTAGAGATGCCGCACAGCGTCATGGTTGATGACTATCTTGTTTCTTTTCTTTCTAGCTCTTCGCTAAGATCAGCTTCGAGTTCGATTTGCTAGGGATGGATTGGGAGTTTTTGGTCTTCATGCATGGCTGGTTAGTGGGCGTTTGCTTTGGTGGGGAACAGGGATAGGGAGGGTATCTTCTTTCTTTCTTGTTTGTGAAGGGGCGTGGAACCGCGGTTGTGGAAAGTGGTTTACTATTGGTAATGGGGAACGTGGTAGTGAAGATGGGCTAGACAGATTGAGATTGCTTGGGGTGGTAGCCTTTTTGTGATTATGCTACAGTGCGCGAAAACGACAACGGAAATGATATGAGCGTGGTGCTTAACTTTCAAGACTTTGCGATGCATGGCTAGTGACCATTAAAGGATATCCAATTTGAGGATTCCATCGAATAAATACATGCGAGGTGCTCCTTTGAAGGTGATTTGAGTTGAGCCGGGTTAGTCCTCAGACTTGACTAGAAAATCACTACGGCTACATTCACGAATCTCAATCCTATCGGTTTGATTCAACGCTGATCTCAACCGATAAGAGGAATTCCCAACGTGACCATAGGATTGTTGTGGATCTGACACAATCCCCTGAAAGATCCAGAAGGCAGTCCTTGAAAATCCAACTACAGCATTGCTAACCTCTTTGCCGCAGAATGGTGGTCATAATCTTATTCTTTCAGATGACCAATCGAGAATGGGGATTTTGGATTTAGATATTGCTTATCATTATCCCATCTAATTTCCTCACAGTTGTATTTTATTGCATATTTATCATATTTTTCTGGAGATCTGTGGATAAGTCTCGGAACGTGGCTAATGATATCGTTGTCGTTAGAAGTTTGCTCAGTTACTTGCTAAGCTGTTTGTCACCCGTATGTATTGCATACACGTGGGAATGATGTGAAAACATCAGATAACTGCTCGAGGACGGGTGATCTTGGAAATGAGGATTGAATGCTATGCATCACAAGAATACGCTAAGATTGTGATCGAGGGAATTGAGTTTCGTACGCTAAATTTTATTTCTCGCTACATGAATGCATAATGGGACAACAATAGGTCATCTCGATCCATGGAAATGACTATGTCAGTACCGCATTCTCTCTTGTCACTAGTAGTAGCTTACTATATTACGTTTGAGAAATCCAATAGAGAATTTAGGATGAGATTCTTACCCGACCACTGTTGGCGACTACAACTGATAGATGACAGTCAAGTACCATGCAAGTTTCGGCTGATGAGGCGATTAACATTATTCGCATGATCAATATTGTCGACCAAACGGGCTACAGGAGTAACCATATAAAGGAATTCAGCATAAACTGAGGCTCTTGGGTTACATGACCATGGCCCACCTACATATCTTCTTCGGGTCAAGTCGCAACTGTGGCGGCCAGGGCTTCAAGCACTCTGAATGGAATACCATTTGGTATTGACTGAAACATATAGACTCACTTTCGTATTCGACACATACCCGACGGTGTAAACATATACGGTAGATGCTCCTATAGGGGGTCAGATATGGCAAAGTCGGCGGTGCTTAGGTGAATATAAGTTTGGTGTGTTGTCCAAGAAGGCCAGATGATTCAGAGATGAGGCTGGGTGTTTCCTACCCATTCAATTCCAACCACTAAAACCGTCTCATACCGGATCATACGACTTTAGATAAAGAAGCAAGCAGGACATTTACTACTTGCCGGGAAAATATAGCTGATATGCAGAAAAGCTGGTCAATTTCGCCATCGAATGAGCGCTGTACCTGTAGCCGGGTTCCAGTCAGAAAGGGGTAGATCCATGCTATACCTGTATGTAAGATGTCCTTGGTGAGTTTCTTATCTGTGCAAGGAAATCGATCCTGCTAATGAAGTAATGTTGACTTCTTCTTCCACAATACCCAGCTTGGAAACGTTCCGCTAATATACTTTTGATCGATGTGAATCCGCTGACTGCTGCTATTTCGAGACCTGAATTACGCCTCCGATTTCTTTGGAAATTCTCGCTTGGGATTTTGGTCATTTAGGAAACACTTTAGGTCATGTCGACTCCAAACTATGTTGTTTAAATGGTTTCTGTCCCAAGTGTACAGAAAGCAATGAAATCATCTGAAGCCCAGGTCTTCAATACCAAGATCACTACATTCAGATAGAGGAACAAAATAAAACATCTGATAGAACTAATTTCATGCTTCCTCATCACTATCTATGTGTCCCCATAAACGAATACTCCCTTTCCGCTCCTAAATCCCTCCAACGTTCCTTTTACTGCTGACGTCAAAACATCTTCCTTCGTCTCCCAATCCCACTTGAGTTCTTGGACGGGAATGTCCTTAAACATTCCCATCCTTGTCATCTCCAAAATTTCATCCACCGTTTTCTTCTTCTCGTCTGGATGTGCGTCACTCCACCTACTGACCCAAAACCCGCTAAATTTGATGTCCTTGAAAATCAGAGCTGCAGTAGAGATTTCCAGTGGTTTCTTCGACATTCCTCCATATGTAACCAAATGGCCAGCATGACTCAAACATTTGATTAATGCACTTGTTGCTTTTCCACCCACACAGTTCAAACCCACGCGAACCTTTTCCTTTCCTCCATTCGTCCAATCCTTCACCTGATCTCTGAAACCTTGCGCCATCAATTCCGACTCGGTCACCACTTTCGTAGCACCCAGCTCCAGCAATTCCTTCTTCATAGCTTCAGTCTCTTCAACACGCTCGCGATCCCGTATAATATTAATACTCCTGTACCCCCACCTCTTCCCTAGCTGGATGGCTGCCCTCCCCACCCCACTATTCGCTCCATTCTGTATAAACCAATCCCCCTCCACCATACTCTCAAAATCCTTCAACATCCTATATGCCGTGCACGGATTGACACTCACAGTGCCCACCTGGATTGGGTTCAGACCCTCTTTATTCCCAATTTTGAGAACCTGGGATTCCTCAGCGATAGCATGGGTGCGCCATGTTCCAAATCCAGTCGATTTCATTATTACCCAATCGCCTTTTGTAACAGCCGAGACGCCGGGTCCGAGAGACAAAACCTCAAAACAGCCTTCGTTGCCGCCTACAGCGGAAGGAGATTCGGTTCCGAGGAGACTGGTGAAGGGAGGGCGGGAGGGGTAGACGCCCTGAATTTGGTTTATGTCGGCAGGGTTTATGGGCGTTGCGAGGGTACGGAGGAGGATGGATTTTGAAGGTAAAGAAGGGGAGATGGAGTGGTTGTGCAGACTGTGTTTTTATCGCTGTTAGCAATTGAACTGCCGCATTGATTGCAGAATAGATAGATGGAAGAAAATAGGACCAAGAAAACTCACGATAAAACATCCGCCGGCTCCCCATATTTGGAATACACGAGTGCCTTGGCTTGTGTATATCCATATGGGCCAGATTTGTATCTACGAGCTATCAAGCTCCCCAACTGGTTCTGTTTGCTCTGTCTGCTGAGCACTCTGGATATCAATCCTCTTGAGCTTATTGCTGTTGAGCTAGCTAAAGCCTTACAATGAATAGGACTCGCCATCCTCAATTATTGAACCAAATTATCTTATTAATATCTTGGTTGTAAGTGTTAGGAAATGAATGAAGTTGATTGTTGATTGATTTCATGACATAGACATACACCCACTCCACTAATATATACCGGCAGTTTTGTTATGACGTTGGACGTTTTATTTGTTGTTTGCCGAATTTCCATCCACTCACCACCACCACCACCACCACCGCCATCACCACCAAGCCCCAGTGCCGCGGAGCCACCAGGCGCCAAAAGCTTGAAAATACAGGCATCACTGCAGTACTACTCCACTAATTTCAATCCCTTCCAGCCCCAAATATTAGGGTGTTACAGCACGTGGACCGCGTAGTTCCAGGGCCAAGGACGGACCGTTTGATCGTCTACGGGGGGTGAAGAGGTAAAATAACTCCCTACCCTTCGACTGCCACAGGAGATGATGGATGGTTTCGGGACATGTGATATCTTGATTTGGGTTTTTGCTTGGAAATATTGATGGTTATGCTTTAGCTTCCTCTTTCCATTCTATATATAATAGGATAAAGATTATTATTCAATGTATTGGTGAATTCGGTGTTACAAAAGTTCGAATGCAAGGTTACGTTCAGAGTCCTCATTGACAGTTCAGGGGAAACCCAATCTTCTCTATCACAATTATACAAATTCCGGAAACCGAATGATAGATGAGGAGTGAAAGAAGACAAAGGTCCTCCGACCAAGCATCCGCTACTATTTTGTTCCAAAAATGCTAAATATGGATATTTTGTACCCCAAGAAAAGCTTCCACGGCATATGAAGCCAACATTACAAATGCTGTTTTGTTTAATACTGTAATCGGCGTAAAACAAGACCCTATTGAAGACGACCACCCAGAGATATCATTGATAAAATGAAGGGCGCCCAGCCAAAAAAACAAATGAAAGAAATAAAGTTTTTGGCCCCCATCTTGAACCTGATTCGTAGTACATCTGAATCCCCCCTCCTCCCACTTTCACCTCGCTGGCAGCTCCATCTCGCGGTCCGTGTCGTTGGGGGGTGTGACTGTGAATCTCTTCTGACTCCTTCTCATATTGCAGCTATTATTTGGGCCGTAGCATATAGCAATACCCCAAGGAACTATTTGTATTCCCACAATTCGCCCGCACAATCCCTCACTACGAAATATTTCTGAACATCTCATCGCCGCCCAAGCTACCACGATCATCATCCGCAATTTTTGCCTTCAACTGATTTAGCTCCGGTAATTTTGGCGGAGGTGGACCTGGCTTGGTGTAACTTGGCTTGGTGTACACCGGCTTGGTATTTTCCTTTTGAATCTCCGGAGTTCGTTGCAGGGTGGGAGTATACACCACGGGCTTGTCTACATACACCACGCTATTTCTCTTACTGCTGCTCCCAAAGCTCCTAAACCAGCTTCCGCTCTTCCTCTTCACGAAACTAGGTTTGCTGCTCGCGAGACTACTTGGACTCTCCGGTCTCACCATCTTTGACAAATCCTCATGCGATTTCGCATTTCCACTTGTGTAATTTGAGTTGAACGATTTTCGAGAGAGAAATTTGCGGATGCTGCTTTCCTTTTCAGGTCGTGTGGGAGTGTTCGAAACAGCGACATCTGAAGGGGCTCTTGCGCGTACGGGAGGGGCATGGTTGCGAGGAGATGAGATGTTGGGTGGGAAATAGCCATGGGATTTTGTCGTAGTAAGATTGGAGAAACCATGAGATTTCGTTGCCGTGAGAGGAGCAAAATCAGAATGGCCATTTGCTGACGCTGACGCCGAGGTGGGAGGCGTGCTTGTAGTGGATCGAACGGGATCAGTATTCTGAGGGACGGATACAGGTGTCGATGCCGCAGATGCATGTGCAGATGCAGTGGTCGATTTAATTGCCTCTTCTTCTATTGGAGAATCTGGAAGCGGCGGTGGGATATCCGTTCCATCTGTCAAATTGAAATCAAAGGATGTAAGAGCAGGGAGCTCAAACCGCCCATTGGGCTTGCCATTAAACGGCATATTTGCTATGGCTGTATTTTCTTGGGTGTTCGATTTGGGCGGAGAGATGGCAATCTGTGAAATGCAGAGATTGGAAGGGGAGAGCCAGACAAAAAACCAGAACTTGAGAAGATAGAATTCTTGAATAGCGGATGGATGGATGGATGTTCGAAATATCTATCACCGAGAGAGAGTACAGCGAGAGAGTAATCTGTGGGTTCGGATGTGTGAGATGTTAGAATAGGAAGAGAAGGTAGTAAAGTGTGAAAAGTAAGATGTAAAAAGTAAAATGTGAGGTGTAAAGTGTAAAATGAAGCGTAACTGTGAAAGATGTAAAGAAAGACTGACCTGTAGACCAGACTTGGCTCGAGCTTTGCTTGCGATTTCCTGATTGGGAATTCTTTCTTCGATCCCCGAAAATAAATTGCCGGGATATCAAAAGGTGGCGGGTGAAAATGATGTGAGTGACCTGAAATGAATATGGAGATGGGATGAGAGATGGAGAGGTGGTGAGAAAGATGCGGAAAAGGTTCCAGTTTTTTTAGTTGTTAGTTGATTAACAAGAAAAGAAGAAGAAATAACGGTGTACAAATGGTATTATTATGGATGAATGTGAGTGTATGTATGTGTGTGTGTGTGTGTGTGTGTGTGTATATGGATGTGTACAATATGTATGGTATTGATGTTGATATTAAAAACAAATGATTGGGCTGATTGGAGCTGAAATTGAAATTGAGATTGAGGTTGAGGTTGAAGATTGAAGTGACATTAGCATTAACATTAACATTAATATTAATGTTAATGTTGGAGCTAGATGAAAAAATACGTATTGATGTAATAAATCCCAAGTATTTGTAAATAGATATACTAGTAAGGTAGGTGGGTAAACAACTTCAAGATATCCTAGATGGATACTAGATAAATAGTCAATCAGTTGTGTTGTATGTCTGGATTGCTTTTAAAAAATAAATAAAATAAATAAGAGTAAATGATCATTATACTGTACTCGTAATAAAAATATAAATCTTTCTCTCATCTTCTCTCAACATAAAAAAAATAAAAAACAGGTGTATAAAATCAATTGGAGTGATGAGAGGGTAAAAAGACCCGTCCGTATCGTATCCTCATGGCATCCTCGTATCGTATCGTTCGTTGTTCATATCAAATGTGGAAATTCTGGGGTCGGCTCATCATTTCGCTTTGAGCGCTGGTATCTGGTATCTGGTATTTCTCTCACTTGGTTTGTCGCTTTATCGGTTTGTCGGCTGGTCATGCCTGCCTCTCTCTGGTTTAATGTTGATTGTTGATTGATTGATTGATTGATTGTTTGTTTGGTTGAACAAAATGATGATGATCCATTTTTAAAGAGTGGTGGAGAACCAATGAACCTTACCTGCTGGTACTGAAAATTCATTTGGTCTCACAAGGTAATATATAACCCTTGGAATTACAATCTGATGTTGAGAATTATTCAATGTTAGTAAAAATATGAATGCAGATGTTGTGTGATTTTGTGGACTTTGGTATTTATGTATTTAACCTTTAATACTCATACATTTATACATCTAACCCTTCCGAATCTATGGCATCCATCATTTACTACGACTTTTGTGGTATTTTCTGCTAGAATAACGTCTGCACGAGAGATAATTTCCAGAGGAAAGACTTACTTCTCTGTTCCTCCGTCCACGGCTATACTATTTATATCATCATGCCCCTTTCGTCAAGATCCGTATATCTATCCATTCGATTCCGCTATCCTTTTTCGTCGTGGATCAGAGAAAGGTGCATACTCAAACAATTTTCTACCAATCGGTAATACAAAAGTGTTTCATGCAGTGCCGGACATGCACATGAAGATATATTGCATCAATGGCTTCACTAGATTTCCCGATACCCCCTCTATCCAATCAAATCCATCAGATTCGGTAGTTTCCGAGAACTTATGTAACCTCCAAAGAAAAGGCGACTCCATCATCACCTTGTCCCTTTTCTGATTTTTCGGGAGAATGGGAATCTAAAGGCTGCTGTAATATCATTGGGTCAACAATTATCATATGTGATAGTTCGCCTGCCTCCTATGCGTAGCACAATTTTCTGCGCATGACTCATCATCAACCACCCCCCTTATAAGAGCTGCTTGATTACCGATATGCCCCACTAAAATATTACTGGGGAAAGGCAATATGTACCCTAATTCTTTCACTTACTAACCACTGTCGAACTCTATCTAAAATGTTAAACCTAAGCTCATCCACCATCCACTCGGAATCAGTTTCCACGTCCCTCCTCTACGACCGATGGGCAGCAACTTACGACACAGACCGTAACCCTTTACAAATCCTCGACTCCGCCCTCATTCCCTCTCTCATGAAGACATTATTTTCCCTTCCACCAGAGGCTCAGAATAACATCACAATCACCGAGTTAGGATGTGGTACGGGCCGTAATACTATTCGATTCCTCACATCACCTCTTTCAAAGAACGTCTCCAGCATTCATGCTCTGGATCTCTCATCAGCAATGCTTGACATCGCTCAATCCCGTTACGCCTCCTTCATCTCCGAAAACGATGGCCAACTTCCCAACATCCAATTTGACGAGTTCAATGCCCTTGATCCTCAGTCTAACCCCGAAGTTTCGAAATCGATCCAAGGAAAAGCGAACATTGTGGTTAGCACTCTTGTCCTAGAGCATCTTTCCCTACCTACGTTTTTCTCGGCTGTAAGCTTTCTACTAAAGCCATATTCGGAAGCGAGCTATGGTAGAGTACTAATCACCAATATGCATGCCGAGATGGGTAAATCATCTCAGGCCGGATTTATGAATGAAATTGAAGGAAAGAAGACGAAAATTAGGGGCGAGAGTTATGTCTACGAGATTGAAGAAGTCGTGGAGGAAGGGGGGAAATGGGGTTTTCATGTCGTGGGAGACGTGCTAGAAAGGAGGATAGAAGATGGTGACATTGAGGAGGACGGAAATGGGTTGAGGTTGGGAAATAGAGGAAAGAAATGGATAGGGAAGAAAATGTGGTTCGGGATGGTAATGCAGAGGAAGCACAAATGAAACATTTCTGATTCGAGGAAAATTATTAATTATATGACCAATAGTTTTAGTAAAGAAGCCCATCATTATCACATTGCATTGGAACGTTTGTTTTGCTTCGTGTATGCTAAGCCAGCTACGCTATCCTTGAGCGGATTGTATCAAGGAATAAAACTGAACTTCCTAGGCCTCCAAAATGCTTCTATAGCTAGGTGAGGAAGCTACTGTACAAACGCCTTGCGAAGTTTATAGTACGCCTTGGTCTATCATACTATCACAACCGCCGCATCAATAACCAAAAGAGAATTGACGAGATAAACATTAACAGGAAACAGGTTCAGCCGACCATGGCCTTAGACTACACCACACGCTTTTATGGCTTTGTCCCATAAAGACCTCGGCATAGTACATGCAAATGTAGGGGACAGAGTAATGATTATGCCTTATTTGCTGTTAGAGTCGATCTCTTCTCCCCAAACCTTAATTTTTCCCATTTATCCATGTCTTCTTCACACATTTGCCTTAAATACTCCATTAATTTTAACCGGCGTTGCTTTTTCTTCTCGATGCGCTTTTTTTTGAGCATGCGCACCTTCTCGGAAGCGGCATCAATCTCCAACGAATCCGTTCCTTTCATGTTTGCCACTGCATTCCTGAGCTCTGTCGATAAGGTTGTTATCTCTGCATTCGAATCTTCCATGCTCCTTTGCTGCCACTTGTGGAATTCTTTGCTCCACCCATCGTATACTTGAGAAGCCCATACCATTTCTATCATGGACGCAATCTGTAAGGTGCGCCCATCATCTGAGTGCTGACCCATAATTTGTATGCCAACAGTTGAAGGTACACTCTTCTTGGAAAACTTGAATGGAAGTTTACATGGTATGCTTATGGAAGGTATGCCAGCAAGACTAGCAGGCACAGTAAAGATATCATTCATGTAAGCATCAACCGGTGTTTGGCGCTCAGTAACGTCTTGCACGGTTGGTGAAAGAGTAGGAGCTGTTGGGCAAAGAATAATATCCACTTCTGCAGGGCCCAATTTGTCCTCGAGGGGAATGCCTTCTTCCATATCACTGAGATCGAACTGCTCTTCTGGCTGTAGATAATTTGGCATGGAGAAGACACGGTCAAAATCTCTCTGTACCAATCGTCGAACCTTTTGTGCCTTGATAAAGTAGTTGTCAAAAGCCTCGGAGCTCAGTGAATAGGACCCAAGAAGAATTCGCCTTTTCACTTCGTCTCCAAATCCAGCGCCCCTAGTCTCCGAATAGAGGACATCTCCAACCCCGTCAGTTGGCTTTTCTCGAGTGCCATACCTTACTCCATCGTATTTCGCAAGATTGGAAGATGCTTCGGCTGCTGCTAGTACGTAATATGCCGATAGAGCATGCTTTGTGTTAGGAAGTGATATTGGAACAATCGTACATCCTTGACGCTGAAGAAGTTCTAAAATTCGTTGCCACGCCCATGAAACTTCTAGGTCCAATTCTGAAATATTGTATTCTATTGGCACCCCAATTTTCAGCTCTCTAAGATAAAATGGATCATGCGTAGCAGAGGCCTTTGTCTTTCCAATGAATTCCATTCGCTGTTCCTTGATTCGCGCTCGACTAGCGGACCTGAGACTCGTAGGATCCCGGTGATCAAAATTGCTCACCCTGTCAAAGAAATTCTGTATCCGGTTTGCACTGCGTGCTATAAAACCCACGGTATCAAGTGAATTTGCGTAAGGCACCACGCCAAAGCGAGATACAATGCCATACGAAGGCTTGAACCCCGCAATTCCTGTATAAGCAGCCGGCAACCTGACTGATCCACCAGTATCTGTGCCGAGTGCGATATTGGTCGTGCTTGTTGCCACAGCCATTGCACTCCCGCCAGAGCTTCCCCCCACGGATCTTAGTCGGAAAGGCTTATGGTGACGTACAGCGCCAAAATGTGAATTTAATGAATGCGAACCCATTCCAAATTCATCCATATTTGTCTTCCCCGCGACATACCCACCGCCGAATTTGACATCTTCTACCACAGAAGCGTTAAAAGGACTCTTGTATTGCTCAAGAATGCGAGATGCGCATGTTGTTGACGCTGACACGGTTGCTATGTTATCTTTTACAGCGACAGTTCGTGATGTTCGAGGCAGGAGTCTCTTAGGGTCATTCTCTTGTACTATTAGCATTTATAAGTATATTCAAGAAAAGAATCCAATACCTCGTTGGTGAGAAGTCGAATGGATTTTGTTGCTATCGTTCAGCGGGGTCAATTGTGGCTCTGATATGAAGGCATTCGTTTCTTGGTGTGGATGAACTGTCGATTCAGCAAGCTTCAACCTGAGATTGAAAACTTCAGCATTAAATACATTACGCCATTTAACATGGCGTGCCATCACATATATTATGGCAATTCAAGTATTGAAAGCGTAGAGACATACAGAGAATTCAATTCATGTCTTGCTTGGAACTTCTGAACGGATTGAAGGTGGTAGGTACGGTATATTTCAATTGCTTCATCAATGTGATTTCTTGACATTTCGAAGCTTCATCGGATAAAGACTTGAAAGTTTCTCCGAACTCCGACATTGAGCTCCCGACCCCAACTTTCAAGCTAGCAAGCTTCTTTCTGGATGGAAACTCCCGCCACATGATTAGAACAGAACATTCACTTCCTGTCTGACCGATTTATGCGCAAGGTAAGTCTCACTGTATTATTGGATATCGTGTTTCATCTACTGTTATCTATCTTCTATCCGGCTATCTATCTCTCTATCTCTCCATCTCAATCTCTTATCTCCATCTCCATCTTCATCTTCATCTTCATCTCTATCAACTTAATCTCTCTATCGCTCCAACCTCTCCATCCCTTTTCTCAGCCTCTTCAACCTTCCTAAGTACCTGTCTTTCATTTTTTCTCAGCCTATCTTTATACTCCGAATGGTAGTTCTCGTTTCTCAACACTCATTTCAACGTTCAAATTCTGGATATCAGTGCTCATTATATCAAGGGCGCGGTGAAGATGACAAAACGTTTATTGACCTTGACTGGTCTTCTCACATCTCTCGCAGCAGGCACACAGCCTTCTGCCCCACCTGCTATACCGGCACCTATGCGACCATTGCAATGGGGTCAACTTAATTTCTTACAAACTACAGATACTCATGGATGGCATGCGGGTCACCTACAAGAGTATGTTAAATTGCATACTGGCAGGAGTAAGGGTGGCTGACTAAGTTCTTAGGGCACAATACTCCGCGGATTGGGGTGACTACATATCATTCGCAGAGCAGATGAAGAAGCAAGCAGATGATAAAGGGGTTGATCTTTTACTTGTTGATACTGGGGATCGAATAGAGGGAAATGGATTATACGATGCATCGGATCCCAAAGGACTTTACACATATGACATATTCAGGGAACAAGATATTGACATTATCTGTACTGGGAACCATGAGTTATACAAGGTAGACGCGGCGGCACGAGAATACGATCAAACGGTGCCAAACTTCAAGGGGAATTACCTTGCTTCAAATCTCGACTACATTCATCCGAAGACTGGAAACCAAATTCCGATGGCGAGACGATATCGCAAGTTCACAACAAAGAATCAGGGTATCAAAGTGGTCGCATTTGGATTTCTCTTCAATTTCAATAGAAATGCCAACAATACTGTCGTGCAAGAGGTTGAAAAGACTATTAAGGAAGAATGGTTTCAACAAGCAATTCGAGAAGATGCTGATTTGTTTGTGGTTATTGGGCATGTGACGTTGGATGGGCCAGAATACAAGGCTATTTACAAGGCATTAAGAGAGCAAAATTGGGATACTCCGATTCAATTTTTTGGTGGCCATAGCCATATCCGAAGCTTTGCCAAATACGATTCTAAGGCATATGGAATACAGAGTGGCCGGTATATGGAGACGATTGGCTGGATGTCGATCGAAGGTATTAAAAAGAACGCAAAAGAAAATAGCCCAGCAAATGAAGTTATTTCTGATGCACAAGGATTCAATGCTAAGAAACATGCAAGAATGTCTTTCCAAAGAAGATATATCGACAACAACCTCTTTGGCTATCATTTCCATACTGGGTTAAACGATACAACATTCCCCACGGAGCATGGCAAGAACGTTTCTAGTTCTATCGCTAAAGCTCGGAAGGCCCTAAACCTCGACCATAATTTCGGATGTGCCCCAAAAGATCTTTGGATGAGCAGAGCAAAATATCCCAGTAAAGATAGTCTCTTCTCATGGCTTGGCGACGAGGTAATGCCAGACATTGTGACCCATCCCGATCGCCAAGACGTTCCAACAATAGCCATAACTAATACCGGGGCCATGAGATTTGACATCTTCAAAGGTGCCTTTACAAGAGACACGACCTTCATCATTTCTCCATTCGTCAGCAAATTTCTCTTCATCAAAGATGTGCCACTCACAGCTGCTGAAAATGTTCTCACATTACTTAACAGCGGCGGCAACATCTTCTCGTCTTCGAATCTAGATCTCAACAATCTCGCACCACCGGAGCATCTGTCCTATAAGACCGACATTCTAGCTCCCTTGATACCCATTTCCGAACTCCCACCACTATCTCACGCTCAATCTCCTCTCCTTTCATCCTCATCAATCTACAAACCTAACCTTATCCCTGGCTATACCACCAAGGACGGTGGCGGCTCTGATGGCGACGACACGATACATGCACCCATCACTTTCCACCGTGTACCAAACTGTATCGAATCCCGCATTAATTTTCATTCCACGGACCCAAATCCTGTCACTGTAGATTTAGTCTTTATAGATTTTATAAAACCATGGGTCCTTGTTGCATTGCGCTATTCCGGAGCGGATTATACGAACGAGGATGTGAGCGGTTATAGAAATGAGACGTTGACGGATTTAATGGCTGGATGGATCAAGGAGCATTGGGGTCAGGATTGTTGAATTACGTGCAATAAAGATTCACGGCGAGTTAGAGTGCATTGGCACGGGATTGATTACTATTAGGATAAATGCATAGCTCTACGATAGTGGGCTTCTTGCTATATATATCCTCTCGTTATTGTAATACGAATTTGATGGAAGTAGAATTCCTGTAGTCTACCCAAACTATATAAATGATCTCGAACCAACATTCTACTCGCACACTTCAACGATTTCATGAATTACATCTGCCTACGATTATATCCATCACACGTGCGATCCTACATTCCTTAATCTGACAGCCCCAAGAAGAATGATCAACAACGCACAGGAGTAGATAACACGTGATTGTTGCGGAGGTCAATATTAAGCGGCTTCTCCTATCCCTGAAACGAAGTCAACTGCTGAGATGTACAGAATGTCGAATGTAGCTATGCCTTATAGCTTGACATGCTCAGGCTGAAAGGCGTGGATATCCTCAGCATTCATTCCCTATTAGCCTGAAGATGTGACGTATCATAAGGGCTGGGGAGACTGGGAGGATGGAGGACTGGAGGACTGGAGGACTGGACCAAAAGACTAGAAGACTAGAAGACCAGAAGGCCGGAACCAGCCAACAGAGCATAAAAGCGCTGTATTTGCGGGGTCGATAGTGCTAACAGGGATATCGATCTATCATTTCAGGGTTGAGTTTAATTGGTTACAGCACCAAATGACACTAAAAAGTCACTGTGCATTAGCCAACAAACCAAATGCAATCGCCAAGCAATGTAATTCAATCAATCCAACACTTTATTCCTTCCAAACTCAACGATACTTACACCTTAATACTTCGTACCTATATATACATCATTCAAATTTATTCTCTGAATATTCCAAAAACTCGCAAGATACTTCAATCATCCTGTAGAAGACCTCACTCACACCACTCTTGTACATTCCATTCCTTTCAACCAGATTTCTCACAATGACTACGAGGTAAGATACGTTTCCATTCTCATCGCCTCCAGCACACCCTAGTACTTACCGTTCTCCTAGATATCGAGTTGAGTGTACGTGTTCATAGCATTAGCATATTCCCAACGAACATAGTCCATCCTAATTCTACTCAGATGCACTCAAGACTCATCGACGAGACCAATTCATAGGTACTACTAGTCGACTTCTGTTTCTAATGTCTCCCCTCGAGTCCTTTGCTCCGTAGATGAATAATCACCCCTCGATAGTGTCCCTGTCGGCTTAGAATTTACCATTTTCCACCTTGGGCAAGTGCCCTCCTAAATTTGAGGAACTGTTTGCTAATCCTCAATGGAAGAATGGATCAAAGGTTTATTGGCTGTGCCGTTCGTATTGCATTCACAGCCAACCGGTGTGTTTGAGTCGAGAAATGGAACGATAGGTGAAATGGCCGAAATAGCCCACCGACGTTACGCAGAAATTATGCAGGATGTTGAAGATATGATTGATGATCATAGTAAGTGTAATCCTTCACATCATCCACCGTTCGAGATATTGAAATGATCAAGTCGCCCATCAAAAGGTTGGTTTAGGAGGTCAGTCGAAATTGAAACTACTGGTTCCTAGTATTGGTACATTCTTCACTCGACTTCCACTGGCCGACGCCTTTAGATATCAGGATAGGAAACGTTTTATTTCGTCAAGAAGATTTGTTCCTCCTTCCTTCAACGATATTAGGGTGATTTTGAACACTGCTCAACTCATGGGAGTTACCTCTGCTGGCTCGGTGGATTTAGCTACCTTTGATGGTGATGTTACATTGTAAGCCATACTTTTCGTATGAGAGTAAAGTACTAACCGAAAGTCTCGAAGATATGATGATGGTAAAAGTCTCGAGCCTACGAATCCCGTTATTGAGCGAATTATCAGTAGGTCCGACAACTTTCCCTTGCATGGTCAGATACTGATGGCTATAGATCTCATGAGCCATAACACAAAAATTGGGATTGTAACGGCAGCTGGTTACAGTGAGGCCGAAAAATATTACGGGAGACTCCATGGATTGTTGGAAGCAATCAAAGTGTCTACCATTCTTACACCAGAGCAAAAGCAGAATCTTATTGTCATGGGTAAATCAACTTTCGTTCAGCTCTTTTCCAAAGTTTCATTTCTTTCATCTCTTTCCATTACGATTCGTCTTACCTTTGCACTCACTCACTTACATACCCGACTGTTTCAAAATTCTCGTCCCGCGCCTTCTAACACTACATCAGGTGGTGAATCCAACTTTCTTTTCACGTATGATTCTAATTCCCCTCACCTTCTAACTCATCACCACCGCCGCTCTTGGATTCTGCCCAGCATGTCCACTTGGACTCAGCCGAACATAACCGCTCTTCTCGATCTCGCAGAATCCTCTCTTCGTGAATGTGTCACCAACCTAGCCTTGCCCGCCACTATCCTTCGAAAAGAACGAGCTGTTGGAATTATTCCTCAGGAGCCAGGCTTCAAATTTGCACGAGAACACCTCGAAGAAACCGTACTAGTTGTACAAAAAAAGCTTGAAATGTCGGACGTTGGTCGTTCGTTGCCCTTCTGCGCTTTCAATGGAGGAAACGATGTTTTCGTGGACATTGGCGATAAGAGCTGGGGAGTATTGGTTTGCCAAAAGTTTTTTGGTGGAAACGTCGAAGATGAAAGTCGGTGGATTAAAGGGGAAAGAACATTGCATGTTGGAGATCAATTTTTGAGTGCTGGAAGCAATGATTTCAAGGCGAGAGTGGTGGGTACTACGGCTTGGATTGCAAGTCCCAGGGAGACAGTGGAATTGTTGGATGAGCTAGGAGGATTTATCCAGAAGAAGTAGGTGTGTGTGAACGAAGTGAATGACTTCAATTCAATTACTACTGTAATAAAGAACTAAGCGAACGCGAAAGAGACTAGCTCTTTTAGTAAGTCTATATAAGACTTACTACTTTCAATATGTAGCTAGCTCTTTAGACAGAATACAATTAGACATACAGGACCTACATAATCCGTGGGTGCTACGTCTTCCGTATCCTTCTCGTACCAACAAGGTGAATTGAGCTAAGGATGTCTGTCGGGGTAATATAAAGAATGTGGAGTTTTTTGGGGGGAGGCATGATATGTCTTCTTTTCATCCTGAGACTCAGAGTCAGGCCAGTAATTGTTACTTTATTTAACTTCTCGAGCAAATAATACGTATCATCAGCGGAGTGTCTCTCTATTTCAGTGGCTGCTGAATGCTTTTGCCTCTCCACAACCATCCAAATCTCCAAGATGCTAATTGATATGTGTCGTTTCTCAAAGGAAATTGCTTGCGAGGGTGCTCTATCATGGCGTGGATTCGCCGATCTTCGCAATCCATGATAGAGACCGAATGGGTGGAATTGTTTTGGGTGAGTAATGACGCTCCAATATCTTTGGTTAACTCTAAGCACATGTAGTATACCAAGATACATCACATAACCAATTTCTTCAGAGGTTGATTACTGTATTTACTCCGGTCAAAAGGGCAATATACCCAGTAAACTGCCCCGTGCCGGAGAAGGGGAAAATAGCGAGGAAGCGCGGGGCACTTTAGAAAAAGATGGAGGGAGAGGAGCATAGGCATGGTGAAGGAGCGTCGAGGAAAGAGAAAATTTGGAATGCAGTGCCGCATATTCCATAGATAAAGTGTCTATCTTTATCGTAGGTGCAGGTCATTCTATCTGAGATGATAGCAAAAATCCGTGATTCTTTGGGTGTCACAACCTCGTGCCCAAGAAAATTCTAAGCATAAAGTTTTGTTTAACAAAAATTATAAGTTGACTAGCTGGCTAAATCCACGCCGTATCACAAGCTATGGGTTAGAAGCCCATGACCAGATCCTGTCGCTTTCTACATAAATCCTCATGGAAATTTCAAACAACAATATGCAGCGGCTCATCTTGTTGGCGATCAGCATCAGCTTTTGACAGTGTCAAGCTCCATATTTCAGTCATGTATAAAAATTGCAATGACAAATTACGATATTTTGACTTGTAGCTAAGCTGTAAAATAGTTTTAAGATCTTACAATGGACATTCCATGGGCTCGACTCAAAACCGTGACCGTGACCGTTTCACCGTGTTTGTCGTAACGTATGACTTGTAAGCGAAGTTAATTGCCAACACCACTAACTCGGAATTTATGTACCGACCCTCTTCCCCAGTCTATTGAGTATCGTTTTAGCTATCATTTTTGTGATTAAGATTTGTTGCTTAGCTTTCTCGTTCAATAGAGGTGTATGGCATCCCCCAGAATTGAACAATGCTCATATCACACCCCACACGTCTACTTCAATATTCGTTTAATTCATGGTTTTGGATGAGGCATGTATGTTCCATTCCTTTACTTCTAACACCGGTTGAACTGAAAAGCAGCTAATTCGATATATCCTAGGTTTTCATCGCAGAATAGCTGCACAGTATGCTTCTTTTACCCGGACACCATCTCATTTCCATGTATCTTCTTGGGGTTTTTCGTCCTAAAAGTCTTCTTGAAGATGCAACTCATATTGGTCTGGCATCATTCGTCACAACGTCTGTCTATGGATTAATGGCAAACTGCAGATAATCCACTACTAGCTAGGCTAATCAAGTCTCTTGCGCAAATACTGTCCGTCAACAAAAATGAACACTGAGATGTATCACTCTATCTATCTTTAATATGGAGATCTTCGGTTTGGAAAATGGGGGTAATGTATGGCTAGCTAGGAAGATAAGCAAAACTACGCATGCTCCCGGCCTTCAATGTTGCTTTCACATACAACCAATTCTGTAAGCTTTCTTTGGGTCGGTGCCTTGCACGATAAAAAGGGCACGGCACTGGTGAATCTATGAAAGATTTTCGTTCCGATAACCTCGTCATCTCAAGACCAACGATTAAATCACCCTCACCAATTACCTTATTCACTGAAGAAGATCCTAAGGAATGGTGATTGATTGTGAAATTATGTTGAAGACTGGTATGCTAGTGGTACGAAAGAACCACAGATCTGTGTCTAATAATGCGATGCATTGGCCTGTGTCAAGAAGGATGAACTCTGGGCACTCTTAGGAAAATTAATGCAAGTGGTGGCTTTAGAAGCTTCACTGCCTCAAAATCTTCTCTATGCGGCCGGGCTCAATAGTCTTCAGCTCGCTCGCAAGAGCATTGCAAACAAATTTCTGCGATCCCTTTCCATCCACATCCGTTGCCCAAACTCGGTAGTACATTCCTTTAGTCGAAATATTAGCATAAGAATAATCCGATCTCATCCAGCAACGGTACAGGAAGCATGACTGTGGTCGACCGCAACGGCACCATACAACAGTTTTCAAGTACCATCTTCGGCATTTCAAATACATTGTTCACTGTGCTTAGCTATCTCCCCACGAAGGCCAAGCGGAACGATGCGGCTCAGATCGGTTTTATCAAGACCATGACAGACCAGTTCTGAGGCAACTCCACACGGAAAGCGGAAGAAGACTGGGAAGATGGCGAATTGCCATTATCTCAAGGGCTAAGTATACACCTTCAAAGTAATTTCTTCCTCATCCAACTTCTCTATTGGGTATTCTCTTATCTTTATCTAATCCTTCTCAAGATAGAACCTGACCACACTCGATACGACAACCAGATGTGGTAAAGTTCCGAAACATTCTCCAGTTTCCTTCAACTTTGTGAGGAATAAAACTCCCAAAAGCAATGTGCTAATCACATTTCTCTCATTCACAATTCTATCCTCGGAAGCTATGGCGGCGCTCCCATCACTGCATCGATCGTATCAGGTTTCTCGATTGCCGTTTTGGCAAAAATGATAATAGAAGTGTATGAAGAAAGATCGAGCTCCCATACTTAAGCCACACCATAGATTCCAGTGGATGATTCAATATCAGCTAGAGCACAGTAGGCGGAAGCGAGATTGCGTACCGCCATAATGATGGTTTCAGCCCCAAGGCGAGCGAAATGGCTGGTCACTTCCAGTCCTAAACCTGTGTTGGCACTGGTAGCTTTGTAGGCACAGTCTTGGAATGTTTCAGGAGTGATGAGAAGCGGGAGATTTTGGGGGTGAGTTTTAGCTGCTGCCGCCATGTTGCCTGGAAGTCTTTGGGTGATGGGTGTTTAGGAAAGTACTTGTGGTTGAATAGAAGTGGCTTCTGGAAGACAAATGATCTTCATGATTTGCATTTACCAATAAGTCTAGGATGTACTTAGGTCATATAGACTTATATGACCTGGTTGGCCGTTACTTTTTGGACATGTGGGGTTTGACACACACCCTGCTAATATCATCGCTATGATCAACGGCCGCCGGTCTTTAGCAAAATCCGAAGCATTGATTTCCAAAATCTGAGATACAAGAGGCGTCTTACACATTTCTCGCCACAGGTGAGGGCACATGAAGAATTAAGTGTCTATTTATGGACGGGTCAAAGTGGCTCACCAATATGGGAGTAGTTCCCTGAATGGAGCCAGACTCCTGTTCCACTTCTGCCATGGGACTAATCAGTGAGTACTTCCCAAATGTAGGTTAGTTCGAAGTTAGGTTTCCAAGATTGTCAAAATTCCAGAAAGGCAATTAACCCATGCCAAACTCCCGACAATAACCGCATTGTCATGAGACGAAAGCTATTGTCACAAATCCGGGATTTGCACAAAACTGTTCCATATCTTTTACACCAAGATTGACTAAGATATCAGCAACAAATTAATCTTATTTAGTCTAATTCAAATAAGTTTTTCAGCTCTAGCCATGTTTTTCTACATTGCTCATAACCATCAGACCAAGACACTGTACGATTTCAATGGAGATGTTCTGTGCATCATCTCTAAATAGATTTGCCGTCATCGTGCGGAGCTACCATCACGAGAGGTCACAAATACGCTCGAACGTACAACCACTTTCACGACCCCATTTTGGCGAGATTTTTGTACAGATTTTAGGCCTTGTAAATGTAATACCTAAAGAAGTACTAGAGCATTCCAAGAGACCGAAGTATCAGTTCCAACATGATCCATCTCAATTTTTTGGATACAAATCGCGCCATAGAACCTACCCTGTGCCTGCGCTCACTCTCCTTGCCGGGTCCAACATTATATCGGGCTTGACACTTCGACCGGGAACGTCACCCCGCATACCTAGCGTGCTCCGGACGATAGCTTTGTTTTTAAGGGCTTAAAAAAGAATCCATGTTCCAGCAACGGTACCACTCATAATAGAGCGTGCCATAGCCGACGTGGATTCAACCACCAAGAATGGCTCAAGTGCGGAAATAACACCCGAAGAGGTAGGCAAAACACCAAGAGACCAGGGGTGGTCCACTGTATTCTGTGAGTATTTGTCGCATTTCGTTGCATTCTTGATCTATGCCATAGCCAAGGAAACCGTCGTGAGCTTCAACTATCAATCTTGCTAGGTCAGAATATGGGCTTGCCTAAGTAAAATAAATAATCGTATGTTGGGCCAGCTGACATCCTCAAATCTAGAAGTGCTCAGTCTTGGAATCCATACATTGAGCATGGGTTTTCTGCTTTTCCTCGTCGAGATATATGAAGCTTCCGCTCTGCTTAGCCTGCCTGATATGCGCAGACTTGCCTACCGGGACGGTCATATAAGACAAGGCTGTGCGATCATATGATGTAGGGCTTCAGGATTTGATCCATACCCGTTCGAGTCTTTGAGATCCGCTTGATCTGGATTTTTGTCGTCCAGCCCTTCTCAATCTGTGGGACGCCTCGGGTCGTACATATCGTATCCGTATTGTTCATCATCGGTATCGCTCTCCAAATCCTCTCCCTGAACTCCCACGTTTCTGCCAAATTCGATCTTCTCTTCGATCTCATCCTTTACAGGTGTATCGGCTCCATCGCCATCCACGGGCGCAAAAGCACTTTTAAATCCGGATTTCTTAAAACCCCCTTTCTTGAAACCTGCACCAGTAGCTCCAGCACCCGAGTTTGCCTCTCCACTCAACTTAATCGATATCAATCCAGATTGTGAGTTTGCTTTAGCTTCTGCTTTTCGAGCTTTGGAAGAGGCCATTGGGTCGCGTGTTAATTGTCGCATATCCTTAAGACGCTGTTTGTGAGAGTGGTCGTATGAAGAGAGATGAGCTTCATACTCATTCATTCGAGCGTATCCTTTGCTGCATAATTCGCCTGAACCCGTAAGATGATGTACCAATTGTGAAAGGGAGGACTTGAGAACCTACAGTAGAAGGACTTGACAGCCTCGCGAGCACTCTCAGTTTTGGGGGCTGGATTTGTGAATCCACGCTATAAGGTTGACTGCATTAGCATTTTGTTCAAATAATCGAGTTCACGTGGAATATTTACGGGAGGCATTTCGCTGACTTATCAAAAGTTTCTTGCTAGACGAAAGAGTTTGTGTTTTATTTTATTTTGTTGTATTGTTGTATCGTGTTGTGTTGTATTGTATTGTACATTGTCACGTCGTGCGTGTTGTTATATTTATTTTAAAGCTTACTTCCCAATGTTACGTAACCATCAACCCCATATTCCACACGTGACCATTTAAGAAATTAAGGTGTGGCCCAGGCTCAATAAGGTCAACTCTAAATATATCTAATCCACACATCTTCAACACATTTCACATTTCATTTTCATCCCAGACTTTACCTCATGTCCATATTTTCATGATTCTCATAATTCTCATGTCTTAAAATCCTTGAATATTTGGCCTCATATATTGTATTGTAAATATGGATGAACGAAGAGGCTCTGTCGCTTCGGAAGATACTTTCGTTGATCTTCAACAACTAGATCCTTCACCTATTGATTCCCCGCCTGACTGGGATGAAAAACTACCTCAATTGCCTTCCCATGCCTCGTTTGGGAGGTCCTCAACCTTGGGACTTAGTGGTTCCGGTCATGGTGCTGTATATTACCGTGAGTGCCGCCTATCATAAATTTATGCAAAGTAAAGGTAAAAAGTATAGGTACACGATGAACTGATGTGATATAGTCACACGTATTCAACGTTACTCTTCCTATGCTTTCTCGGTTTTTAGCGCTATGCATATCACGAATACCTCTTTGATACCCCTGATTACCCGTTCCGTATCTGCTTCTGAAAAGTATCTGCTCCTCACTCGCCCATACTATCGTGAGTACCCTAAACTCACTTACTTTTCTTAACTTTTCTCACAAGACTTCCTACTACTCCTCCTCCCGCGCCGTCCATTGCCCCGCTAACCCGGTAGTAGAATCTCTCCCTCTGGAGCCCCTTATCATTGGTATTCCCCTCGCTGCCCATATAACTTCTGGTATCGCGTTACGCCTCTACCGCCGCCGCGTTACTGAAAGACGTTACTCCTCGTATCAACCCACCAGTTTTCTTTCATATTTCTCCTTCTTCTCGCCGAAGTTCTGGCCCCCAGTCTCATACACCTCTATTTCAGGCTACATTCTCACCCCCATTGTGGCTTCTCACATATTTGTTAACCGAGTCATCCCCTTAATCCACGAGGGAGGATCATCTAGTGTTGGTTTAGGTTATGTTTCCCATGGCTTTGCCCTACATCCTACGATTTCGTGGACGACATATGTAGCTTTAGTAGGTATTGGTGCGAGTCACATGGTCTGGGGAGCTGCAAAGTGGTTAGGACTACTACCCAGAGGTACTGAGAAGGAAAGGGGAAGGATATGGTGGGGTCTCAATGGTATTGTTGGCTTCGTGGGCGCTGTCTGGTTTGCCGGTGGATTAGGCGTTATTGCGCGAGGCGGCGCGGAAACAGGATGGGTTGGTTCCGGGTATGATGCTCTTTATCAAAGAGTGCCATTATTAGCATAAAACTGGAGTGGAAGTTGGTCAGGATTTTGGTCAAGATTTTGATTTAGGCTGCACAGCGAGGTGTTTGGTTTGAGCGTTGAGGGTGATATTGAACGGGCAGGTAAATGAACGCGCTTCATAACCAACCGGCCTCTAACATCATGTATATACCACTTTACCACTGTATTTTAAACATTCACGATAAATAACACCAGCCCAATAGAATATAGATGCTCAAAAGATTGCAAAGTCTTCACAATTTTCCTTGATCGCCCCTCATCTCCTTTCTGTTCCCGGAACAGCCCATCTCGTCGACATACAGAAAGAAAAGGTGTAGTGTAAATTTAATAGGTGCACATGGCAATATTCTGTTCCAGTCGGAAAAGCAAACTTCCAGTAATGAATCCATCTGAGTAGATGACACGTATCTAAAATATCTATAAAAGTACATTTCCAAAATTGACGCATACCAATTTCAACCATCGTTTTTATTACCATAAGAAAACAACAGGACCATAAGACTAAACGCAGGCCTACAACTACCCTATCCTCATTATTTGTGCCAGTTAATAGCCACACTTCTGTAGACCATTTAGATTGTCGACTCTTTCAAGCGTGTTGAGGGTGATAGAGAGCTGTGGGGAGTATTGGAGGGGGCGGCTTTGGGGCCTACAGTTATCCATGTAACATTTACAATCACAGGCCATAACATGAACTCCATAAGACGACATGAAATTTATGGGATGTTCTTTTAGCACTTGGCTGCATTACCTCAGACATGACAGCCAATTTCCGACAGTTATATACAACACAACAGCAAGCCCTCCACGTTTTCAAAAGAGTACAGAGATCCAATATGTGAGGAGACACCTTTACACCCTTGATAGCATACATTCATATACTCATGTTCCCACCCGCTTCAATTTTAGGTGGTCCCCGGTGAACTCCTCCCCCATGAGCCAAGTATGCAAAGTTTTTGATTACGCCATGCTAATCCCATAAAAGAGCAAACGCCAACCAACTCACCAAATTAAGTGCTCGGATCGGTGATCTAAGCATACCATCCCTTCGTGCCAATATTACTGTTGTCTTGTTCTTCTCGGTGGTCTATCATTGGTTCCTTAATATCAAAGAGCTTGATCAATTCTTGCCAATCATCCATATCGAGGGAGAGAACGGCTTGATGTCTTGCTGTATGGGAAGAATTGCCATTGTCTTCTGCCTCCCTGATCCCTGATTTTTGGTTAGCGTACAACATCTGGCTTCTGCAGTGTGATGAGCTAACCTATGTATGGAAGGCCATCAGAGTCTATTTTAACTTCTACTTTACCATCCCGAACCAGGAAGCTCACGTAAAACATGTTCTCGATCGTCTGGCCGAACGAAAGCGGATTAATGACGAACTTGAAATACGCCATCATCCACGTTTCCGACAAACCATATTTATCCCTTAACGCAACGCCGTCCTCTTCTGACATGTCTTCTGTGTACTCCTCCTCTGCATCACGAGCTGATCTTAGCTGAACTTCCCGCAATCTGTCTTCAATTTTGGTGCATAGATATGTCAAATTAGCATTCTCTGATTTCTCAATATCATCTGCTTTCAAGAGCTCGGGGCGTGTTTCCTGGAGGTTGTTTGGTCTGAGTGGAGCTCTTCTGATATTAGCCCTGCGGGCGCGCTTTTGTAAAGATAAAGGACCGAGAAGAAAACCTGGCACTGATGGGCGAGCATTGTTTGGCAAACATGCATTGCGTCCAAGATGTTCCCAATTTAGCATCTCACCATCATTGTCGTTGTCGCTATCCTCTTCATCTACGGCCCCAACCCGCCGACTACGTTGGGTGTTTCGCGGGGCATGACCCTCGGAACGTTGAATTCTTCCCATATATAACTTAACCTTGGAAACAAAATCATCGACATCAACTCCTTGTGCAGTGTCCCCAGATGTCATCCGGAGTGTCTTCTTCTTGGCGAGGTCTGCAGTACTAACAAGTAATCGCGAGTCAATTGTTGCGTCCGAGGTTTGCTTCACCCTCTCTGAAAGCTTGTTTGCCTTGAGCAATGTATCCTTGATACCCGTGGACTCCGCATGGAGATACTCGGCACGGTTATCTTGCAAAGTCCTTGTAAGGCCCCTGTACTCGAGCCGAAGCTCTCTTCTCTCCTCGACACTTTGGTCTGGATCATACTCCTGACCCTCCTCCTCACCTCCATCCACTTCTGTTGTGCGTCTTCTCCGGTTGCGCTGTGTCGAAGTATCTCCCTCACTAGTGGCTCCAGCACGCTTTCTCTTGCTACCTGAAGATGGAGCCCCCGGAGGGCCCATCAAAACGCTCAGAACTCTACCTTTTCCTTTATCGATTGCACTTCTCGAAGGGCGGTTCTCTTTATCGGATAAAGTGGAAGCCGCTGGTGACGGGGATAAAGCCCTGCTGTTGAGAGTTTCTCGTGGATAACTTGGCCCGGGGGATGCTTCGTACAGATCCTCGTCAAAATGAGGGGCAGGAGATTCTGAGATCTTTATTCTTGACATGATGAGTTATTGAGAGTTTGGCGCGCCTCGAATGGATCGATAGAATTAGAAGCGCAATATTTCCTGAAAGTTTTCGTTTTATGACGCTGAATTCGTGAAATGGAAATGAAATGCGGAACAGAACGTAGTTATGATCAATAAATAGCCTCCCTCGCGTCTCGCCAGGTCGCGTTCAATTGTGCGGTACGATATGTTCTTGGATGAAAGTTCTCGATAAGATGAGGAATGTATAAGTGAATGAATGAATGAATCCTACCAAGTAAATTTCTGTAAATTGAGAGTAATTATTGTCTCGTTATTTGCGTCCTGATGGAGTAGATTTCCAAATGGGGAGTTTTTGAGAGTGTAAAAAAGGGGAGATGGAAAATCAATAGAGCCCTTTTATCAAGAAGTGACTTTAGGACAGGAAGGGGAGGGAAGAGAGAAGAGATGATTGCGGTAGGCTGATGTTGAAAGGAAACGGAAAAGGCAAAGGACGATGTTTATTTTTGAAGGTCGATTTTATTTTTGGAAGTCGCGTTTCGACATACTGTAGTAGTAAATTGATGGATGATTAGATAATAGATAACAGATAAGTTAATAGATAAAGCTTTGGCGGGGTGATCACTAGCACGACTTTATCTCGCCAGCGGAATAATGAAACACCGATGACTATCAAAGACAGGGAAGTGCACGGACATTTAAGACTCCGTTCCGTCCTACTCGAGAAGGTAGGGGAGGTTAAGTAGATGGCTATGCGATCATGATGGCACTGTGCCTGCGCATACAAGCTCAGCAGCTAGAGCTTCATGATATCAACGAATGATAAATAATATCTATCCATAATATTTGAATGAGCAGTAAGGGCATCAAAACACATTCATCCGCATTTTCTTGCTATTATTACTTCTGTCGGATATCTACAGAAGATGGATCATGGAACCCTTTTCATTTGCAACTTCAGAAGCTTTGGAGATTCCCGTAAATATTAGAATGTGAGTTCTTCGCAGCACAATATTACAGCTTCCTGGCATGGTCATTCTTATGTCTTCTTTATATGCCCCTACTAAGTATTGTGTAGCGTCAACCTTGAAGGGGAGCAGACCCCGATTCCATTCTCCACACTCATAAAGCGACCGGACTTGAGACACATCGGCTCCAACGTGAGGTGTGTATTTGCAACTGCCTCTAGTCCAAATGCTAGCATGCTAATACGGACATTCTATCGCAGCTCTCACTCGGACCTTTATGTTACTGTGCAATTATGGGCCGACTCGAAACCGTTGACCGTACCCGTTCAAACGGCTTACAAACCGTTCAAAAATGAGAGGAAGTCAGTTTAGAGAGCCGTTAAAATTTGAGGGTACTAACTACTACCAAGATGGAATGAATGGCTTACCTTACCTATAAACTGTTCGACAATACCTTTGAGCTCTCAACTCGCGATTACCGTCTGGGATCTTTCTCCAACGGGAGGTGACGGGGCACAAGGACATGCTGTGCCTTTCGGGGGAACTACACTACGGCTGTTCGATAAGGAAAATCAGCTACAAAAAGGTCGTCAAAAATGTTTTTTACATCGTCGAAAGGCTGCAGATGGCCTGGATTCGTCCTCCACGCCCTCGACTTTACCTAATATCCGCCGCAACGGGACCAAGCTGAAGGGCGAAGACGGATTAATAGATAAAGAGAGTGAAGAATTAGACAGGCTGGAAAAGCTCTTCAAGAAGCATGAGATGGGTGAAATTCCACGCATTGAATGGTTGGATCAATTGGTTTTTAGAGGTGTGGAGAAGCGAGGCCTACAAGCATCTAATACCTCGCTGAAGAACATTCAATGCAGACGAACTCGGCAAAAAAGTGTGGTCTTGACTCTTGACGGTGCAGAGGAAAAGACGTACGAGATTGAGAACGAGGTATCAGAGGACGATCCGTCCAAGGACGAAAGATTCACCCTTCATGTAGAGCTACCAAGATATGACTTTCCAGTGGTGTTTGCCGACCATGAATACCCTCCGCCACCTATATCTTCGCTACAGCACCTCTCTTCCTCTCAGTCAAATATTATCCTCAAACCTCCTCCAGAAGTTCAATATGGACCGGGCATCAATGGTTTGGGTGATAATGACGAGCATGGCTTTGGTGGACGCCTTGTAAGAGTTTATGACCCTGAAGTCGGAGCTAGAGACAATCCCGCGGAGAGTAAACATCGTCGTTTGGTGCGAAGTCACCGGACTGGAGTACTAGATCGTGACCTCAAACCAAATGCCAAAGTCCGGGACGAGTTAAACAATATTATAGCATATTCGCCAACGCACATCTTGTCGCCAGAGGAAAAGGATCTTGTTTGGAAATTCAGGCATCATCTTGCGAGAGACAAGAGGGCACTCACAAAATTCATCAAATCTGTGAATTGGAATGACTCAAACGAAGCCCGTGAAGCGGTGGCCATGTTAAGCAAATGGACCGAGATTGATGTTGATGACGCTTTAGAGTTACTGGGACCGACCTTCGAAAACCCCTCTGTGAGAGCCTATGCAGTAGATAGACTGCGAAAATCAGACGACGATGAGCTACTGCTTTATCTTTTGCAGCTGGTACAAGCTCTTAAATTCGAGCATATTTCACCCGATTCAGCTGAAGATGCGACACATGATTCTTCCCTCGCACGGCTTCTTATCTCGAGGGCAACAAGTAACTTCATGCTTGGAAATTTCTTTCATTGGTTTCTCATGGTGGAATGTGATGATAAGAGCGAAGATCAAGGGGCTGGTTATCGTAAACTGTTTGCAAAGGTCGAATACGATTTCATGACTGAACTAGTAAAACAGCCTGAGGGAATCGAGACGCGAAAGGTTTTACTGCGCCAAGCGGAGCTCATTACGATGCTTTCCAGAGTTTCTGAAGATATAAAAACTTCGAGGGACACGATACCTCGAAAGGCCGAAAGAGTAAAGCATTTTCTTGCTGACCCTAAGAATGAACTTATCACTATAGACCCACCCTTGCCCTTACCACTAGATCCTTCCATAATGATCACGGGTGTGGATCCTTCCGAGACGAATGTTTTCAAGTCATCGTTATTCCCTATCATGATGACCTTTAAGACAACCACCAAGCAAAAATACCAAATCATTTTCAAGACGGGAGACGACTTGCGTCAGGACCAGTTAGTTATCCAAATCATTACTCTTATGGACCAACTATTGCAAAAAGAGAACTTAGACCTCAAATTGTCACCCTATAAAATTCTTGCGACTGGAGCAACTGCCGGAGCTGTTCAATTTGTTCCGTCGATGAGCTTGCAGAGTATCGTCAACAAGTTCAGAGGCAACACCGTACTCAACTACCTCAAATCCAATAACCCTGATGACAAGGCATCACTTGGCGTTCGCAAGGAAGCCCTGGATGTCTTCATTAAATCGTGTGCAGGATACTGTGTGATCACCTACCTTCTCGGTGTCGGTGATCGCCATCTGGATAATCTTCTTCTGGCGCCAGATGGTCATTTCTTTCATGCTGACTTTGGCTTTATCCTTGGTAGAGACCCCAAGCCATTCGCGCCAGCTATGAAACTTTGCAAGGAAATGGTAGACGGTATGGGTGGATCCATGTCGGAACATTATCCACAATTTAAGCAGTATTGCTTCACGGCTTATACAACGTTACGGAAGTCTTCTAATTTGATTCTCAATCTTTTCAGTCTCATGGTTGATGCTAACATTCCGGATATCAAACTTGAGCCAGATAAAGTTGTATTGAAGGTCAAAGAACGTTTTCATCTGGAATTAAGCGAAGAGGATGCAATTAGACACTTTGAAAGGCTGATTGAGGATAGTGCGAATGCTATCTTTCCCGTCGTCATTGATAGGTTGCATGGTTTTGTGCAGCATTTCAGATAGAAATTATGATCAGTTAGAGATTGGCGTTTCGGCGTCTATTGCTGCAGGAAATTGTTCGTACATTAGTTGGCGGAATTTGACGGTAATACATTTCACACATAGGTTATAATCGATTTATACACAATCACAGTGTCCAGCATTTTGGCTCAAGATTATACACAATGTTTAAGTGTGATGAAATGACGCCAGACCGGAATAATCTGATGCCTTGCTTTACTTTATATCACAACAAAATATTCTTAGATTCAACCCTGGCGCATACACATTTGAATTCAAATCTCTAGCTAACGCGTAAACAATTTCTGAACATCGGAAGATCATTATCTTAAAGCACTGTCGAACATCTAACTCAACCACAATTGGACTTTAGTAGTCTTTAGTAGATAGGCGCTGGCTGGAGTGCCGCAGAGAAAATATTCTGCAGTGCTTGGTGCGTCTAGCGTCTATGTTTTGTTCATGAAACCTCGCACAAATTCGATTGATTGTAAAGCAGGCATCGGCAAAGGCCTAGAAAAGCTTTCGGATTTTGTTGAGCGCTGTGCAATACCTCTTTTCCCGGTCAAATGGCATACATAGCTTGGGGAATAACTATTCCAGACTGAAAGAATATTCAACTCAATGGCAGCTTAAAATGAATTTATCGGATGAACCCCGTTTGGAGAAGCGAGAACAGGCTCCATACGCCGCTCAGCCCCTATCTTGGTCCCTCGCCATCAAAGACTCAAACAATCTCAACTAACCCCGGTGGCCACTAAATACCCAGAACAACTACTCCAAACTGGCAATCTTATCACAAGGACCAGACAAGGTAACCTGGTTAGTGGGTTTAATCCAAGAACGGCATGCACAAGCTGTCTCGGCGTTCGACCCTCAGCTGGTTTTGATCTAGATCTTGAAGTGCTTATGAGAACGTTGTATTAGAAATCCTAATATGGATGTGCGGGATTGACTAGAATTGATGTTTGCATGTAGACTAAAACGATAGCTTCGGATGTATGATACCGGTTCCTTCCTGTCACGCCTGTCACGACTGTCACATAGGCTTAGCAGTTGTACCCTGCTTTTAGTTTAGAAAGAACTAGATTGCTAGCTCTCATCTTTCACTTTCTCTTCTCTTCTCTTCTCTTCTCTTCTCTTCAAAAACATTTTTGTTCTCAAGTAGAGCTTAGAAATGTAAAGCCCCATCGCGTTATGAGAAAAAGCGCAGACTCACAGTCGATTTAAGCCCAAGGATCGATCCTCATCAAAGAACTTGCATTCTATTTGACAAATATGTCTTGCTACTGCGCAAACTACTACGTGCGTACTCACACTTTGTTACTTCACGTTCCTGCATACATAAAAAACATACACATATATCATTTACTCACTCACATTGAGAGCAGGGCTTCCTTAACTGCCAGAACATGGTTCTAAAATTCGGAGATCGATGCAGTTTATGTCTTGTAAGCATGGGCTTCCTCTCATATATCGTTAAAGAATTCCAACACACACTAATTCGCTTTGAAGCCTCAATCTTCCAATAAGGACGATAGATTTGAATGGAGTGACGTAATCATAGGTCAAAGATGGCTGGAAAACTCCGGGAGGGAGCAGTTGAGAAGGGATGAGGATAATTCGATAAGAGAGAGGATTGGGAGGGCTGCTAAGTGAGGGTGTCGGGCGACGTAAGAGGTGTGGAAGAGCCGATGTATACTGGAACATAAATTTGATAAAATTTACTATTTAGATGGAAGTGATTCCTGGGTATAAAATCTCCGAGATCCAAACATGCACCAAACTCCGGGGGAAAAGTTATTGGCTATCACAGACTATCTTGCCCGTTCGGAGAAGCTTCATTTGACGCGACCACATCCATTTTCTCTCCTTCTACCGCTTCCTCCCCGAATTCCTCCCCAGGACTATCCACACTCTCCGATCCCGCACCGTTTTTCACCACCTCGACCTCACCCTCACTCTCATCTAGCAGGTCCTCAATATCTCCCAATGGACTGATCCTCGGTTCCAATACCTCTAGGTCCTCCAGTATCTCCCTCTTCGGCATCTTCCACAACGTCGTGCCACACACCCTATCCTTCGTCAACAAATCGTCCACGAATTGATCCATGAACGTCAGCGTTGTCCCCGTCCTTGTCTTTCTTCTCAGTTTTCTCCTATCGTCCAAATAACCCTCCAACACCATGAAGACATCTTTAGCCTGTCTTGTCATCCTCCAATAAAACAATGCTAGTGCTCTCAAATACTTGAACTTCTCTCCCCCGTATCCCATGTATTCCTGTAATATCTCATCACTTGGCCCTAGTTGTAATAATTTAAAGGCCAGACATAAAAACGGCGAGGGCCGCTGCGAATCCCCGTATGTGCCGGCGATGAACGTAACATGGGAAACAACGCGCGATACGATATCGGCTTCATTGAGAGCGAAACATTGGTCTTTCCAGAAATAACAATCCACAATGCGTTCGCGAACAGGTTTTTCGAGGATAGTGGTGGGATTGAGGCCGTTGGGAGCAAGCGGGCCAGTATTGCCACGTTCGTCGAGGAAACGCTTTTCATCGGCGCGGTGGGTAGTCATTTTAGATTTTTGATAATTGGGAAGCTTCGTCTGGAAGGGATGAGAGTTCTGATAGACAGCTAGGAGGTGGAAGTTTTCCAATGAATAGGGCGAAGACCTCAAGGTTCAAATTCAATAGTGGGTGAGTGGATGATTGATTATTGATTATCGATTATCAATATTTTACGAACTGACGTTTGTGAGATTTTGAGATTATGCGACAATCTCAGGTACATTTTCCCTTATCAACGCATTTATGGTTGATAGTTGCTGCGTTAACCAGCCACTATTTTCAGCGCATCATCGTATTTGTTGGAAGATTACAAGGAAATGCATCATTACACTCCCTACACGCACTACTTCAATTAATGTTAGCAAATATTATTCGTACACATTTTTGGGGGCTTAAAAGTCTCAATTTGTTCTCAACGACGCGAATTCAAAGACATTTAGCAAAAAGATGCTTCTCACATCCGGACAAGTCTCAGTTGCAATATCTTCTTTTATTGGTACGTGCCAGTATCCTTTTGCCGCATTCCTAGAAGATCATCTCAAACACGCTATTAGAATACCATACCATCTCAAATGACCATGATTTAAAACTAACCCGAAAACCTTCAGTGTTTTTCTTCACTACAGCCCTCTTCCTCTCCGGCTATGTCCTCCAGCAGCAAACGGTGCGCGATCTGAGAGAAGCTATTAAACCCCAATTTCAGGCAAAATTGGTAGGGCTGGAGGTTTCAAATAACTTGAATATAAATGCCGATAGGAGTGGAAGGAAAGGTCAAGTGGAAGTTTTCCTGCCAAAACAGTTTGAGCTCGAAAAGGAGCGAGAAGATGATGTGAAAGTGGGGATTAAAAGAGACATGGAAGCCGAATGTGATGGGGTGATCGGAGAAAGGAAGGAAGTCAAAAAGACGAGGAGTAGGAAAACTAAAGACTGGGGTGGCATTGAAGAGAGGCTCATTGAGCCACAGAAGAAATATGGAATTGAGCAGGAGGAAGGTCCTGGGTCGATAAATCATGCGGGAAGCATTGGAAAGGAAGAAAGAGAAATCACAGTTCCGGAGAAGCCTTTAAGTCGTGCAGAGAGGAGGAGAAAGATCAAAGAAGACCTCTTAACATCTGGAGAAGGGGAAACTTTCACTGGGTATCGGAGGCGTGTTCCGAGAGTCTGAGTGTGACATGGTATCTTGGTTGTATGCATAGGAGAGGGTATTTTATGATATGATGTTGTGAATGTTTTGAGTTTGGCGTTTGGAGACTTTTGTTTGGCAGATCAAAGAATCATATACGGTAAATGTGTCTCCATTGGGGGTCAATGAAGGGATATGGGATGCCATCAATGGGGAAATAAATAGGCAGAGTACTTTTATATACAAACTCGGACGCTTTCTAGTATACTATTTATTACATTAATGAAATTATCTCTTTTTAAGAAATAGATTTCATAATTGTTTAAGTGTTACGAGGTTTGCCGTCTAGATCACGTGGAAGTGCTCTAGGCTCTCGAGGTGGTTTATAACTAGGCGTCAAGCAGGGACTTAAGTAATGACAATGCAATTCGTAACTAATAGTAGAGTATACTAAATGATTGATCTTGAGCACGAAGCTCTATACAAAGGAAATCCATCTAGATTATATAGACCTTCGTACCGATGGCTACTCAGTAGGATCAATGCGGCTCAGTACTGAGCTCACTGATCCTTACTGAGCCAGTCACGTGATATTGATTGCACGTGAGGGTTTCCTGTCACTCGGCGTAACAAAATCTTGAATTTATATCCACCAAATAAAAAATATTAACGTGGTTTATCAGTGGGTCGGACACTTTTTCAATATCCTTTACTCTCTCACTTCAATACGCGTTTATTCAATAGTTATTAATGGAAATTCATTCAAAAGAAGTACGAATAGTCCTGGCTATTGAGGTTATCGAATTGAACAAAAGATTGATGATTCGAAAGGCTGCTAATTACTATAGTGTGCCTTGATCTATATTATTCGACAGAATTCAAGGTTGTAGTAATATAGCTGAAAGTCGACCAAAAAGTCATAATTTGATTGAATTAGAAGAGGAGGTGCTTATTCAATACATTATTGATATAGATGATAGAGGATTTGTCCCTAAATTAAATAGTATGGAAGATATGGCGAATTATATACTTGAAACATAGGATACGAAGAAGATTAGAAAGTTTTGGACTTATCGCTTTGTAAAACAATATTTAGAATTAAAGATGTGTTTTAATTATGTCTATGATTTTCAAAGAGCTCTTTGCGAAGATCTAGAGCTTATTGAAGAGTGGTTTCGATTGGTATCGAATATATAGGCGAAATATGGGATTTAGGATTGCGATTTCTACAATTTCGATGAAACAGGCTTTATAATGGGTATAATATGCCTTAGAATGGTTGTAACTAGTGCTAAACGAAGTGGCAAAAGCAAGATAATACAATTAGACAATCGAGAGTGGGCTATAGCGATTATATATGGTAATAGAGAAAGTGAAACTATACCATCATTTTTAGTGGTATAAGGATAATATCACCTTTCTAATTGATATACAAAAAGTGATTTTCTTGCAGATTAAGCTATTAAACCTACTTCTAATAAATAAATGAATAATGAGATAGGTTTAGAATGATTAAAGTATTTCGATAAGCATATTAATCAATGGAGAAAGAGCAAATATCGAATGCTAGTATTGGATAGGCATGAAAGTCATGAATCGATACCTTTCCAGTCATATTACAAGTCAAACAATATTATATAACGTGGTTTATCAGCGAGTCGCCACTTTTTCAATATCTTTTATCATTCAATTTCAAGACGCGATATTTCAACGAATTATTATAGAAATACAATCAAAGGAGGCCAGAATAATCTTAGCTATTGAAGCTATTCAAAAATCAAAAAATCTTATAGTTGGAAAGGCTGCGAAAATCTACAAAGTCCCTCGAATTATATTACGAGATAAAATGAGCGGTCGAATTTATAAAATGAAAACTTGAGCAAATAATCTTAATTTGATTGAAAAAGAAGAAGAGGTATTTATTGTGACGCCTCACACCTCCGGGTCACGTGGCATACCCCGTTTGTATTTAATCATAGGAAAACTCGCTACTCTTGTTTTCCTTCTTCTTTTCTCCTTAGCTTAGTATTTTCTAATACAAGATACTTTACCCAGTATTCTTGAGTGTGACATTTATTTAATATATTATCGATATAAATAAAAGAGGATTTATATCTAAATTAAATAATATAGAAGATATAGCGAATTATATTCTTGAATCAAGAGGTATAAAGAGAATTGAAAAGTTCTAGATTTATCGATTTGTAAAATATTGTATAAAATTAAAGATATGTTTTAGTTGTATTTATAATTTTTAAAAAGCTATTTGTAAAGATTTTAAATTTATTAAAGAGTGGTTTGGATTGATATCGAATATACAGATGAAATATAGTATTCAAGATTGTGATTTTTATAATTTCGATGAAATTGACTTTATGATAGATATGTTAAAGTGAATGGTTCCTGCGTAGCACGTATACAGGGCACTAGTCCTGTTAGGACTAGATTGAGAAGCTCTCTTATAAAGAGCTTTATACTTCTATAGAATTTAAAAGAGAGATTAATCTACAAGATCAATATTACCTCAGTTCTGCCCTATCAGCTTCTCACTATTCTCTGTGTGAGGTCATTCCTTTTAATAAGATATAATATATTTTAAAATGATTATAATTAATTTTGAAAGAAATAATAGAAGTGTTAAAAGGAATAGAAGTTACCGGTACTAATCACGTGTCGTGATTAGTAATACGGTTACCTAAACAGGCTAGATTAGACGAACCATAAGCAGGCATATTGGTCCCCTCCGAGGATACCAAGAGGAGATCTTAATATGCCTACACACGTAGTAATATAGTCAATATAGAGGCCTCTTCCACCCAATCTTTTAATAAGAAGCAAAATAATATAATTAGATAATCGAGAATAGATTACAATAATTATATATAATAATAAAGAAAATAAAATTATATCTTTATTTCTGATAGTTCAAAGACAAGCTCATTTCTTGTATTTGATATACCCCAAATTGAATTTTCTTATAGATTGGGGTTATGAAGTCCGAGTTCCTGATAAATGAGGCGAAAAAATGAGATAGATTTAAAATGAGTAAGAGTAATTTCG